TTATTATTATTATAACTGATATTTAATAAATAATATTAAAGTACTATAATATCGAAATTCATATCAAATAGATTTTCTCTAGTTTTCCCTATTAACTTTCAGGCGTCTACCTTCTTATTGTTAAGAATAATACTATTAAAACTATATAGAAAGTAAATAATTATTATAAAATGCTTTCATAATATAATTTTAAAATGTAAAAAGTAAATGGTGCTGCCATCACAAACGACAAAGTTCTTATTAATTTACTAGATGTATTAATGAATACTTTATCATATTAAGAAGGTCGCAAAAAGACATGAAAGGGAGGATTAAAAATAGGATAAACCAAATACTGAAAATAGAATTTTGACAAGTAATAAGAAAAATAGCAAATAATTTTACTCTTTCTCTATCCTCCATAAAAGCAATGTAGTTGTCAAAGATCATAAAAAAATAATTCTAAAAACATTTCACAACAACATCAAATTGTCTGAAATTAATTCTGTCTAATTTAGTGACATCCCTCTATCAGAAAGACAGACTAAAAGATCTAACATAGTTTAGAGAAATCTCTATTTTGGCCTTCATACATAGACCTAATAAACATAAAGATCAGAATTTCAATCAATAAATGAAGAAGTAATTCAATCTGGATTATGTAAGACACAAAGAAACAATAGGATGGATTAAATACAAGAAAGAATCAATATGTATTCTTATTTTAATTTATATAGTTGTAAAGAATACCTATTAAAAGAATAATAGAGATTGAAAATGGCTGAGGAGTAAATAGAAAAAAATTAGCTTATTCTTGAAGAACTTGCTTAAGAATTGGAGATTGTGAATAGCAATAAAGCAATTTTCAATTCCATAAAGAATTTAGATTAATAAGTATATAAAAATGAACTAAATTTTATTAACTACAGAAAAGTTACAGAGGAGTTATACGAATTTATATAATAAACTTAAATAAAGCATTTTAAGAAATAAGAATTGATTTATCCATTTATTGAGAGTTTTAAAAATGAATTAAATTGTATGCTTATAGAATATGAATCATAAATTAAAAGAAACTAAGTAAAATGAATGTTAACAATTTATGCTTGTAAATTAAATAAAATTAAATCTATTCTTTTCTTAAATGATTCTTAGGAACTGAATTTTTGCGACTTCAAAACTTGAATCAGAAATTTATTTTGGTTAACTTAAGGAAAAAAGTTCCTAAGCAACTTATTTAAATAGTCATAATGCTATTGAATTATAGTGAAATTTACTAACGCTATTGAACACTAAATTAATATGTAGTTAAAACTTTATTAATGAATCACTAAACAGTGTTTTATATTAGTGTAAATAACAAAATTTCATTATTAAATTATATATTCATTCAAATCAATCAAACAACCTTATTAAATTGACTTGTATAACCATTCGGCATGAATGATTTTAATATTAGGGTTTGAATTTAAAATTGCTTATGCAGTAGTCTTGAACATTATCTTCATTACAATCATGATGTCACAAAATTCTTTTTAAGTAATCTAGTCTTAAATTGAATATGGTTACTTTTCCTCCAAAGTTCTAGATCAACTATTCTAATCCAGACCTGAGATTTTGATTGATGGTTTTTTATTAGGATGATTTGGGTTTTGAAAAATAAACATAAAAGTTATAAGGGAATAATATTTCTATTATAACCATGATATATGTACTTTTTTACATGTTATAAGTCAATTGAAAGTGATTAAAGGCAATCTCTTTTTTAAGATTTTGTTATTATTTGATAACCCATTTTTAGGAAATAATTTTTGTCTATTTATTTAGGCAACAACAACAGAAAACCAGATCATAGATTAGTTTGTCTTCATTAATTATAAGAATATCACACTTTATTTTCATATCTTCTTCTGTAACCAATTGATACTAATCGCTTTATTATTAATTAAATTTACTTCAAATTTATATGATCAAATAAGTTCAACATGTTAAAATCACATGATTTATGTATGGCCACAGTGAATTTTTAGTCATTTTATTATTGTTTTGACTTTTACGCTTTAGAACTCTTCTTGGATAGGAATTATGAGTTGAACTTTTGAGACGCTTCTAATTACTCAGTATCTAATTCTTCATGTATGAGATCTTATATATTAATACCTCTAATACTTTTGGAAGTTTGTTTGAAATTGGAAATGGGTACATGAGATTTATTAAACCCTTTGGCTATTTGTTATAATTGATTCTTGTATAAACTAAAAATGTGTCTGGTTTTAAATTCATTGACTTCTTCCTCTTCTTCATCTTAAATCTATTGATTTGATTATTTTCCTTTCTTTATATGAACTCTCTACATAAGTTTATAACTGTACTTCTTTTTTGAGCAATTCTTGTATCTCTTGAGGAGTTAATTCGATGATTGGGAAATTTGAAGCATCAACTTCCCTCTTTTTTGTTAGACATCTAAAAATAGCTTTTATATTTACTCATTTACCCACATAGGATTGACTATCTTAATATTCCATTCCTTAGCCTTCTCTAATGTACTCAAAAAACCATCTACAATTTCAATCAGAAATTACATTGCCAAATCAGATAATGTGTATGTTTACTTAATTTTTTTACTATGGTGGCACCCAAGGCATAAAGTATCTCATCTTCACAATCAGATTGATTGCGATCATTTTGCTGGGGACCTGAATATATTTCAACATAAATTTTCTAAAATTGAGAATAGAAAAAGTACTTTTTTTGCTAGACATTAGGTAATGTTGTTAATCATAGTGATTTGAATTTGATTGTCACCTAATGTGATAGCACTATGAGAGATTTTTCTTCCCGATTACACAGCAGATGCAGATCTTCTGTAGGATTTTCTGTTTTATTGTTCAGTATGCACAGATGATTGACGTTACTTTCCTTAATTCATAACATTTTTGTTACCTTCATCTTTAAAGAGAAATTCAATAGTTCAAAATTATTATTAATATATATTCACTTATTATTAAAATGGTTAACTTATTCCCAAAAACTCAGGAGTGAATTAACTATCTTAAAGAGAATGCATTTTTTGTCCATATTAAGGAATGGCTATCTCTGGGGTACAAGATAATTATAACGAGTATTAATTTGGTATGTTATTGAACTGATTGTCACTCAAAATTTACTCCTACAATAATTATTAATCTTATGATTAAGGTCTCTTGTCATTCGAATGTGTATCCAAATTTGATTCTTCTGTTGAAGGTAGTTTACAAATCTATCCCATCGATCCTATTAATTTTATATATATATTAATATGTACCATCCTTTTTCTAATATAAGATTCAGAATATAAATAAATTGATAATATATCATAGATCTCCTTAGTATATTGGTAAGATAGTCTGAAATTGTTAAATTTGTGAGGATAACTAATTTGGTAAAAGTAGAGCGCTCTACTTTGTGGCTGCTTTTGGTGAATCAAGATTTCCAATGGATTCCCTTTTATTAATGTATATATTACCATAACGATTCTGTGTTTGAATATTTATTAACTGGAAATGTAGATTCTACTATTTCCTACTTTTATTTTGGAGGAAATAACACATCAATAGTTAACTTGAATGCATCATCTACATGATAACAAATAATTACCCAACATTCTAGGTAATAACATTTTTAAAATTCCACTTGATTCTTCAATACAGGGATTAGTATTAATTTCTATCAACCATGTCTTAAAATCTTGATCTATAATGAAGTCATATCCAAAAATTTCCATACAAAATTTCCTTTAATGAAGATTTAACTTTCTCTTCACAGATTGCATTGACATCCAAACTAGTTATTTCATCTTGATAACATTATTTTATTAGAAATCAATGTTGAATCCTTATTGATTAAGATAATTTTAAAAATCATCGAATGACAATTGATTTCCATCTTCAAACTCTCCGTATTTTTCAGAGTATTTTTAAATGGCATTGTTGGTCAAATGAATAAATTAGTTACTTACATCTTCAGTGTTATAATTCTCACAAGAAGTACGAATGTAACCTTCTTTGAAAAAATAACAATGAAGATCTTAGGTAACTAATACCCATACTCTAATGTCAAACTTCCTTTGATTGATGAGAAATGGTTATTCTATATACTTCTGAATGACAAAGGAATTAGCCTTGATATTATTATTTTTTTTGTTATTCTTCGGATCTTCATCTTCTATAGTTTAATGTCCTTCTTGGTATTCACAAATAAGTGAAATAATAGTATCTAAATCATTAACGACGTGAATCCCTTGTCCTCTATTCAAAAATGTGGGTTTTAATAACCATAAATACTAATTGCCACTCTATGTTTTTGGTATTCTAATGGGAATTGGTTATATTTTCTTATCATTCATTGGTTAGACTGGAATCTGGTTTATTATAAAATAATACTTTTAATTTCTTTTTGTATTCCACTAATTTTTTTGCCATTTGGTCAATCTTCTTGGGAGCATACTTATCAAAGAATTTGACAAATTATGTAAATTGCTAATCAACAGAGTCATCTTTAAAATCTAACACAAATGTTATTGGAACTGAATCATATACACTTTATTTGTTTTGCTAAATATTGATTAATAATAACATAATACTTCACAATATGAGCATAGGTTTTTAAACAAATATTATTTGTTACTTAGTTCTGGATGATTTTCAAAATGATTAACCATCTATTTGTATTAATTATTCAAGATCAATCTATCGTATTTGTAACCTCTATTCCATTATTACCATCTAAAATGAACAAACATTGATGAATTATCCTTGGTTTATTACCAATCAACTCTGGTATCCATGATTCTTTATACTAATTCATGGTTGTTTCCCAATCCCAAATTGTATTTATATTCATTAGATTACTCAATTACTTTTATTGATTTCTCTTTCTGTCTATGAGTATGTTGATCAGAAGAGAACTTCATTTGTTTTGCAATCAAAATCATAGAGGATTGAACAGCTGTAGGGTTTCTATAAACTCCTGATTGAGATTGAACTTTATTGTTAAGGTACTTAAGAAACCTATCAGGAGATGTCGGTTTCTCATCTGGACTGTTTAATTGTTTATACTTAGGCATGCTGTAAGCCTATACTTTATGGCCTTGCAATTTTGGGAGTCTAACTTCTTAACGATAATTCATATGAAATCCTGAACCGCTCACTGATAAAAACATTTAATTTTGCATATTTATTTATTTCATGTATCAACCAGCAGATAGAGAAAAGATTGAACTTTATATCTCAGCTCGTAAGCTAGCAAACAAGGATGTCATTTCAGATAGCGATCCCAAATGCAAGATATTTTTACGAGATTATAATGGAGTCGAAAAATAAGTGGGTCAAACAGAGGTTTTAAAAAATAATCTCAATCCTGATTGGAAAGTAATTATGTACCTAATTAGACAACCATTCAAATGGATTTCATATTTGAAATTAAATAGGGGCTAAGATTTGAAGTTTGGGACCATGATGACGGAAACATTGATAAAGATGATTTAATCGGGGTTGTTGATGTATCTAATATTATCTCATTATTTTTAAGACTACAGTTGGAGAAATTATGGGATCAAGAAACTAAGTCTATAGTGGCTAATTAAAATTGAAGAATAAGGCCACTGGAACATTACTTATTAAGGGGGATAAATTGAAGGATGACAATAGATACATATTCTGGCAATGGGAAGGGAAAAAAATAAAGAATGTAGATGGTTGGTTTGGAAATTCGGATCCATTTTTGAGATTTTATAAACAATCTGGAAATGATTGGTTGTTTGTTCATGAAACAGAGTTCTGTAAAAATAACGAAAATCCACATTGGAAAGCCTTTGAAATTTCAATGGCGAAATTAAATGGTGGACATACACAATAATAGATAAAAGTTGAATGTTGGGATAACCAAGTTGACGGTAAACATTAATTTATTGGGGAAACTATTTTCACAACTCATTAAATTGAAAATGAACTTAAAAAGGAATTCATATCATTATCGAAAAAAGGAGTATAGTATTTATTAATTTATAGACTAATCATGGTACTCTTACATTAACATAGTTTAGTGTCTTTACAAAGCCATCATTCATTGATTATATAAAGGGAGGAGAGCAAATTAATTTAATGATAGCTGTTGACTTCACAGGTTCCAATGGAGATCCAAAATCAGCCAATTCTCTACATTACAATAGCCCAAATCAAATGAATCAATATCAGTCTGCTCTTCATCAAGTGTCAGAGATTTTATTAAATTATGATTTTGATAAGAAGATACCTATGTACGGATTTGGAGGTGTCCCTCATTTTCCCAACTATTCAAAGAATGAAGCAGATCATTGGTACTGATGTGTAACATAATCATAGTTTTCCATTGACAGGCAGTTTCCAATAACCAGAAGTTTTCGGACTGGAAGGAATTATGGCATAATATAGTGGTGCTCTCCACCATGTTACATTATCAGGACCAACATATTTTGCCCCGATAATTTAATATGCTTGTTAGACAGCTTAATAAAATGTGAATAATAATATTTATTCGGTTTTAATGATATTGACAGATGGAGAAATTCATGACATGAATTAGACTATTCAATTAATTAAAGGAGCAGCACGAATTCCACTTTCAATAATTATCATTGGAGTTGGAGATGAACATTTTTAACAGATGAGAACACTAGATGGAGATAATGGTCCATTGAAAGGTTCATCTGCTAGAGATTTGGTTTAATTTGTGCCATTTAGAGACTTCAAATAAACAGGAGAATTAGCAAAGGAAGTTTTAGCAGAACTGCCAAATCAGTTAGTTACCTACAAATAACTGTTGGGACTATAACCATTAAAGGCTCCAGATGTTCATCTTAGTTAAATGATGTGAAGATTATCAATAAAAAAAAAAAAATAGAATAATATACCATTAATCATAAGCAATTTGAAATTTCTCTATTATCAAAATAAATTAGTTCTTAAATTGTTTTGAGTTTAAATTTATATTTAATTTAAACTGAATCTAAGTGATTATTATTTATAATGTAATAATAATAAGTAAAAAATAAAGATAGAGAAAAAATTGAGTTGTATTTTTCAGGTAGAGGATTAGCTGATAAGGATGTATTATCTTAAAGCGACCCTTAATGCTATATCTATCTAAAGGAAGGATAGGATGGATAGGAACGTTTAATTGGCAAGACCGAAGTTAAAGATAACAATCTCAATCCTGATTGGAAAGTATCATTATTTAAATGACTCTAGACATCAGTTGTATTGGATTTTATATTTGAAGTCAATCAGTTTTTAAGGATTGTTGTCATGGATCATGATGGGAAGAATGTTGAAAATGATGACATTATAGGCTCTTTAAATGTACAATTTAAATATGAAATTCAATTAGACAACTATTGGAGCAGTTATGGGATCCAAAAATCAAATATATCTAGGATAACTAACTCATAATCATAAAAAGACAGGCAGATTAATTATTAAAGCTGATAATAGAAAGGAAATTGGAGAAGAGAACTAAATGATTTGTTGGTAATGGAATGCCACGAAAGTTAAAAATATGGATGGTTGGTTTGGTGTTTCTGATCCATTTCTGAGATTTTTAAAGTGGCATAAAAATAGTGATTGGCTATTGGTACATGAAACGGAGTTTATCAAGAACAATGAAAATCCAACATGGAAACCATTTGAAATACCTCATGATAAATTGCATGATGAGAATCCCTAATAACCATTTAAAATTGAACTTTGGGATAACTAAACAAATGGAAAACACCAGTTCATTGGGGCAATTGAAGTTACAATTGAATAAATAATCTTTAAGGAAATTCATTAATTTGTAATTAAAACACCAAAAGGAGTAAATTACCTTCTCTTATTATATAGGATCTTGGTGGAAATTTAGGAGTGAAATTTATTGAGAAAAAGGATTTTGCTCTTTAAATGGGAGATTAGCATACTTTTATTGATTATTTAAAAGGAGGAGATTAAATTAATCTAATTATAGCTATTGATTTCACAGGTTCTAATGGAGAACCCTCAAGTCCTCATTCTTTACATTATAATGACCCTGAACATTTAAATTAATATCAAAATGCGTTAAAATAAGTGGCTGAAATTTTATTAAATTATGATTATGATAAGAAGGTGCCACTTTATGGATTCGGTGGAGTACCATCACTGCCTAATTATAAAAAAACTAGTGTGGAACAATGGTAAAATATAATTTATCGATAGCTTCCCTTTAAATGGCAATCAATCTGACCCTGAAGTATTTGGATTGGATGGCATTATGAGCACATATTCAAATGCCCTTAATCATATTAATTTAAGTGGCCCAACTATTTTTGGTCCAGTTATAGAAAATGCTCTTGAAATTTCAAAGGCTAATCTTAAAAAAGATATTTATTCAGTTTTACTTATAATGACAGATGGACAAATAGATGATATGAATCATTGCTTAAAACTGATTAGAAAAGCATATCGATTACCCTTATCAATTATTATAGTTGGAGTAGGCAATGCTAATTTTAATATGATGGAATAATTAGATGGGGATGATGCTTAGCTTGAAAGAGATCTTGTTTAATTTGTTCCTTTTATAAAGCATTCTCAATAGCCAGGTGAGCTAGCAAAGGAACTTTTAGCAGAACTACCTGATTAATTTTTGAGATTTAAAAAGTTGATTGGTAAGAAACCAAATCCATCTAAAGAAATTGATTTAAGTTAAATTAATTGATTTCTTTTAAATATTAATAACAAATTATATTGAACTAATTTATAATTATATTATTGATATGCAATGGACAGATTAAGAAATATAAGCAAGTGGATTTTGAAATTAAACATTAGAATCTAAATTTTGAAATAATAAATATAGGAAATATCAAATGTCATATAAACTCTTATTATTAAGTTACTAGTTAAGATTAGAGTATTTAAGCTAATTTACAATTCTCTTGTTGCAGTAGATTATTCGAAGAGTTTTGTAATGAATTGTTAATTGGGTTCATTTATCTCTGTAATAAAAAGCTAATCGATGATCCTGCTTAGTTGTTTTCAAAATGTACAGTTTTAAAATATAATTTTGGACTTTTGGATATTAAAGGCAACAACTTTTATACAATAAATATCCCTAATTTGCCTTCGCTTACTCCTTTTAAATATTAAGAATCATATACTTTTGTAATCTAATGGTTGAGGAAATCCACTTGCCTTATCATAAATTTCAAATTTTATATCTTCATTCGCTATTTGACTAACGTGTATTTACACCATGTTTGAGATGTCTGGTTTTTTGTATGCTTTAATGCTATTTACTAATAAATTGACCACTATCTATCGAAGATATCTAACATCAGTAGTAATCATCTTGTTGGTCAAATCATCTTGTATTTTAATGTCTATACTTTTTTCGACTACTGTTGTATCCTGACTGAATTTGGTTTTGATTGCTTTTAAGAATTTGATTAAATTTAATTGATCTTATTTTGGAAATGCCAAACCATCACAAAGAAAATAGTAAAAATTATGAATCGACACATCAACCACGTACAATTACAGTTAAGCTTAACAAAATAGTTTGTTCTCTTTCATTTAAGGACTGAGCAGATTGTTAAACTTCTATTGCAAATTTTCAATCATTTGAAGTAATTTCTGAATCTGTTTTTGGGTGACATCTGTTTTGTATCCATTCTAAACATTATTCGCACATGTTTTAATGTTCTCTATAGAATCATCTTCCATTTAAATGATCAGCCCTTGATTCCAATAATTAAACTATATCTTCTTATAAATAGGTTTATCAAATTGAATGATTCCATATAAAGGTTTTTTGGTAGGCACTTGGTTATTGTTTTCGGCAGGTTTAGCAATGAAGTTATCCAAGTTTTTCATCACAGATCCAGATAAGAATTCTCTATCGATGTACTTAAATGATATATATATATACAAATATACCTATAAAGAACTATTGTTTAAATTTAATGTATTTCCCTTTTATAAATTTGCCTCGCTTTTCTAAACAGATTGTAACCTTGATCTCTATTCATTCTGTGGAGACACTAACTTTTGTAACTATTGGTCATCATTAATGTCTCGTTATGATTTCCTTCGTTGAATTACTGCGCTATACTTTTCATCAATAATCTAATCTTTAATATATGAATATAGATTGGTTGACTAATTGAGTAACATATTATTTGTTAAGATATGCTCACTTTCTAAAGCAATATTAAACAATTAAATCTTTTTCAAATACTCTTCAATGGTTAAAGTCTTTTCTTTTAGAATTTACATTAAAGATGAACTCATTTTCTCAATTACAACTTCATTATTTCGATAGGAAACAAAGATATATTGTTATTCGATGAATTTTTCCCATATACTTTATGGATTTTGAGGAGGATACTATGATTGAATAGGGACACTGACTCTTCTTTATACGATAGTCTTGCTTTATTCGATTTATTGGGGTTAATTTTTGTTATTCGATAGGAGAAATTCATATGAACACACTATAAGGATCATGATTGCTGCTATGATGAAATATTCAATATGATTGGTCATATGTTTGAATATAATAAGTACAATGAAAATAAGTAAAAGGGCAACTGCCTAAAGCAGGATTTTGATGTTAAGAAATTGCTTTTTCTCATTTTTTTCAGTTGATTTCAATTTTTAGAGTTGGAGCATGTTTCCAAAGAGTAAACTTAGTAGATTTTCTGATAAATTATCCTCACTCAAATACAATAGGCTTGCAAATTGTAAAAGCAATAATATCGTAAAAAACATTGGAGAATGATCGATTTCTATAAAGATTGATATTGAGATATATTTACACTATATGTTTTAGGTAGTTTTTCTGATGGCTGTAAGAGTAAAAATTATTCCGAAAGCTAAAAATATTATTTAAGGAATGAGTAAATTGATTATTTAGCCTCTAAGTTGCAGGTAAATGATACAGAGAATCGAGAACATAACATTCAAAATCTGTGGAAGTGCTAATTTTATTATTTGCATAATTTAAATTAAATATTAATGAATAAAACTTTGATACTTTAAAACCTTGCATTCAATTGCTTAAATGAAAGAGTTTTTAAAGATACCACTTGATTGAATATATTTTAAAACTAATCTAATATTTATCATGTATTTGAATTCTATAAGAAGACAACAATTACAGTAATATCATCAACTCCTTCACTAAACTTTTTCCATTAAGTTTTAGATTCTTAAATCAATTTCTGACAAGCTCCTTGTGGATCATTATTCAAAAAGTATTGATATGTTATTTCTGCTATCTTTATGATACTTTTAATACTTGATTATTGTCTAAAAATTCCCATAATCCATCGGAACCAATAATTATAAACAAATCATCTTTGGTTATCTAATGTTGTTTGATATCTCAATATACAAGAATTAAATACCTGGAACGTGGGAAACTCCAACTTGTTCAGCTATTTAATCTCCTATGCTTCTAGACATAGCCAAACCAGGAAAAGATGCTCCTTTAATATACACTCTGGATGGCCCTACAGATTGTCCATTTTATAGTTTATAAGTATTAACAGATCCACCTTAATTTTCTATTCTTTTTTTCTCCTTCAACAAATGTGGTTTATGATCAATAGAGAGTTCAGTTGTAATCAGTTTATCCTGTTATTTAGAACATAAAATTGCCCTTGAATCTCCTACCCAAGCACAATGAATCACTTAGTCTCTAATAACTATCAAGGTAGCAGTTGTACCAGACATAAGTGAATCAAAATGAGAATGAGAAGCAACATTTGAATGAGCACTTACAAATAGCTTCACAAAATCAATCGTTTTAAATTCCTTAATTGCATATTCTAATTTATAATATATTGTGTATACACTAAAAATAATCTCTAACATATGTGCTTATTTAATCACCGTCAGTTCCATGTCCATCCATAACAGCAAAAATTCCTTATTCATCATCTATAATTTCAGCAAACTCTCTGTCTTAATTTGTTTTTTCACAAAATCCATCAAATCCAGGCTTAGATAAGGATCCATAATAGAGTTAAATGTCAACTTTAGGGATTTTGGAGTTAATGATTCTCCTGGATTTTTATTGTAATGGTGGCTTTTTGAATGTTTTTTAAGAGATTTGTTTATCCATCAATTGGGGTAATTTACATTTTTGATCTGTGTTTGTTTATTCTCTACTTGTCTATCTTCTATTCTCTGACTTGGATCTAATTGTCTAATGAATATTAACTAATTTCATTATTAAAATATGTTGGAAAATCAAATGTTGTAATTTTTGAATTCAGACTTTTAACAATTTACATAATAAGATAAGCAGGATAAGCAGGATGAAAATACTGAGACTGAAGTTCCAAATACCTCTCAAAGACAATTGAGAGTTAAGAGTTTTGAGGAAAAGCCTGCCAATAAACCATTAAATTTGATATTCTAAATGTTGTTGCAGAAGAAAACACAGAAAAGATAATAAATCAAGGTGGATCCAAAATCAATACCTTTGTCTATTAATCTCTCTGTTCAAGTGTAAGAGTTACCCATAATACGTAAAATAATGGAGAAGAATGAATGGAAAAAGGCTCATAATTTTGATGGGGACATCTTATGGTGCGGTCCTGATAATGTACAATAAGCCAAACAATTTACTTATGATTTTGCTATGGTCTTTATGAATTTATGCATCAGTAGAATTCCTGGAGCTAAACTTATCTCTACAAAAAAGGAAACTACGTCAATCATGGCTAAAATGAGATAGTATAATATGTGTCATATTATATTAGATATTTTCCGTCTATTTTTAATTTTTATCCAAAAACATACACCATGCCAGAGGATTTACATGAATTCATTGAGGATTTTGAAAAAAAGGATGGCATCTCTTACATAGCCAAACCTGATAAGGGAACTTAGGGTTAAGGCATCTTCATAGTCAGCTAGATAGAAGATTTATTTAACAATGGTGTCAAGGATGTCTCATATATTAAGAAGTAATTGTATTTCAATATTTAGAAACTATATTATATAAGAGTATATAAGTAATCCCCTACTATTGGATGACAAGAAATTCGATTTTAGATTGTATGTGTTGATTACTTCACTCAAGCCATTGATTGCCTATATAAATGAAGAAGGCTTAGCAAGATTGTGCACTGAAAATTATTAGGACATCACATCAAGTAATCTCTCTAATGTTTATATGCATCTAACAAACTATTCATTAAATAAAAGTAAAAGACAACAATAGTATAACCATAGATAGTCAAAATTTTATTATTCATCCTCCAGATTTCCAGAAAATGAATCTTGGAACTAAAAGAACTTATACATCTGCCAAAAAAACATTGATGAAAATGGGCATCGATGTTCCCAAACTAAAATTGAGAATTGAACAAACCATTGTAAGATTCTTATATGGAATTGCTCCCTTTTTAGTAAGAAATCCTATCTATTAGTAAAGTTAAATTCAACCAGGGAAGTCTATCAAGACAAGTGGGAAAAAGCTAACTGTTTTCATGTTATTGGATTTGATATTTTGATTGATAAAGATTTAAAGCCTTGGATTATTGAGATTAATGCAAATCCTAGTTTGGAGATCACTTAAGTAGTGTAAAATGCAAATGGAAGTAAAAGAGTAGAGACCAGTTCATTAGATGCTTTTGTTAAAACTAAAGTGATTGAAGATGCTTTCATTATTGCTGTTAAAACACCTTAGGAATAAATTGAATAGATTGGTAAGGGGAAATATTGCAATAGTTATAAAATGATTATTGACGGTTAACCACCTATTGAGAATTTAGATTTGGTAATTTATGCTTTTTTATTTTCAACTTTAGTTCTATAAATTGGTTGATCTGTACAGTAATCTATGTGGGTTGAGATATGGCAATTTGAATTAAATGAGATTTTGCAGATTGGCTAACAATCCACAGTTGATTAATGAATTGCTAATAAAATCAGATTACGATTTGATTTACAAAAAAATCTAGTTAAAATCATTATAAACAGATTTAAATTTCCTGGGCTTCATTGAAGCTATCGAATCTATCTCAGAAAAGGTATTAAAATAGTATTATAAATCATAAGCTTTTGAAACGGAAAGCTTCGAATTATACATTATAAAAGGCAGTGACCTATGTTGTAAATATGGCCTTAAAGGCTCCTCAATAACAGCAAAGACCTTTGACTGCAAAAAGATGATTTGGTGTTTTAAATAAAATATACTAATTTTTTGTTTAATTAATTAATAATTGAAATGTTTTATGTAGTAAAAGGACTCAAAACTAAATTGTCAATAGAGCCAAACTATTTAGATCAATTAAAAGATTAGAAGTTCATTTTAGAATAAATAGTATAGAAATTAGAAGGGAAGTACTTCAATGATGTTGGGTACATCATTTGTATAACTAAATGCATGAATTACAATTAAAATTAGGATGATTAAATTGATGCATTAATTGAAGAGGATGGAACCGTCAAAGTGGTGGTATAAATTCATTCCATATCAGATTAAATTCGAAGCCATAGTATTTAAAGTGCAGGAAAAGGAAATAGTCGATGTTGAAGTGATCAAATGTGAAGCCTAAGCAGTCTATGCAAAATTGGGGCCAATTGAATTTATCATTCCAAGGGATAAATTGCCTACTAATTTCACCTTTTCTAATGTATATGTATCATTTTGAACTCAGGAATCCTATAAAGATTAAGATGAAGAAGTGATTAAATAAGGTACTAAATTAAGAGTCCAAGTTCAAAAAACACATTATAAACAAGGCAAATTAAGAGCATTTGCTCATCTCACGGGTGACAATTTAGACAATATTTGTGGTATACTAAGTGATGATCTGAAGTTATGATGAATATATATATATATAATTTAATGTAAGAGTTAATTAACAAATTATTCATGATAGTAAAAATTACTCATCTATCTTATAGTTATGTGATGATGAACAATCAAAATAGAAATATCAAAGAAATAATAATACATAAGACTAGTTAAAGCAAATCACAGAAATTGTGATTAAAAAATAACAGGAATTTTTGGGATTAGAAAAACAATTATAGAAGTATGAATCAGAAGTTAGACAGAATATTAGAGTATAGTTTATAATGACAACATTAGGATCAATATTTAATGTAATAGTAGTGCGATGATTTAAAATCTAGAATTGATGAATTAGAGAGTAGCAGAACTGAGTTTTTAAATAATACAAAGAATATCATTATTGTAATTCTTCTATGTTATGTCTATAGAAATTTAAAAGAGAAAATGAAGAATTATATTAGAAATGCAAATCCTTAACTGCTTAATTATAAAAAATTGATAATTAGGTATTAAACTTACTATTAAATTTAGTCAATTAGCAAATACTCAACTATAGATAATACTGTCATGACCAATCTGACAAATATAGTTGACTAGAAAAAACCAAATAAAAAAACCAACACTACTCCGTAAAAACTAAAAACTGATTTCGATGTATCAGAAAAACGATTAAGTTAACCAATTTTCAAGCCCAATTATTTTTAAAAGAAATAATCTATACAAATTACTATATAAAATAAAAAAAAGTCATTCTAATAGCTAGAAAACTATTTGAATGTAACGACAAGTATGTGAATAATATATTTATAATATCAATTCTACTTTTAATTATGTTATTTTGAATTCTATATAGCTTTTTGAATGTGAGCATTATATTATTTTTGGGATTGCTTAATCTGTTACTTATTTTTCTCTTTTATTTCGTCTAGCTATTATTAATTTTAGTCTGTAGTTGGAATTTAACCAATTTATTGTTTATCTTCTTACTTTTAGGGAGTATTCTTTTTATTATCTTCGTGAATCACTTAGTGATCGGATTATTTCTTCTCTTTTTAAACGCATGATGAAAACTCTTAAGAGTGTGCTCCTGATCTCATCAATATCTAGTTAATGTAATAATCTCTTGAGAAGGCGGAAATCTTACTATCATCCATGTCCTATTTGATTTCTGAAAGGTCCTTAATTAAGCTTCTAACTTCTTCAATTGATTTGATTTGTCCTGTTCCAAATAAATAGCCAACAAGATAATGATCGATGAGTAGCTCATTTCCTTTTGATTATGATTATTAAATCTCACTTAAAAGTTCTTTAATTATTTCCATTAATTAATCTATTAAATCAGTAATTGAGTTCAATGCAAGAAGATGTTATGATATTTTTAAATAGCTAAGATTTTTAGAGTCATTATTTAAATAAAATGGTATATTTAATAGGATGGAAATTTGTTGTTTCTGGATATCATTAATTATATGGCGAAAATATTATCAAAAGAATAAATAAAAGATTGAGAAGTACCCATAGAAAAGTATCTATTCATTAGAAAATAGACATTGAGTGAACTCATTCTTCGTGTTTATTTTAAAATTTTGGAGGATAATAGATTTGCACTAAGATAAACATCTCTAGACTATAATGATATGTCAATTTGTTTAATTATAAAATATTTAGCACTCTATTCTTGAATAATTAATCGATATTTATAATCAAATTTGATATTGTCTTAAATCAATTATGTTTTCTAAGTTCAGATTCATCATCAAATAGCCTATCAATTTATCATTTCAGCTCAAATAAGGCTAATAAATGTTAATAGAATAAATGCAGATATTTATCAATCCTATTTATTTGATAACTTCTAATATAAGGAAATGTTTATGAATCTCTAAGTTATGCATTATTTAATTTATTAAGTTATAATTTAATCTTCATATTTGACTATTTTATCTTTAATTTAAATTTACATTCACCCATTTCCCAATTTTTTATCATTTTTATATCAACTTTTCTATATAATTTGCTAATATTCTAAGAAATAATAACATATCTCTTCAGTCTTAATACTTTAATATTCATCATATGATCCACCACCATATTTATATATAATTGTATTTCTTCACCTCATTAATTATCAAATATAATAATAGAGTAATCTTTTGTCCTAAACATATTTACAAGCTCCAAAATTGCAATTATCTTTTTATTCACAGTGCTCATAAGGTTTAACTTGCCTTCTATGATATTTGTAATTTTACTTGCAATAATTTGAAAAAATATCCTTCCATAATCATTGTTTAAAACCATTCAAATTATAGAAAATAATTTTCAGATCATACCATAATATTGAAGATATACAATTATTTAATTTTAAAGAAATAAGGACTTTGAGTCTATTATAGAAATTCTATCCAAATTATACATAAGCTTTAAGAGTTTTAATCGAATATCTTACCAATACCAGGTAATAAATTTCGAAAACCTATTAAAAATAATATTATGAAGAAAGTAGAATCAGAATACTCGTATTTATATATGTATTTAATATTATTTTCAAAAATAGATATAAACCATTTATCTCTTTTGTTATTATTATTAAATTAAATTATATTATCCACCAATCAGGTTCATCCAAAATTGAGATCTAAAACAAAACTTATAATTCAAAGTCTATAAAATTATATAAAAGATTCAAATAATCAATTTTAGAATATGTATTTTATTTAGTTTTGTTCACTTGTATAATAATAATTAATATTATGATTTGAATATTATCCCATATTATAAATTAATTGTATAATAGTAATTATTAAATAAATTCAATTTTCTTATTATCAATGATGAGCATAAGAGTAGTGAAACTACATAAAAAATGAGTACATTCATCTAGGCTATCTGATTATATTTTTAATCTTATTTAAAGTAATTATCAATTTCTTTGATTTGTTAAAATATTATAATCATAAATCTATTTTGTCATAAAATTTGCTTTATCGTTTATTGAATTGGTTTATTGAATATAATATTAACTAATAATTAATTTTATTTATAAAATATATGAATTAAGAAGAGAAGCAAAATGAAAATAAAGAACCAGAAGTGAAGGATAACGTAGAAGATTTTGGCATAAAAGTGTTATCTGCAGGTTAGAAATAGATATAAATGTATTAGAGGAATAGAAAAAGATTATGTTACAAATAAGTTAAGAAGAATCATTCAATCTAAAAAATATAGAGTAAAGAGAAGATGATGCTGTCTTTATAGAGGATGAACCAGAAAAGGCCTTGGCAAAACTTTTAGCACTTAATTAATTAAATTTTTAAGAGAGGTAATACATTGAATTATATTCATAGATAAGCTTATGCTAAACATTTGGCAGAACTGATAATATTGATAGGAAATGAAGCATAATAATAATTGACATAGATTATAAATCAATTAATTAATGATAGTGATGAAATGAAGAAAATCTTGATTCATTAACTAAATTTATTGTTTGATTAAATAGATGTACAAAAGATTAAACTACATATATTACCAGCATTGATGTAATTAATAAAATATCATAATTTTGACATTTAATCCGATGTTCAAAAATAGTTATCTAGAGTGATTTAGAAATTGTCTAAAGAAGAAATAAAAGATTTGATACTGAATGATATAGTGCTTATGATTCACGATGAATCGAATGAAGAAAATAAAATGATAGCTTTACAATTTTTTGGTTCTTATGCTCATATTGCCGATTAATAATTTTTAGAGTCATTCATTTCAATTGAAATAATAAATGCAGGTGAGGATATTAGTGTTAGAGTAAGAAAAGAATCAATTTAATAATTACCATATATTGCAAAATCAGTAAGGCCTGAGTTTTTTGTGTCCAAAATACTTCCTTATTATCTTTAGTACATCTACCTTTAAATTATCTTAATAGAAAATCTGAAGATAAGTCATCATGGCATATACGCAAAGCTTGTGTAGAAATAATTGTGAAATTAGCTGATATAGCTCCTAAATAAGTAAGATAGAATGAATTGTCTAATAAAATGATTGACTTCCTAAAGTATTAAATAGATTTCTAAATAGGGACTCAAATAAGTGGGTGAAAGCATCGGCATTCTTTCTTCTGGGATAATTCATTTATAAATTACATGATTGTAATTAAAAAAATGAATAATTATTAAATGAATATTGCAGGTCCATAAATAAAGACGTCTGTGAATATTTCTCATCTGATTAAGAAATTTATGATGCTTGTGCAGCAACTTTCCATTAAGTGGTTTAAATATATGGATAAGAGAAGTGGCCTCATCTATTTAAACTATTATAGGGTCTTGTAAAAAATAAAGGAGTCAGAAAAGTATTGGCAGAAAACTTATATATAATTGCTAAATCATGTGGTCCAAGATATGCTGAAAAAGATCTGGTCTCCATTTTAGATTCATTTTTGAAAGATTTGAATGATGAAGTCAAATATGCAGCTGCATAAAATTTATGGGAATTTATAAGGATATTCGATGAGGATAAAAGAGATAATTTATTAGATGTTGTGTTAATCATATAAGTATTTTATATTCTCAATATTCACAGAGAGATCAAAAGAAATGGAGAATACGTCACCTTATTGCTAAGTAAATTAAGCATTTGGTTCCTTTATATAGTGTAGATAACATATTTCAAATCATAGTGCCAATCACATTGAAGTTATGTAATGATATTGTAGCGGTTGTAAGAAAATAAGCAGCCAAAGAGATGCATTCCATTTTGTAATCTTTGAATACAGAGGATGAAACAAGCCAAATTTATTATTAATGTTTAATTGAGAATATTAAGGCTTATGGAATCAGTCATCGTTTTAATCAGAGATAAGCGTATAGCTATTATTTTTATTATCAGATTTGCATATATGTGTTCAAAATTGATCACTCTCAAAGATTTTGAATCCACTTTCTTGGAATAATTTGTTTCACTCAGTTTAGACCCAGTAAAGAATGTCAGAATTACAGTAGCTCTTATTGTTTAAAAACGATTTTAATAAGGTAACCTTGAGAGTATTATTCTAGGACATCTTAAGGATAATTAGAAAATATAGTAGATGATATAAAATTTGAAGAGTCATAAGGATAGAGAAGTGCTAATAATTTTGAACTGATTAAATTTAAATTTACATGTATATGTTTATTATTATGTAACATTGACACTTACTTGGCTATTCTAAAATGATTCAACAATAATTGTTATAATTAAATGAATTAAAATTACACAATTATCTTGCAAATATTAAATAATAATTGTTGATAAATAAAATAATCAAATTAAACTTAGATTTAATTAAGAAAATGTATTTAAGATGTTAATTTTCAAGCCAAATGATTCAATATAGTCAAGGATTCCTTAAAGGTTTTGTTTCTTTTAAATAGCTAAAAGATTAGACATATAGAAATCTCATTTGATATTTCAGCAAAATATTTCTTTATTTGCTTTAATAAACATTTTAGAATTAAACTAACATGAAAATATATTGATATAATAGATCTATAAAAACAATGCCAAGAATCAGGATGAGTCATAGTAGTATGATGATGAATTTATATACATAGATAGTATATATCTTTAATCTTGCATTTAAATGTTTGGATAAGCTATTTGGGATGCGTATATTCCTTACGTAATGTATAATTGAGAAGGTGGTTAAAATTATTTTCATAGATAATACCTAATTGATTGAAAATTTCTTCAATTTTATATAATTATTAAATAAAACCAAAATACTTAAAATACTTGCTATATTTAAAATATAGAGCTAATACATGAATACGAGTAAACAAATTTAGTAAAATGTTGATTACGGAAATTCTATATATACCATTCAGATAGCACTCTTTGTGAAGCTAAAAGTATAAGAAATCAAATATATAAATAGTTATTTAATAATAGCCTCTACTGATAATTATTTTTCAACGAAGTTCTTATTAAATCTGAGTCTCAAAATTTAGTTAATCGATCTTTAAATGCTGTTACAATATTTAAACAATTGTATTACTTTGTATTCCAAAATATTTTATCTTAATTTTCCCATGCAATTTCATTTGAACTTTATATGTATCAGGATTTTGGTTCTAAATAAAGAATAAATCAAAACAAGAATAATGCTATTAAAGAATTACAAATTTTTTTAAACCAATACGAAAATTCTTCATCAAATACAAGTTACAAGTAAAAGACTTCACATACAAAATATTAATCATTTTCTATCGTAGAACTGGATGGAGTATTTATTTATGCAATTGAAGATCTTATGCCTTATAATTGATATTCTTTTATCTATAAATCTGATCAGAAGAAGCCTAATATCTTTTTATAATTGAGAAACAGATCTAGATTTCTTAAATTTGCGCATATATTGTAAGCTACTCTTAAATTAAAAAACTCCTTACATTATCAATGGTTGATTTTGTTATAACTCCAAATATTATGATTATAGTTGTACTTTTTCCTTTTATTATGTTTCATGGATTATTATAGCAGGAATTAGTCAAGAAAGTTCACTAGGTCTCAATACTATGAATAAAAGTTAAGTACTCACTATTGGGAATATTTTTAAATTATGCCCAAGATACTTATTACTTTTTCGATGTTAATTTATCACGAGAATGTAGACCGATCAAACCATTTATTTTGCAAATTTATGGTCAATTCCAAATGACAAAAACCCTATCAGATAAGAAACTTTAATATCATTGATTCTACACTATAATGACTATGCAAATTTCAAAAATTACGATATTGCCATATTTTTAGGGATAAATTTGAGAATTGGAAAAATGATCTAGGGTAAATATCTTATTTTGTATAAAAATAAGGCAGAAGGAAACAAATTATAAGATGATTGATTTTTATGATTAAAACCTATTAGCTGGAAAACTAATATAAGGAAAAATATTAATTTAAAAATCATTCCATTTTAAAATAAGTAAGATAAAATATTGAGAAGTACATTTGGTGTTGATATGTACTTGAATTTTTCAATTTCAATTTGATCATAAACAAAATACTTTGATTAATTACAAAGTACTAATATATTAGGTTTAACTTATATAAAATAATCTTCTTCAGATAATTGATGAAAATTTACGATCTGATGCTGATTCTAATTTATTGGTTTGTTAAGACAAATTTCTATAAATATTATATATTTTAATAATTTTTTTTTTAAATCTTGAGAGTGATGAACAAGATTAAAGAGTTTTCTAGTGGGTACATTAAAACTATACTATTTGCAATTGAGTATAAACCTCGTTTTTAAGTATGATAATCATTATTCCAAAGTTCCCTTAAGAGTTTTTTATTATCCCCCATCTTTTACATCATGTTCAATTATTAGGTTTATTTTTAGAGAGATCATCAGATTAAGCCTTTGATTATGCTGTGGTATTGACACATTTCTCTTTAATTGAACCTATGTTGACATATGAGCTAAGCACAATATTTCTATTTGTAATTTTTGCTTTTTAAATCATTTTACTAATTTATCTACTTTTTGCAACATTTGAAACTTAAAGAGTAGCCTTAAACTTTAAATTAAGATTAATTTTAGAGAAAAAGATAGAATCAGTTAATTAAATACTCCACTGGTACTTTACTTTTTATAGCATCTTCACAATACCAATTATTGTAATTAGTGTCAAATTTATGTTAACTAATTATTATATATTCGGATATTTTAATGCATTATTATAGTATTGCTAAGGGATAATCCTCATATATCTATTAAGGAATCACAGATTCGCTGAAAACAATTCCTTTAAAAGAAGATTTGCATATGTTCAATTATTTAATTATACCATTGGTTACTTATTAATCTTTTTTAGGTTCTATTAAGAAATTGTATTTGTTAAGTATATATTTGGATTTTCATATGCATTTTTGCAAATAGTAGATCAATTTTATAGTTGTCCTTATCGAGATCCATTTAGAGAGCCCTCATTAAAAGTAGCCATGGTACTTTTCAGTAGCATATTCATTTGTTTAATGTTTTCATTGGAAGTAATAGTAGATGGTTAATTGTTTTGGACCTTGTTTGTGGCTGGATTAATGAGTGGAGTATCAACTTCAATAAGTTCATTATTTCATGAATTTGCAATGACTAATTACAATTCTCGTTTCAACCTTCAAGAGAAATATATAATTATTGGAGTAGATTAATTTTATAGTCATTTTATTCATTTTCAAACAAGTGAATTCAATAAATTAACTTACTTTTAATAATTACTTAAGCATAATGAGAATTGTCTCAGACTTAAGTGTCCTTCTTAAAGAAATAAATTATCAAAAATAAATTTTAATGATAAGATTTAATTACAAAAATTAACAATTGATGTAGTAAGTTGTATCTTTAAGACTTGTCATAGTAGAACTGTAGTAAAAAATGGGGAAATTCATAAACCTAAATTTGAGCAATTGCAATTACAATATATTAGTTTTTTGTCATCTACAGCTTAAAGACCATTGATTGGTTATGTTGAATTAAGAAAATATCAGCAAGATTAAAATAGTGACAATTCCTTATATTTTAGAGAGTTGACTTCCAAAATTTCAGCAGAGTTGGAGTTTTCCATTTTGTATCTTCAGGAGAGAATGATATAACAATAATTTAGAAAGGAAAGATATATGGCAAAAGAGGAAAAATTAACAATTGCATAACTCTGGAGGAGTATTAATTTTTACTAAGAAATCACTCCTAAAATAATAGAAGTAATAGAGAAGAAACAAAAATTTTGGGATAATCTCATCGAAGGTTATGATGATTTAGAACCATTTCATAATGAATAGCTTTAATTATGCAAATCTATAGATGAATTATATAAGAATATTAAATGTAAGAGATATGATCTATTAATAAGCCACTATCATAATACCAGAAGTGTTTTTTGATAGGTCAAAAGATATCAGTCTGTAGACTGTCCTTAAAACATTGGATCCAGAAGATAGAAATATCAACATTCTAAATTTGAAGTTGTATTCTATTCTATACGCTGTTATTTTAAATGACTTTGACAGAGTAATTTAGTATTTCAAAATAGGCATTTTAAGCAGAAAAACAAATAGAAGAACTCATAAAAGAAGATAGATAGAAATCTGTGGAAGTTATTGATGACTGTGCTCTTTTAAAGGATGAGGCTGTCATAATCTTAGTGAGTCTTGTAAGAAAGAAAGGACATATTGTGAATAAGAATTTGTTAACTTTAGCGAATTTCTTTGAATTTTAGAATGTTCAAGATATAGCAGCAGTATAAAATTATTATAGTATTTTAGCAAACTCTAATCTCATCGTTCCTGCCACCTGATTTAAGAGTATTACATGATGCATAGTTAAATGACTTTATTTCAAAGGGTTACACAAAGTATTCTGTATAAAGCATCCATTCTTATTATTTATAAAAATAGGGATATTTAAGAGAATGCTATATTAAGTTGGGTAATTTATTTTAAGATTCCTCTGATTTTGTTTTGACAGGTTCAATTCTTAGATTACAACCCTCATATGATGTAATTATGTTTGACAGTTATGGCAAAATTATTGGATCTAGCTAAGATTTCTTTGAAAAAAGGATCTTGCCCAATAATCCAAATATGACAATGGAAAGATTTGTGGAGCAAGGACATATATTTATGTTGATGCCATTTATCTTTATTAACCTAAAGAAATTAGCAAATGAAATTGAGACAGAATTTGTAGATTATACATATTTCCCAGAATAATTATAAGACATCTGTTTATAGTTTGGATAGGTATTCAATGATAGATAAAAATACGATTAAAAATTGTCATCCTACAATTTAACTACTATCAAATCTTAGTTAGTATCACATGCCTCTGCGATCTCTGCAAGAAGTTTAAATAATCAAGAAGAGTAGGTTAAAATTAAAGGATTGAATATACCCATGTTATAAGTCGAAAGAATGAATTTAATTTTAGACTTTTTATAAAAGTACCATGATGAATAAACCATCAAATGTGATATACTTAAAATTAAGTACAATTTAGAGTTTCAGATAATGGAAACAAAAAAGGAGAGATACCCATATTTTATATTAAAGTTGGAACCCTTAAGTGAATTTGAAAGGTCTGATTCAAGTTCAATTATCCCTTATAAAAAGTCTATTCGAAGAACTTTGATGGCACTTAAATATGGGGAATCACAAACTGGATTAGATTCAACCAATACAAAGAATTTCATAACTAGACATTTTTAACAGAACTCTGATCAATTAAATGAAACTGCTGATTTAAAAGGCCCTTCAGACCAACAAATTTTAGAATAGATTATGGAAATAAATAATAGCAATACTTCTAAGCTTTTGAAATAACAGGACGAGTCAAAAGTCATCTTTGAAAATCCTCAAATTTCTAGGATTGAAGACTAAGACTTTCAATAATTAGTGTAGGATATTGAAGAAAGTAAAATCAATGCTCAATAACCGGAATAGGAACAATTTGAAGATCCGAAATATGATTCTGATTTAATAGAAAAGAAGTCTGACAGTTCTAAGGATTTACAAAAAAAAAAGAAAAATGATATTCTTGAGATTTTAAGAAAGAATATGAATAATTAGGAAATTTAAGATCATGAGAATAAATAGTCTTCAAAGCCTAGTTCAGCCAAAACTTCATCATCAAAATCTCCTTATCTTTTGATTAGATCTCTCTATCAATTAGGTGAAATAAACACTTAAATTTGGTTAATAATAATATTAAACATTGTTGTTTGTCTAACTGCACTGATTTTAGTATTCATCAAAATATACATAGTCTAAGGTATTTATTTAAGTTATTTTCAGATTAGTTCGGAATTCTTTAAACTAATTTAAATTATGTTCAATATCCAGAAAAAATCAATAATTACTTCTTAAAAACTTTGATGTTTTCATCAAACATTCTTCAATAAAAATTAAATTTCGTTAATTATAGCTAATTAGTGAATGATGCCTTTAAAACTGAATTCAGCACTTTAGCTTTGAATATTGAACATGATTTAAAGAGTATTTATGAAGATATCATTACTTTTGAAAATTAAGTAATACCTTTAAATGACAATCTCAAAATCATCAATAATTTATAATAGTTCGAAATTACATTTGATCTAACAATATTATTAGAGTAGATATCTTCAAATTCAATCACTTTAAATCAGTAAATCCAAAATGAGTTAGACGAAAAGTTCGTGTCACTCAACTTATTTTTCAAATTAAATATGGTTCAAGTAATAACTGTAAGTAAAAGTTATATAAATTATCTGAATGACAATTTAATCTTTTATGAGTAATAAATTGTTAATGCTCTCATTTATGTAGTTGTTGCAGAACTTAGTGTGATAACAACTTTTATGTTTTTGATTATAAAGGTGTTACAAGATGTCAATTAATTAATCAGAAAGATCTTAGTACTTATTACAAAATTGAGCGAAGATGATGTGAATCAGATTAACAAGATTTATAATGAAATCAAAACCATTTTAAAGGATCCGAAATAAGTCTTATGGAAATAAACAAACTTCGTTAAATTTATATTTGAATCAAACTTTGTGAAAGCTAAATAAGATTTAAATTTTCTTTAGTCTTCCAGTGGATAAAGTACTGGTAAAAGCAATAAATAGAAATTAAAAAAGAGATATTAAAATAGTTCCTTAACTTCAAGAGTTTATAATTTGAGATTACCTCAATTTTGGAACTATGCTTTCTTATTTGGATCATGGTTATTTCTAGCAGGATACTTATTAGGTGCATTAGGCCTATCTATATCAATGGTCTAATCCATAAAACCAGCAATAACATTAAATTTATAATTGATTGAATTTAAATTAAAATTTGATTCCCTTGTTGTTTATGGAGAAATTTTGAAAACTGACTATTTAGTGAATAAAAAATTAAATCAAATTTTTGAGTTGTCTTAAATTGACTTTAATTCAGATGGGGTTTTATCAGAATTTTTCTCCTTGCAAAATGGTTTTTAAGATTAATTATCAGTCATATATGATCAATTAGCTTCAAGTACATCCCTTTTAGAAGAACAAAAAAACACATTGTTAATACCATTTCGAAGTTCCCTTTGTGAAAGTGATCCAACTCTGGTTCCAGCTTGTACAAATTCATTTGCACCGGCCTCTTCAGATAATAGTTTGGACTATATATCTGGAGGAATAGTCGATATGGTACATGAATTTTCTAAAACTTTGAAAACATTTTGGTAATCAAATGATTATGCTATAACTGATGAGGATTAATTGGAACACTTTTTATCAGGGTAAGTACATACAACTGAATTTACTCATCATTTTCTATTTTAAGGGAAGATAATGGAACAAATTGCAAGTACGATGCTGAATTTAAATAAAAGCACTTTAGACTCAGTTATTTTAAAATTTCAAATTTATATGTATACTATGGGTTTAGCATTGATTATCATTTATATCTTGTGTTTTTACAAATGGATATTAAGATTGGATAATGGAATGTATTTAACAAAATTAGCTTTAACTTTGATTCCTGCAGATTCTTTGACTGAACAAAAGACAATGACAGACTTGAAGAATATTTAAAATGAATGAGAATGATAATATCTATATTCCACAGTTAACATAAATTTATTATAACAATATTAATCTTATTACAAAGTAGCTTTAAATGGTAAAGTTCATAATTGAAAATTTCTGTCATATTAATAATCATATGCAATATGTACCTTTTGGTTCAAGGTTTTCAAATTCTCAAATAGAAAAAATTTTAGTATTAAAAAAGTTATTATGTGAGTTAAAATTAATAACTTAAACCTTTAAATTTAGCTTATTGGGACATTAGCGTGGAAAATTGATTAAAATTGGTCTTAGTCTACATATATTATTTTTCTAGATAAACTTTTCAATAAAAAAAATTGAATTTACTAGAATCTAGATAGCCTATCATATTCCCATTTGATTCCAAAATGAAAATAGTATAGAATTGCCAAATAGTCATATAAGATCTCATAAAGTATTTGTCAATACATAAATAAGAAGAACTTAAATAAAGATTGATATGCAGATAGATTTTGATTAATGTAAAATAGTTAAAGGCGATAGAGTGAAAATTAAGTTTACATTACGTATGCAAATGAATAGAATAATCATACTGGTAGATATATTAGATTATCAATAAGCTGATAAATAATCTAAATAATGATATATTTATATGAATTATAAATTAACAGAGCCTCTTTAAGGTTAAGATCAGAAACCAGAAATTGTAGGGGAATTTATAACACCCAAAGGTAAAAGGAGAGTTTTGCATGGATTTTCTAATTCAATAATTGTCGCCAACAAGAAGAAATTCATTTCTCTAACCTTCGAAACCAAATTTTAATTATTAAGAGAATAGGTTGAGGAGAAGTTTAAAGTTGGAAAACCATTAGGATTATTGATTGAAAGAGAGAATATTGAGCACAAAATAAAATTATTTTCTGATGATGCATAACTATTAAAAAGATGGAGAGATTACTTAGCAAAACACATAAATCAAAGAGGATTTCACGAAAGCTTTAAGGCACATAGAAAAATTGGGAAGGGCAATTTTGCATCAGTTTATTTGGCTGATCGCTTAGAGGATGAAAGAAGTTTTGCCATAAAAGCATTTTCAAAAGAGGTAGCGTATGGTTAAGATAAAGGAAAAGTAAAAATGTCCTTTTTATTATAGTTGTCCATATTGAATGAAATTTCCGTTATGAGATAGTTTGATAGTCATGCCTTAATAAAATTACATGAAGTTTACGAAACTGAAAATTCCTTATACATGGTACTTGATTTGTTGGAAGGAGGATCTCTGTACGATAAAGTAAAAAATAGGCCTTAGTTTAATTCATTTGAAATTGAAGTGCTTTTATTTACTTTATTGGAAGGATTGCAACATATGCATTCAAAGCACATAATGCATAGAGATTTGAAGCCAGAAAATATATTATTTAGAAAAGCAAAGTAATCTATTATTCTATTGAATTATTAGCAATATCTAATCTGTTTGCATAGCTGATTTTGGGTTGGCTTAAAACGCTGATGAATTCCCATATTTATTTAATCGATGCGGAACACCAGGTTTTGTAGCTCCAGAAGTGGTCAATTGCAAAGATGGAGGAAGATACGATCCAATTTGTGATGTATATAGCTTAGGACTCATATTTTACATATTGTAATTTCTTAGTAAATTATATAAGATTAACTGGCAAACCTGCATTTCCAGGAAAAAGTTACAATGATGTCTTAGCAAAGAATAGAAAATGTGAAATATCCTTCGATGGAGCCATATTTGAGAATGTTCCTTAATAGGCCTATGATTTATTAAGAAAGATGTTAGAAAAAGAGCCTCAAAAACGGATCACTGCTTAACAGGCTCTTGGGCATTCCTATTTCGGTAGAAGGTTAAAACAGGTGGAAGAAAATGAAGAGACGACCTTAAAGATTTAGGAAGAACATTTAAAATTTGATAAATAGAGACTAAAATAGCTAAGCAATTCACCTCTTCATTCACCATTGATAACTGCTTCTTCAAAATTAAGGAAGGATTGTTCTAATGATAGTTTATATCAAAACAGCCCTTTGTTAAATGGCCACACTGATTAGATAGGTATTATTATCTAAATTACTTAGATTCTCCTTCAAATAATGGATTCAATAGTCCTTCCGCTTAAGGTAGATAATTAAATAGAGGAGATTAACAATAATAATAAAAACCTTCAAGATTCAGAGATTTTGATGGAAATAATACTAATGGTTAGGGAAATTATTAAAATTCTAATTCAAAGCCATTTAGTCTAAATTAAAATCCTTTGCATAAATATGCAATTAGAAATGAAATGGTCAGATAGTAAAATAACTAAGAATAAAAATAATGAATTTGAAAATATATTTTATCATTCTAAAATATCATTTTATATTTAAATCACTATCTAGATGTTTGTTAATGGTAGATTAAGTTTATGGGCTTAAATTAAAGATGAAAAAATAGTAAATTGTGTTAAACAATATTATTTTTTCTGTCTCATATAATGCTATAAGTTGAACTTGGCAATAAATAGTTATTATAAATAGTTCAACTGAATCCTAAGAGTTGTAATTAATCTTTTTTAACATATATATTATAAGAAATTTAGGACAATTATACATCCATTTGAGGATATTTGGGATTGTAAAGTAGAGTTAATCTTTTAGGTTAAAAATTAGTATGAAAATAGTATATAGATAGACTTACAGATATTAAAATCTCATATTCCATAAATACAAATGATGAAAAAGTAAAATAGAGATAAATTGTGTCTTACTATTCTTAAAATTTGGAAGAAGGAGGTAATAGACATCCTTAAAAGAGTGTATCAAAGGAGACATAAAAGTGCTTTGAATAGTTAATTTTTTTTTGTTGACGGATTGCAGGTAATATCTAAACTTAATATATATAACATATGAATTATTAATTAAAATGAGTGAAAGTATTGATATAAATGATATAATCACTCTGAATAGGTATTTTCATTTAATATGAAGAAACATCTATGGAACTTAATAGTAGAACAAGGAAAGCAAGATACTTCAAAAACCTGCAGATGATTCTAGTCTCACTATTGATAACATTTTAAAAGGAAATCAGTATGAAATTATATCTAAACATTAGAGCATTATATGCTCCAGTCGCAGTTAAGCCAGAATAAATAAATGAAAAGATTGCAGAGGAATCAGCAGAAGAAAAGACTGACTTCTTTCAAGAGGTGTAATTATTAAGTAAAATCCCTGAAATAACTTCTCTCAATTCAATCTACAATTATAAGACAATTTTTAAGAATGATGGAATCCCTTATGATGAGGTAAAAAATTTAGATAAAAGTACATAATTAATCAATAGAAATAGCAAGGATCAAAAGAAAAGAAAGAGAATAAAAAGGAAGCGAAACATCTATAGCAAAGGAAGCAGTTGTTGTCAAAAAACAATATGTTAGACTTTACAAAAATTAAATCTCAAAATTATGTTTTATCACTCCAAAAAGTTTATTATTGACCAGCAAACATTTAGTGAACAATACCAAGTGGGAAAAACTATTAAATTTATAAGATTTCGGAGGTTAACGACCATCATTGTCAATAGTGCAAGAAAAAACAACTGGCCGCTTTTACATCTACGATAATAAATTAGGGAAGGTTCATATATATAGTTCAGATATGTTAATAAATGATAATAAGGATAAGCCACTTGTGTCCTTGAATTTAAATGAAGACAAGCCAAGACAAGATCCACTTCTATATTTGATAGAGTGTGAACACGAATATCAATGGAAGAGTGTCTTACTTGTTATAGGAGGACATCAACTTTAAAGGGGAGAGAAGAAGCCTCTTAAAACAATCAAAGTTTTTGAGATCAAAAGAAGAGAAGTCACCCTCACTCCTGTTCTAACTATAACTATGACTAAATCAAGAATGAATCCAATCGTATTTGATTTAATTAAAGATAAAGGAATTATTTGGCAAGATAAAGACAACAGAGATAAAGAAAAGTTTGATCCATAACATAGATCAGTTGATTCTAAATATATATTTTTTATGGGTGGCAATCCTCTTTTGGAATATGAAAAAGAAATAAGTTAAGAATTAATTGAAGCTAATTAAACATGTGAATATGTGAGTTTGAAATTAGTATTAGAACATATTGCTAGAGCAAAATTAGTAATAGTAAATTTATAATTAGTTTTTTTAAACCGATTAAGCTAATTTAGGATTGAATTTTGGTAAATTTTCGATTGTTGATACTCTAACAATTAAATATTAAAACATTGTAGCTACATAAAAGGTTTATAACCATTTTTATAATGCTTCTGTCACTAAAATGGTTGACGAAGTCTTTCAATAAAAGGCATTAATAGTAGTTGGAGGAAATACTTGTTAGACTTTTCAAATATAAGCCATATCATTTAAATTAAATGAAATTACTTTGATTGGTTATAATAAACAAATATCGAATCCTTCTCTCATTCATTCAGCAAGTAATTTAAGGTTTGATTTATTTCATAATTAGATATTTTGAAAAAAAGGTCTGGTATTTTGATGACACAAACAAAAAAGATCCGATGGTCTTGATGAATATGGATTTTAGAAGAGATATAAAAACATCCTGTACTTGTTCAATCATGTGAGATTACATGAATTACATCTTCTAGATTTATATATTAAATGTTAAATTTTAAGAATATTTACAGATTATTTATTCAGGCTAAACCTACACCAAACCCAAACTTTTTGAAATTTATTCCAGATGGTAAATAAGTAATGCTCAATGGAACCTATGATTTTTCAAGGCCCAGAGAAGCCAAGTGTTCGCCTTTGGCTTAAAAACTATTTATGATTGATGGAGTGACTAGAGTATTTTATGGAAAAGACTATATTTCTATTTCCAAAAAGGAAGAAAGTAAATGGGAAGACCTAAAGCCATAAATATTTGAATAAATAATGGAACATTATTAATTAGATTCAGATGGTAAAGAAAAATAATTGATCATTGATGGTTACTCAGAAAATCAAGACACTTAAATCAAAGAAGAGGATTCAGAAGTACAAAATTTATCTAAATAGGCTATTCAATTAATCAAAGAAATTATTGATACTAGGATCAGACCTACAGTTTAAGAAGATGGAGGTGACATAGTATTTAGAGATTTCGATGAATAAAACGGAATCGTTCATTTATACATGAAGGGTTCATGCGCAGGTTGTCCTTCATCTTCAATCACTCTCAAAAATGGAATTGAAAGAATGTTGTGTCACTATGTTGCAGAAGTAAAAGAAGTGGTTGCTGAAGATTATGTTGGTTCTGATTGAATAATGAGATTTTTTTAGTTTAAAAACCTCAATTAAATTCTTATTCTCCTACTTCTTCATTTATTTCATTAATTTTATATTAATTATTTAATTACTCTGCACCTTTCCAAATATAACCCATATTCATATTTAATCAAATTTACACCTCTTAAAGTAGTTATGATTATAAACAATATAGGATTAGTATATATTAGCTTTATAAATAAAATAATTTATTTCTGGTGTATTTTTAATAAAAAATTTTAAATAATAAAATAAATTTTTTATTTATAAAGCTAATTGAAAATAATTCTGCTTCAAATTATCATTAACAACACTCAAAATATTTCAGAGTATTATCTGCCTTATATTAGGTGAGGGTAATTTTTTCAAAAAAGGAATAGATTTTTTTATAAAATAAATTTTATCTATTAATCATATCAACTAACCTAAAATTTAGTTCATTTAAATGGGTTGATTTTCATTTATATCAATTATATGATTCATCATTATCCGTAATCACAGATAGCAACTTTATATAAATACACTGTTCATTTCTGATTTTAAAAATATAAGGAACTATAAAGCTCATCTAAAGGATAGTTTTTTTTAATTTATATGTTTGTCTAATATTGAATATCGATTTTTACAACTTCATTAGGTAAATTTAAATGATATTGATAAATAGAGTTTTAATTCAATTTCATTCATGGAAAATTAGAAGCAAAATAAAAGTATTTGTTAGATAAGAGTTGGCAAGACCAATCAAGTAAGTAATTAATTTACCCTATATAACTTATAATTGAGTATTTGATGAGTGAGATTTTTGAATATTATATAAAAAAAAGTGCCTTTATGGCAAAATTCTACAAAATTAACTTAATGTTTAATATTATTAAATAAATTCTTGTAGTTTTATGCTATTATATCAGTAAAACATGAACTCAAAATACAATACATGATATTTTTAATAAAATAGAACTATATTTTAATCTTAAATCTTTTTCATCAAATTCCTCGCTTAATTTTCTTAATTAGTTGAATACTATTTATAATTTCTGTTAGCTTGAAAAATTAGTTAATCTTTGAGGAAGAATAAGTTAAAGTAATATGATTATTAATTAATAAAAATTTGAGCACAAATAAAACTTTATGTAGATTACAATTAAAATAGTTGACGGAATTTAATAATTTCTTAGAAAAATTCTCACGAAATAATTTGTTGTATTTATGTAACCATTTTAAATTTACTTTTTAAATTTTTTATTTATTTATAGGATTTCTGAAAATTCTTATGAGTGACAGCAGTCCAGAGAAGAAACAAAATGAATTAGAAATGACTATGTAAAAAAAAGATACTGATACCAATAATCAAATACTTACGGTGTTGAATGATTAATAGGAAGAGTCTTAGCAGGAATAATAACCACTAAATTTGTAGGAAGGATAAGATGAACCTTCAATGTTGACGATTCCTGAGGAAGAAGAAGAAAAGTTTTATCCTTACTACCACGGTGAGGATAGCTGGATGATATCAAAGTTTGTTTTTTTGCATCTTACAAAATACTCATTATTTTTGAAGAGAAATGTATTAGACAAAGGACATAAAATTGTGGATAAGCACTTACCAAAATTATCACCTTGGGAAGACTTAAAAGAAACTGTGGAAGTGTCTTAAAATACAGTGAAATAAAAAAAAAAAATTTCTTGTGGTGATTTAGTGAAAATTATTTTTTTTGGTTAATTAAAGTGGATAAGTTTAGGATGTTTTTTCTCATACAGTCTAGAAGCAGTAGTAAGAAATGGCGTATCAATGGTAATGAGTAAAGTAATAACGAGTGCTGCAAAAGATGAAAAAGATAATGCATATGGGTTTGCTATATTGTTAGTGTTTCTAAATTTACTTTGTGTTTTTACAAGACATCATGGGTATAACTTAGCTATGATTTTTTCATCAAAAGCAAGAATGACACTTATAAATTTAGTCTACATAAAATTAACTGAATTAAGTGCATACTCCATAAAAGAGGCAAATATTGGTAAAATTTTAAATTTAGTTTCTGGTGATATTAATTATCTTGAATTTGTACTTATTATGATATTCTAAAGTAGCGTATGCTTTATATCAATTATTTTTGGATGCTATATTCTATGGGATAGGTTTAATGGACCTATAGGAATGATCTCACTAGCTATTATATTCGTAGCCTACCCTATCTAAATAATTCTCTAATCTTTTAATTCAGAAACTCTAAAAAATTCTAAGTAATATTAAGATTAGAGATTAAAATTAACCAATGAACTTATTGAGGGTGTTAGACTTATTAAAATGTATGCATGGGAACAAGCCTTCAATAACATGATATCAATTATGAGAAATAAGGAATACATTTGCTTATTAGCAATCAGTTTTAGAACAGCCATTGATAGATTATTTAGTTTAATATCTCAAGTTTGGTCAAGTTTTGTTTTCTTTGTTATTTTGTATTATGGAGGATTCAGAGAAACAATGAACGTAGCAGAAATGATTTCTACAATTCAATTACTTACATTTTTTAAAATAAGTTGTGTATTTATGGTATCTTATGGAATTTAATCAGTAATTCATATAAAAGTATCTTTTACAAGAATTGCAACTATTTTAAATATTGAAAATTCAGAAATGTTAAATTTAGATAAAATTCATTTGAAAACAGATAATAATACTCAACCTCCAGATTATAATGGTCCAAGAATTCAACTTTAAAATTTTACTTCATTTTGGACAAGCAAAGTCACTGCAACGACAAAACCAGTTCTTAAAAATTTAACACTAGATATATAAGCAGGAGAAGCTTGGGCTTTTATTGGAAGGGTTGGTTGTGGAAAATCAACTCTCCTTAGTGCCTTCCTTTACGAAATTCCTGCATATAAGGGATCATTTAAAATTGATGGTTAAGAGGCAAATAAAGGTGTCTTAAGTATAGCCTATGTTGAATAAGAACCATTTATCTTTCCTGATACTATTAAAAAAAACATTTTGTTTGGTAGACCATATGATAAAGTTTTGTATTAAAAAGTCTTGCATGCATCCTAATTGGAAGCAGATTTATCCTTAATGAAATTTTAAGATCATACTGAAATCGGAGAAAGAGGTACTACGCTTTCAGGAGGTTAAAAAGCTCGTTTATCCTTGGCTAGAGCATTATATCAATAGGCTGACTTATATTTATTTGATGATCCTTTGTCTGCAGTTGATGCCAGTGTGGCCAAAAATATCTTCCATATGGCCATCAAAGAATTCATTTTTGATTATTAAATATAAAGAAATCCTTCAAAGAAGAAACCCATTGTTATTTTGGTTACCCATTAAGTATAATATGCTGTTGAATGTGATAAAATTGCTATATTAAATGATGGAGAATTAATCTCTTAAGGAACCTATGAGGATATTAAATCAAATTTATATATGATCAATGAAGAATTAGCTTAACAATTAAACAACACAAAAGAATCAAAAAAATAAGAATTTGTAAGACCATAATTCTAAAAGAGAACAAAAATAAGAAATTCTGTTGCCAATAATCTTATAGGTAAAGAAGCAGATTAACAATCATTGATTACCTTAAAAACATATGTTAGATACTACAAATTTTGGAATTTCTTGATCATCATATGTGTTTTATGTTTAGAAGCTGGTTCTGAAGTTCTCAATAATTTCTATTAGAGAATCATTTCTCTGTTTTAAGAATATTAACAAGAAGGTGATATAGACACAGCCTACTATCTGTTAGGAATGTTAACTTTGGGGCTTTTCCTTTCTAATTTTGTTAAATATGCATTAAACACATATTCTGTTTAAACTTCTACTTAGAAAATACATTAGCAAATGCTTAGATCTTTAACTTTAGCCCCAGTTTCATACTTTGATGTAAATCCATCTGGAAGAATTATAAATAGATTTTCGAACGATCTATCTTTATGTGATAATCAAACAAACTCTGTTAGTTTGGATGTTTTAGAAATTATGGGTGGCTTTTTGTTTGCTCTTATAACCCTGGCGATCTTATAACCATACTTTTTGATAATGATTGTCTTTATTATCGTCATTGATATTTATTAGTTTAGTTATGCAAAGAAGATTATTAGTTAACTTAAAGAGGTTGAATTGATGTAAAGAAGCCCGTTATTTGATTTTCTAAAGAAAACTTTGGGGGGTGTGATCTAAGTTAGAGTTTATGAATAATAGGCTTGGTTTAGAAAATAATTTTTAGAAATTTCAAATAAATGCAATCTTAATGCTTTAACATATTATTATTCTTCAAGATCCTTTGGATTTAATTTGGATGTTGTAGGATTTATAGCTTAGACAGCTGGTATATTCATATTTGTTAAGTTAAATTATGACAATGTTGCAATTTTGTCTCAAGGATTATTACTATTGACTACTTACAATGATTCTTTATAATGGGGATTAAGATAATTAATCACATTTGAAACCTAAATGAACTCCTATAACAGAATGTTTTAGGTCATTGATATTTAACCAGAGGCTCCTCATGTAAAAGAAGATGATTCAAAATATCCAGATTTTCCAAAAGATGGTAGGGTTAAATTTGAAAATGTTTTTATGAGATACAGATAAAATTGTGATTTAGTTTTAAAGGGATTATCATTTGAAATTTAAAGTGGTGAAAAGATAGGTTGTGTTGGAAGAACAGGAGCAGGAAAGTCTTCAATTTTATAGGCAATTTTTAGAATGTCAGAAATTGAAAATGATAAAGAATCAAAATTATTAATTTCCGACTTGGACGTTAGAAAATTAGGATTGCATAAATTGAGAAGCAACATTGGAATAATTCCTTAATCGCCTTTCTTATTCACAGGGACTATTAGAAGAAATTTAGATCCCTTTGATAATTTTACTGATGAATAATTATGGAAGGCCCTTGAGCAAACAGATCTTATAAAACATGTAAAAGCATTTTCAAATGGTCTATAAACTGACATGAGTGATGTCAACTCAGTTTTTTCTGTTGGTTAAAAATAATTAATTTGCCTAGCCAGAATCATACTTTTCTAAAAGAAAATTATTGTTTTGGATGAGGCAACTGCGAATGTTGATATGAAAACTGATGATTTTATTTAAGAAACCTTAAAAAAGAAATTTACAGATTGTACTTTAATCACGATTGCACATAGATTAAACACAATTGCTGATTATGATAAAGTTATGGTTGTAAGCGAAGGGTAAGTTATTGAATTTGATACTCCTTTTAATTTATTAGCTAATTCAAATAATTCAACATCTGTAGATAAGAGTACAGAATTTTCGAGGCTGGTTAAGAATACTGGTGATTAGAATGCCTAAGCAATTTTTGATATTGCTAAATAAAAGCACATCAAAATATGATGTTTATTTATTTCTAATAAATAACAAATTATTTAATTATATCATTACTCAAATATCTTTTAATTATTTTTCCTTATTTGATTTTGCTTGTAGTTCATTTATCTTATTTCATAAAAAAGTATTATTATAATAATATCCATTCTACATATTTACTAAACTCAATCATTTTTGCTATGCCTTATTTCTTATGATTTAAATCTATTTAATCTAAGGTTTTACTTAGATTTTATCTATAATGTGAGTGACAATATTTATTTTATTTATTATTTACAATAAAATATAAATTATTATAAGTAGAAGGAGTTAAATTATATAAAAATACAAAAATGATATGTTTGATTTAAATGATAACAACATTTTTTTATATTTATAATAATGAATCATTATTATCCTTTATATTATTATCTCCAATTTTCGATTTCTTCTGGCTTGACTAAATATAATTAATATTAATAGTATACATTCTCTAAAGATAGGCACTGGCTAATTGATTGGTTAACCTGGTTTGACAAGATTCAAAAGGGCAGATACATTGTTATCGTAGGATAATACATGTTCAAAGAGCTTGTCATCCTTTTCTGTTCTTTAGTTAAAGCCTAAAGTGAAATTGATCTTAGCTGAGACAGAAGGCATGAATGGTTCAACCAAAGCACTAACAAATCTGATGGCATTGGCAGCCACAAATAATATCACATCAGATCTTTTAGATTCCTTTTGTTCCTTTTCCCATGCTTTTTCATCTTGAATGTATTTGTTAACAAGACTGCTTAATTCCATAGCTTTTCTAAGTGCATCTTTGATTTCAACTTTTTCAAATGCATCTAGGTATTCAGTCTTAAATTTATTCAAGAATAAATTAATAAATTCTTCATCTTTTGGTGTTAATTGATTCAATTCAACTTATGGGATTGCTTTATTATAGTTTTTATAGATGAAATTAAGAGCACGATTAACAAGATTACCAAGGTTAGGTAAAAGTTCATTGTTATTTTTATTAGCAAAATCATTCCAAGTAAATACTGTATCACTCTTTTCTGGACGATTGGCTAATAAATAATATCTAAAGATTTCATTTGGAATTTGAGTATTTTAAGCATTGTCACCAAATACTCCTGTTCCTCTGGACTTTGAAAATTTGCCATCTTCATAATTTAAATACTCTGTTGTGGAGATAGTTTTCAAAAGAGTGTAATCTTATCCAGTTCCCATTAAGGTAGATGGGAAAATAACAGTGTGAAATGGAACATTATCTTTACCCATAAATTAAAATAATTCAACATTCTCTGGATTCATCCACCATTATTTCCAATCTTTAATAAAATTGGCTGTAATGCTTAAATAACCAATAGGAGCATCAAACCAAACATAAAATACTTTATCCTTATATTCTTCTAGTGGTACTTACACACCCCATTTAAGATCTCTTGTAATGCATCTTTCTTTCAATCCTAATTTCAACCAAGCTTTAGAAACATTATAAGAATTTTGAGACCATTATCCAGATTTGGAGGTGGAATGAATCCATTTTTCAAGTCTTTCTTAAATTTCAGGTAAGTTAATGTATATATGTTTAGTATCTTTGATTTCTGGTTTGTTTTTGCAGATATAACATTTTGAATTGATTAATTCAACTGGATCAAGCAATTTTCCGCAAGAATCACATTAATCACCTCTAGCATCATCATATTGACAATGAGGACAAGTTCCACTTACATATCTGTCAGCCAAATACATCTTACAATGAGAGCAAAATGTTTATGGAGTAGTTTTTTAAGTAGTGTACTTTGGATGCAAATGATTGAAAATCTCTTGAGTAATCTCAGTATGAACAGGAGTTGATGTTCTACCGAAATAATCAAAATCAATATCAAACCAATCATAAACATTTTTGTGAATCTCAAAATACTTAGTACAAATTTATTAAGGAGTCATATTTTCTTATATTGCTTTCACTTCTGTAGCTGTTCCGTATTCATCTGTTCCACAAACGTAAAGGGTGTTATATCCTCTTAATCTTGAATACCTAGCAAAAGTATCAGCACTTAAAACACAACCTATGATATTTCCTAAATGAGGAACATTATTCACATAAGGCAAAGCACTTGTAATTAAGACATTCCTTTTTCCTTTTTGTGGTAGAATTTATTAGCCTAAATTTGTTCTAAGAATCTTTTAAGCACCAAACTATTTCAAATAATCTTAGGATATTTCTTCTTTTTATTTTGTACCTTTCTCTTTTTGTTGTGGTTATTATTATTATTATTATTATTGTTTTTATTATTTTGGTAATTCTTATTCCTATTTTCCTTTCTTTGAATCACCTTTTGAGTCTTTCTTTGAATTTTAATGTTATTCAATTCTTCTTTTGATTTCTTCTTCCTTCTTTTTTTTTTCCTCTTCAATAGCGGTAATCTAAGGTTTAAATTCCTAATAAATTTAATTTAAAATTCTTTTACATTTTCCATTGAAGTCAATATTGGATCGACTACAGCACCAACAGTATTTTACCATTTTAACAATTTACCTTAAGTCTTCACTTCTGGTTTGACTCTTTTTAATTTGATATAAGCTATGATATCTGTTTCTGATAATTCTTCTCCTTCTAAATATTTTGATTATTCCAATATCTTATTCAAAGTCTTAATGTTGTCAGTCTTGACTTATTTCTTTTTCTCAACAACAACCTTAAAAATTTAATTAGGAATTTTACATCATTCTTCTTTATTTAAATTACTTCTTTGAGCTAGTGAGCTATCCACCATAATCTCTCATTTTAATATGGATTTCTCTTCACTTTACTCAAGTAATTAATGATTGAATAGTTTCCATACACAGAATCATTTTCATTAATTTGAAGTGTGTCACAACATTTACCTTATTAATTAACAAGATTCTTACTAAAATCTAATTTCACTTAAATATTGTTTTCTAAATGCAAAATTTTAAGAATACTTAACACAGATAAAGTCTTTCCACTTAATTTCTTAAAAGCAAAAATCATTAATTTAAAATAATTTAATTCTTTCTTTAAAATATCTTTATAAAGGAGATTCATATTTATATAAAAGAATTGCACATATATGTATATGATTAATAATCACTCACCATATGATACAGAAGAAAGCCATGATAGTTCTAAGTCTATTTCCGAAGTCAAACTCATTTTCTCCGTTATTTATTAATATATTTTCATTTCCCCCTATAATTTACTGAGAAGCATAGAATGCAAATATTTGTTCTAGATTTGGCTAGTATATAGAAAAATCTGTAATCAATAATTATTTTTATTTTAGCTCTCCTTGTAGATATTAGAAGAGCTAAGAAAACTTGAATTAGCCTGATGGAATTTGGTATGATAGATAGCTAATATATTGAAAAAAATGATACTTATCTCTGTATTCAAATATAGGCTGTAGATGGAATTATTGGGAGAGTTATAACCATATAGTCTAATGTACCTGTTCTTTTCTTCCTACATTGCACTTAACACTAAATCTTGCCTACTCTCCTAGTTAAGCTCTTAATTCATTTAAAGTTCCTTATGTAATCATATATCCATTGACCATTATACCAATTTTATTACAAATACTTTAGGCCTCTTATAATGAGTGAGTAGTTAAAAGTACTGAAGCATCATTGTTTATGGTTGATTATAGTAATATCTATTAGATTATTCTTCTAGATTTTGGATCTAATCCTGTTGTGGGTTCATCCATGAATAATCTATTTGATCCTCCAATCAATGCTATTCCTATCTAAACCTTTCTTCTTTCTCCTCCACTTAAGAATTGGACCTGCCTATCTTTAATTTCATACATATCAAGAGCCTTCAAATATTTTTCAATTGCTTCGGTTAGGTTTTCTTAGCCTTTCAAAGTTCCATAGATAATAAGATGTTAATATATAGTTAAAGTAGGATAAAACGGGCAGAATTATGGAACTAGCCCAAGATTGGTTTCAATGTCCCTTATTCTTACTTGCCCTGTTGTTGGCTGATCAAATTTACTAATAATATTAAATGTTGTTGATTTTCCTGCAGCATTTGGCCCTAACAATCCAAATATTTCTTTTGGTTTAATTTAGAATGACAATTTATGAACAGTCTCAACTTCTCCCTACTTTTTAGTTAATTGTTAAACATCAACCACAGCATCTGTGTCATCCATATTTGCTTGAAATTATTTGAATTCACTCTTGTCACTAGAGTATAGGATTAAAAAATAGACAATCCCTCCTATTATCAAATATAAGATGCATGATAAGTAACTAAAAATGGGTAAACTCAATAAAATAGGACTCATAGCAAAACCCATATAGCAAGCTGAAAATGGCGATATTATCATCAGTAACATAGAAATCATATTAAACCCAATTGGACTACCTGGTTGAACAATGAAAAGCATTATGATGAAAAAGAAGAGAAAAAATACAAAAAATTGTAACAAAGGAGAACTTATATAAACGCCTTGCTAATTTATATATAATATCGACAAGCAATTCGAAAAGCAACTCATTGAGACTCCAAATATTGTTATTAAAAAGAATACTTCAAAAAAGTATTAGCGAAAATGTCCAACATCATAGATATATAAAATGATTGCTGTAAATAAGCCTTCAATAAAGGATGGTAATATATCAGTTATAACATTACTCAACCAGTAAGTATGTATCTTGACCCCACTTGAATACATATACTATTTAATTTTGGTATCTTTATCTTCAATTTGAATCATTACGTATAAGGTAGATGTGAGAGCTTTAATTGTTAAGTAAAAAAATACAAATAAAAAGGAATACTACATACCAAATAAGACAGCTAAAAAGATTAATGGTAATGGTAGTGCATATCTCATTTAGATGTCAGTGGAACTTAAAAGAACCTATATTTTTCTTTAAATTAAACTCATCAATTAAGCTTTGAAGATAATCTTTGGTCTTTGTTAAAAGACATGTTGAACATCCAAATCAATATTTTATGTTCCATATTAATAGTCAATTGCAAGATAGGAATCTTCAAGGGAATTCAATTAAAGTGAAAATTTGCTTTGTGAATTCTATTCTAAATACATTAATAGTTCATGAAACATATGAATTTATTTAACTGGTAATACACTTTTAAGAGATGTAGGAGCACATTAAATTACTGGTGTATAACTATCTATTTTTTATAGTTGAGTTTAGATTTTAGGTTTCTCTAACAGCAATTAGTTTTGATCCTAAAAGTCCATTTGTAAATGATAACCTACTCCAAAATTAAGTTTAATAAAATCAGGAGTGCCTTGAGTTACAAGCTACCCGTTCATTAGAATTCCAACTCTAGTTGCTAACTCATCAGCTTCTTCCATGTGATGAGTAGACATAATAATAGCTCGATGCAATCTTATTTTTTTAATGACTTCCCAAATTTACTACCTTGTCAATGCATCCATACCTGAAGATGGTTCATCTAAAAACACAATTTTGGAATTTCCAATTAGAGATATAGCCAAACTCAATTTTCGCTTATTTCCACCACTCAGTTCTTATGACTTTAAGTGAGATTCATTTTTTAATTGACAAACTTCTAGGATATAATTTATTTATTGTTATAACTCCAAATCAAGAATGCCTCTTAATTATCCATAAAATTTTAGATGCTCATAGACATTAAGTTCTTAGTATATGATATCTTTTTATAAACAAATTCCAATTTGATTCTTAAACTGCTGATTATCTATGCTCTATCCTAAGATATTGATTTTCCCTTTAGATTTTTCTGAGAGACCAGATAAAACATTCATTAAAGTGGATTTGCCTGCTCCATTTGGCCCTAATAAACAATAAATCTCATTCTAATATATCTCCATATTGAGAGATTTGATAATGTATTGGTTATCAATCTTCTTCCACATATTTTCTACTTATATAAATGGTTATCCTTGATTATCTACTTCTTAATATTAAATATTTAACATCGGTCTGTAGAATTACTGCGGTTCCTATTCTCCATTATTAGGATTTTGATTTTATTCATCTTCAAAATTAGTGTATGTTTTTGTATTTTGTTTGCAATAATTACATAAGAAAAAAACCTTTTTAGAACCACTTAAAACTTAATCAAAATACAAAAATCCTAAGGTATAACAAATTATCTAAATTATTAAACAAGTAATATATATTCCAGGATGTAAAAAATATTCTTTACTATTCACTAACCAATTTGAACTTAATAGTAGCATTTGGTATGCTGTTTATGGTACAAATAAAGTTGGTAATTGACCAATAAAAGTTAATTTCGGCTCTGGAACAAAATTAGAAATCACTACGAAAGATAATACTACATTCAATAGACCAATAAGTTCACTAACCTTATTTGAATTTTTGGAGAATGAACTCAAAAATAATGCCAAGGATGCAATAGCACAACAATATAAAATTTATCCCAAAATTAATATTACAATTTTTAACTATCCATATCCTATTTTATGTAATCCAAATAATATAAAAGGTATCAGATAAAGTAAAGAAACACAAATGGTCATAACATAAAATGTTATTATCCATGATGCATAATAAGCATTTGAACTTAATCCCATTTATTGTTATAACAATTTAAATTGATCACTTTTCTCTCTTACTAGTAATACTAATGATTGTCGCACAATTCCATTATTACTTAAGCAAACAAAAATTATTAAGAAGAATAACCCTAAATTTGTTTTATAAGCAACAAATATTGATAAAATAACACTTAATATAGGTATATATAGATTTATCCAAAATTGTTTTGATCTGAAATGTAAAGTGAAATTCTTTCCCAATAATGTGTTAAGTTAATTCATCTAATTTAAATAATAATTATTATATTATATTTTTATATTATAACTTATAGCGCCATATAGAACCGATTTGCATATGGATGTGAATTAATAATCTCACTATTACTTAATGATTTTCCTAATTTTTAATTCTAAACGCTCTAATTGTAAAAGAATTTATTTAAAATAATACTATTGGTAATACAACATTTAAACAATAAAATAATTCATTATCTTGCTTCTGATAAACTATTTTCGACATTGAGCAATCTTATCATTTTTGAAAAATTTCATAAAGGTAGTTTCCTATATCTGATTAAAAAATAAAATTATAATAGAATAAATAAGCATTTTTTCATTCTTGATATTACAAAATTGAATTTAATCTAGTGTAAAATATTGATCGCATCTACAATTAATAGGTTAGATGATGAAAATATGATAAACTAGAAGGAGCAACAAATCTAATTATAAAAAGTTGACATATGGAGCTATATCCTTTTATAAAAATTAATTGGTGATTTAGATAAATCAATAATATATATGAATAATAATTGTAGATTGATATCATTCATCTCCTTTCATTTTTGGTGCTGCTGAAATTTCTGCATTGTCATATGGGAAATAGAATGTTGACATGTTATCTCTGAAGGTCCATAAATTGTATTCTGGAACGACATCATATCTAAATTTGTATAAGGTACTCTTGTAACATCCTGATTTTTTAATTTTCTATTATAAATGAGATACATACTCTGACAGCTGCTTCGATGTCTTTAGTTGAATATTTACCATTTTTGAGATCTGACATAAATGGAATATTTTTGCATCTGATTCCTTCATTAACAATGGCAATTCTGTTCTATTTAGATGGTGTACCAACAGCTCCAACAACAAAGTCATTCATACCATAATAGATGATAAAGTCCCACTTCTTCAAATCACCTTCAATATGGACTTCATCAAATTGTGGCCATGAACTAGTCTATTATAAGACCTTTCCAAATTGTTCAGTATAAGTGAAAGGAATTTAATGCCAAGGAACATTAAGTGCCAACATATTATAGGCTGCTGTCATTCCTTAATTATAGCATGCTTACCATTGATCACCTATATGACCTGTACCATTTGTGTAATAATAGGTATGGGCACAACTGCCAGCTGCAAAGATTCTCTTAATATCAGTTCTCTGGAAGTAATCTACCTTAACTCTTCCTGCGTTATCAAATTCAAATTAATGATCACTAACTTCTGCAAATTCAGTTTTTGGTGACACTGTGCTTGGGAATAAGATCACTGCATCAGATTTGAGTTTCTTCTTTCCCTTGAAGACTATGGAATCCTTTTCAAACTTCTTGATCTTGATGTTCTCATAGATACTGATTCCTTTTTCAACATGTAGATCCAATACAAGATTTGTGAGTTCAGGACCATATTGAACTTAGAATTGACTTTCATCGTTGGGATCAATGATGTTAATTTTAATGTTTGGATATTCTTAACGAATAGTTTATGCCACTTCTAATGACATAGTATTAATACCTATGATAGACTATAATAAAAAGACCAAAATACCAGATCATTTATAGTTTTCAGTTTCTCCTTCAACTATTAATGAGAGTCAAGGGAATTGAAATAAAAGACTGTTTGATTCTCAATTCCTTTAATGGGAGGATGTACAGGATCTGTACCAGTTGCTATCAATATTGTGTCATAAGCAATCTTATTACTGTCATCCAACTCCACATATGTGTTATTATATTTATTATTCACATAAGAAATTTTTCTGCCTAAATGAGCATCGATTGCTATAGCTTAGTACCATTTATCTTTTCTAAAAAAGAAGTCTTCAGGTTTAGTTGCTTTGATTCTTTTGCTCATCTTACTCTTGTCATATGGCATATAATTGTCATTTGAAATATATGATAACTCTCCTGTATATCCAAATTCTCTCAAAGTTGTTAGACAAGCAAATGCAGCTGCTCCTCCTCCATAAATAATGACTTTTCTTTGATCATTGTAATCTCTAAAATGATATTGCGGAATGATCTTTTTTGGCACTATTAGAGGGGCGTAAACTTCAATTGAATCTTCATTCTCTTTTACTCCAAACTTTGGTAAATTATCTATAGAGGGAGGTCCTTCAACCATCCCATTTGTAATATCAAATTAGCATCCATGTTTTGGGCAATACAATTTATCTCCAAAACAAATTCCTTCTGATAAATCTGTTTCCAGATCATAAGGACACAAACTACCAAAAGCATATATTTTTCCTTAATATCTAGTTAAAATTATCTAATAATCTTCATCTCCATTCTATATTACAAATGGCATTAATTCTCCCTCTTTTGGCTTCTTGAAACTTGTATATGTGATTAATTGAGTATTGTTATAATCTAGCATTTAGGCTGTCTAAATAATTCCCTTCTTCTATTCTTCAGTTAGATCACTCTGCAACTTGCATGTGCTCCGAATACCTTTACAAGCAAAGAGAAATATGGGAATTAATTTCAATATTCTCCTCCTCATTTAAAATTTAATAAAATTGTTTCTTGATATTGAATATATTTTATTTCGTGTATAAAAATAAGTTTTCTATTTTTCATACACTCCATTTTATTTTTATCATCTAATTCTTTTAACTTAGGACAATTTTCACTTTACCTCTTCTATAAAAAATATTTAATGGCAAATCTCTTTCCTTTGAGAGTAAATAAGAAATCCAACGTATTAGCTATTATTAATTAAATTCACTTTAGACCTTAAAATTAAGTAATTAAAGTTAATTTATGTATAAGCGTGTTTAATCTATAATTTTTAATAATGAAGAATATTCAAATATAATACCTTAATGAGGCCTTGTTTGCTAGATCAGTCTTAAGATATCTGTTAAATAATGTTTAACTAATACGAATAGTGATAATAATTTTATTGAGTTCTAAAAGAAATTTGAATTTTTTAAAAAAATGATTTGACTAGTACACAAATAATTTATTCAAAGGCAAAAGATTTCAGTTTTTTACAATAATGAATAATTAAATTATGTAAATACCATTTTCATCATGATGATAGAATCAGAATGGGTATTTATTTTGGATCTGAATTTGTATGTTAATTAATAAATAATATATTAAATCAATGATATAAGATTCATTATTTGCTGAATCCTTTTGGAATCCAATTTCACTTAATTCATTTTCAAACGATGACGATTATAATGTATAAATTTAGATTTCCTTTAATATAGGTGTTTTAACTATACTCAGGAAACACCCCAGTACAAATAAGACTCATCTCAGGGTAATTATTAGCCAGTAGTTAATAATTGGATTTATTACAAACATACATTACATTAGACGAGAAAGGAGTGACACTTTAAAATCAATTTGGATAAATAGCATTCATAGGTCCATAATTATAGTAGTTTTATGAACACATCAATAAATATTGTATGCATCTCGATATTGAAAATCATTATACAATTGAGAAATAAACTCACTAGTTAGATAATTTTGAGGTATGAGTATTGGTCTATAATTAGATTTTTCAATCTAGAGATAAAATGACTGGTATTTAAAAGTCAATAAAAAAGTATTCAAAAAAATTAGGAAAATCCCATTTGTAGACTATTGTTAACTACAGGAATTATGAATATTTATTTGAAGATGATTAATATCTGTATTTGGTCATGTCATATTTAAATGGACAAAAAATCAACAATTTAACTTTGGAGGAGTCATGCTTTGGATTACTCAAACTATTATACAAATATCACAACCAAGGCTTCGTATTAAACTGTTTCTCTGTAAGAATATGATATTTATATAAGGAATTGAACACTATTTTATTGGATGAAAATTATAATATGGAAATACTGGATAATTCTTAACTTAAAAGAATTACATCCGATTAGCAATAACAAATATTGTAAGATGTTCAAACTATTCATAATTATCTTTTATAAAAGTAATAAAACTAATATTTTTCAGATTTCCCCACAAATAAGATATTTTCTAAAGCATTTTAGACACAAAAATTCAATCAGTCCAAGAATTGCTCTTCAATCCATTATTTATCAATTACTTTGGTGAACGTAACTTTTTTGTGTTCTTAAACGCCTAACCCTATCAAAAGTACAACAACACCACTTCCAATCCATAATTAAATTTGCTTGAAACTTTCAATACTATAAGATCAAGTATTATGGATTCATCAGATGAATCAGATGACGTCTAAGAAATTAATCAGTTTACTTATTCCCATTCACAATTCGATGACTCTCCTATGCTCTCTCCTAAGTTGAAGCCAAAACATCAATCAAGATTGTCAAGTAGATAAGTTGTACTAGAAACATTATTAAATGAACACATAATCACACCTGAGTAGTTCCAATAGTTTTATAAAGAAGAGGACTTTTAAAATGAGCAAGAAATCAATGAATTTAGTGAAATGCTCTCTAAAGAAATTGAAAATTCTTAACTAACCACTCCAATTTAAAGTGATGTAAGCATTTCATTCATTTTAGTCCACTGCTACTTGTCCTAACACAGTTATAATTCACTCTAGAAAAAATGTTGTCAATCGAATTAGTGATATCATACTTGAAGCTTAATAGGAATTTATTTAAGCTACAAAAAAGCCTTATAATGTTAGTAAAGTCTAGAATGTGAGGAAGAATCTATTCAATTTACATTGATATTCTTTATATACCTTATACATAATTTTGTTAATTTATTTAACTTCCTTTGGATAACTAAAATTTTATTATAAAATATTAGCCGTTTTGAATAACTCTAAATATAATCCTTTAAGGTTTATAATACTCTAAAAGGTTTCTCCACATTCTCTGATTAAGCGAAAACCAATATAATTTATTTTATTCAAAACCAAAGTCCCTACAGTAGTCATATGTTATAAAATTATTATAAAACTATTATCTACTGTCAATCTCAATAATTTTATATTATAATTGATTATTTATATAATATATATTTTCGTAAAAATTGATAAGCTTTTTAAATATTGATAATTACATTCATTATTTACAGCTAAGAGATTAAATAATATTGAAGCATTATTCTCAAACATCAAAAATGCTTTTTACTTGTACCAAATTTAATCATCTCAATAGATGGTAAATTTATCACTTAACAATAAAAGTCTAAATATTTCATAATATAATAAGCACAATTTAATATTATGTACATGGTCATTAGAGAACAAAATTGATTGTGAATATAACCTTGAATAGTAAAAAATTAAATAAATAATAATAAATTAGTTTTAGAAATTTAGTCATCTTTATTATTGAATTATGTTTTTTTCTGGTGTTAATTAATTCACATAGAAAATATATTAAAATGAGTACAACAGCGCTTTAAGAAAGTGAATTTTAATGAGCTATTATTTTAAGAGCAATTTAAAATTACTTGAACGTATGGAGTGATGATTAAATTTACTTCTTTTCTGCCTGTTAGCTCTCAACTTAGAAAAAGCATAATAATTTATTTGCATATACTTGGTAGCATTATTATCAGGCATTAATTTCATCTTACATCAATTTGGTTTACAGTTTCTTATGGCTTCATTTTCATAATCTGAATAATTTAACCAATACTCCTACTGAAAGGTAGTTCTCTATAGCGTTAATTTATGATTTTCGTAAATACACTAAAGGCTGAGTCTTTATATAAACTATATTTAACGTAAAATGTATGAAATTTGATCATTTGTGAATTTCAAATTCTTTCTAGTAACAAGATTAAATAAGATGATATATATTTGATAGTGATATTTCATATAATTTCTAGAGTAAAAGGCAATAATAATTTGCTACTAATTTTAGAATTTATTTTATCCAATACTAAATATTCTCGATATACTTATTTCCTAATCCAAACAATTGTATAATAATTGACTAAAATTTGGGAAATCTGATGCATATATAATGATAGATAGAAAATAAAACATAATTTTTTCCCTCAAAGTAATTGATGGATTCAAGATGTCGAGAATTCAAATGTGTGTTGATGATATAATAATATAATGTATTAATGATTTCAATATTCCTTCTCACAAAATGAAAAATATTCTGAAATCACAACATAGGACCAAATACAATTGAATATCTATTGTTTAAGTAAATAGGCCAATTAGAAATTCTTGCTCATCAGTATTTATTTTGGATCTTCCTTAAAGTTCTTACCCAAATGTTCTAATTGAGGTAACCAAACATCAAATGTTATGCTAATCAAACTTATGTATAATCTGAATTTCATTAATTTAGTCAATGAATTCTAGTAATTCTCTTTTGATTCACTTTTTGGCCTCTAAGTATAATGATATTAACATAAGGAGAATAAACTTAAACCAATAAATCCATAATATAAAAAATGAATGAAGAATGCATCAAATAAAATAGTTGGTTTGCTTACAAAATACATTAATGAAAAATATCTAATTTGATGTTGATTAAATTCAGGAAATAACTTCTCTCTAAAGGATTTCAATAATTTATTATAAAAATATGCACTTGGCAATGATAAAAATCCAATGAATCCAAAATTAAGTCCAATATCTTTAATCTATAATTTTTCCTTTTAAGTTAGATACAAGGGGATATTTAATAAAGATCCTTAATAAATAGTATTCACTAAAATATTCAATACCATATTTTTATTAATATATTTATGAATTTAAATTAAACAATTAAAATATTTTAGGAGGCGTTTGAGAATAGCTAGAAAGTACCACCTTTAGTAAATAGAATCCAAATTATACCTTTGAGATAGTTAGAAGGTGATTAGAAATCATTATTGGAATTATACAAAATACAATCATAAGAAATGAGAAGAAAATATAACAATAACAGCGAATTATAATAGACGTTAGACAGTAAATATATAAGTAGAAATTCATCAAAATAAACTTTGTTCTGATATTATTATTATTAATTTTAATATTCAATAACCACTCTTCCTCTTTTATTAATCAGTGTCTAGCATTTGGTATTAACCATAATAATTGTAATTCAGATATTATTAATTGTATTAATAATATTGTTGTTCGTCATTGTAAAAATTTTGAGTATAATAATATGCCTAATCTAATTGTTACACTTGTAATGTGGGATCCGGAGTTTAAGTTGTAGATGCAAAAGTCTTACGACGACTAAGAATTAGAAATTGAATACTTATTAGGAATATAACCTTTGCCAATTCCATAAATGACATTCATGTTCTTTTCGAAATCGCTTTGCAAATCTGGAAAGCAAAATTTCATTTGATAATAACATTACAATGTTAACAAGGCATCAGATCCGGCTTAATGTTCAGGTCCTATACGTGTAACTTCGACTTTAGTTGCTAATCTGCTTAGACCTGCATCCTTATATTTGGGGTTGTCTTTGAGTATGTATTTTAAATCGTAGATTGATGGGAAATATAGTTTCATCATCTTATAGAATTCATCTTAAGTGTCGGGAATACCAGAGTGATGGAATAGATGCAATAGATATCCAAAATCAAATTCACCATGGAATACTACATATTTAATTTCATCATTTAAAATTAATCCTATTTAATATGCAATTATTAATACCACTGCCTGTAACTACTTCGCAAAATTCTGAATAATCAATTCCTTTTGACGCTAGATCATCAAATTTAATTCCCGCCTATTCTAACATGTTTTTGACAGAACTCATGAGCTAGTCATATCTAAAAGTATTTAAATAAATGGTACTGAGCATTAAATTTGAAATGGAATTGCCATGTATTTTTTGCTAAAGGTACCTCTCCAGCTTCATTTGCTAAGCTAATTCCTAGTTGAATAAGTTTATATTTTTGGACATTTCTGACTAATTACAAATATTCATAATCCTAATATAATGCAATATCACAGTAACCTTGTCATCACTTTCTGGTTAATCATATTCTGTTCCTGGAAATTCTGTGTCCTAACATCACTAAAATCATTACTAAAGATATGACATTAAATTCTTCTATTAAATCTGCGATTTCTGCAATTTCCGCTTAAAAATTGTGTGCCCAAACGTCAACAATGTTTGTCTTATTGAGATGTGTTAATTTCACTCTTGGATTGGATTCTTTTAACTTCTTTAAATACTAGCAATTACTTTTCTATGCATTTTGATAATTAATTTAATATATGTATATTATTGCATATTTAATATCTCAATATGATCTTCCCCATAATACATATTTCTTTGCTTATTGGCCACAATTGAAGCATAATTCTCCTTCTTTTACTTAATCTTACTTTAATGGCATGCATAAAGTCTTAGCACTACCAGTTAATTAGACTTATCCATCAATTTCTGAATCCTTCTCCTTAGATTCTATTCCTGATTTTGTTTTTACTTCCTTTTCGCATTCTTATCTTTCACACCTAAATCGTCATTTATTTTATCAATACCATCTAGTTAATATAGTATTTCTTTAATTTAATTGACTCATGAATTCTTTCCAATTATCAGCCTATTTGATTCTTTGATTTAATTCAGTTCTAGCTTTCTCTAACATCGCATTATGAATATCATCAAGTATTTGATTTAATTGATTAAGTTCCTCCATTTTTATTTGATATTTCTTATTGTCAAATCTCTAAACAACCCTAACTTCACTATTCTTGAATTCTCCTGGTCCAATTTCCAATCGAATAGGAACTCCTTTCTATTCCCACTTATTAAATTTCCATCCTGGGGAATAATTGTCCCTGCTATCTAAATGGACTCTTAGTTTTTATTTGACCAATCTAATATATTTCAATTATAAATACACTAATCTTATTTGTTCACATCTTTCATTCAACTATTACTCATCAAGATCTTTATGAATAATTGGAATAATAACTATTTAATATTTAGCAATCCTCGGTGGTAATACCAAACCTTTATCATCTCCATGAAACATAATCATGGCTCCAATTGATCTAGTAGTTAAACCCCAACTTGTCTACCATGCAAATGCCTTTTATTTTTTATCATCTTCAAAATTAATCTCAAACATCTTGCTGAAATTTTATCCTAAATGATGAGATGTTGCACCTTGTAAACCTCTTCCATTTTATGGAATGATAGTTTCAACTGTTGTAGTGAAATCACCACCTGCAAATTTCTCTGATTCGGTTTTAATCTATTTATATTATTATATTTAATACTCCTTTAATAACTGGAACAGCCAATAATTCACCATATACTTATTCGTAGAAGTCGAGGATAGTGTAAACCTATTTAACTGCTTCTTCTCTTGTAGAATGAGCTGTGTGTCCTTCTTACCATAAGAATTCTCTTGTTCTAATAAATGGAGTTGGAAATTTGAACTCCCATCTCACTATATTTGTCCATTGATTCACTTTTAATGGTAAATCTCTATGACTTTACACCCATTTTGCAAAGGCTGGGTACATAATTGTTTCAGATGTTGGCCTAATGGCTAAAGGTTCATTTAGATCACTTTCCCCATATTTTGTTACCCAAGCAACTTCTGCTTTGAATCCCTCTACATGTTCCTTCTCCTTATTCAAATGTTTAGCTGATAGAAACATTGGGAAGTAAGTATTCTCGACTTCTTCTGTTCTAATAAGATCATCAAAAAATCTTTATATTTATTCCCAAATAAAATATGCCCATGGCCTCAAAATATAACAACCGCTAACATCGTAATATTCTATTAATTCTGCTTTTCTTATAACTTATTGATACCATTCTGAAAAATCTGATTTTTTTACTGTTATAGCCAATGTTTATAGGTTCTATTGATCTTTCTATAATTCTTTCTATTATTCTTTTTATTATTCTTTTTGTTATTCCAACTTCTATTCTGCAGCAGCATCCGTTAATTGTAGAACTGTAAATTATCTGTTTAATATTTTGAGGAACTTGTTTTATAAATCATCAAGTGAAATTTCAACTGTAGTTGTATTCTCTATAGGATGTAAGGCTAATCTTTAATATTTAGTGAGCTCTTCGTCAATAATAATATTTTTGACCTAATTTATATTAAATGAGCAATACTAAATTATTTGTATCATTGGCAACAGCAAATGGGTTAACATTACCTTTGCTAGATTTCAGAGCTTCTGCAATTTGCTCTTCTTTGCTTAACCTCATGTTTCCAGATGCTAATCCAAGTGTCTTCCAAAACAATTTGCCCACTTGGGTTGTATGATTAGCCAATATCAAATAGTAATTTGACTAATTGATAATTAAACATATTATACTTTTTTATCAACATACAATAGATTCTTTACGTATGCTGTCCCATCTGCAACTTTAATCTTAACTACATCTTCCATTGTTGGAACTGGATCATGATGATGAGCAAAGTAATCTATCCCTAATTTTGTTAGTTATTCTAAACAGGCTTATTTGTTTGGTAATTAGAAATTATTGTCCATAAAAATATTAAAAATAATTTTCAGAATTTTCAAATGATTATTTTGATATTCAATCATTTTCTATTCAATCATTTTCTATTTAATCATTTTCTATTTTACATATATCCTATTTTATTATTCAATATAATATATATCAATCAATAATAACTGAGCGCAATTCATCTAATATACTTCAAACATTAAATTGTTATTTTTGGTTATGATCAGAAATATCTTGAATAATTAAGATTTGTAATTTATTCAAATGTCTGAAACCATAAAGCCTAGAATAATTAATAAAGATTATAATTCAATTTTGAAAAGTGTAATTTTAAATATTATAATAAATTCTTAAAATATCTTAATTAAATTAAAGCTTTAGGATAGAGTAAAAATACCTTCTGTTTGTAGTTTTAATTTAAACTAACATTTTTATTCAATTTAGTATGTTAGTTATTTTATTTTTTGAATATCATCGCAAATGAATAAAGAATAGGACATAAATTATTATAATGATTTTTAATTTAATTTAAATGAACCACACCTTAGATAAATATTTTATCATTGATTTTCATCGTCTATTTCTTATTAAGATATATTGACTTATACTTCATCCTCTTATTATTATTAAACATCCTCATTTTCTTCTTGGTTTTAATTTTCATTAACGTATTAATTGATATCTTCATTATTACTTTCTTCTTGGTTTATTTCGTTAGGATTCTCATTTTCGTGAGGTAGATTCTAATCTACATCTTCTTTCTCCTCATATTATTATTCAATAGGTTGATTGAATTATTGTTAATTAAACTTTTGTTGAGAATCAAGATGCAACTAATTAATCAAATTTGATGATTATGATTCAATGTATTACCAATATTGAATTTATTCATCAATTAATTTTTATTCTAATTCGGATACTTGTTTCATTACTATAGAATAAAATTTGATTTTTAAATCTTAAAATCTTTCTACTTCTATGAATCCTATGATCGCTTACATTATATCAATTAGATTTTATAAATTATCTAACTCATTTTAATTAGTTTAGATCTAAATATTTAAATGACTTTTTAGTTATTCTGGTGTTTATTTATTAAATATATTTTTAAAAAAATTAGGATTCTTACCTTCATTTAAATTATTTAATTCTTATTGCGTTTCTAACTATTTGGCTTCTAATTTCTTTTTTTATTCTTCATATTCTTTCTTAGTTTTCAAACTTTAATAAAATGCCTAAGTTTAATAAATTATAATACAAGACCTTAATATCTTTCAATTCTTATCTAATATATTCATAGAGTTTATCTATATTTCTCCTTTTGAAGATGCTGTTCTAATTATACTAAGTATCCAATTGCTTCTTGATATTTTAATTAGTAAGCAATAAGTTATCACATTTATTATTTTAATATATCTAAATAAACTGTTTCTCATAGTTTGGTAGCTGAATAGTCATTATTTTCTCTAAACTTTAATTATATTATTCTTATGATTGGTACAAATCTCTTATATACTTTTTTGCCAACTTAAATTAAATTTAATTATTTTTCAATTTTTCCACAAAACCATCAATTTTCTTATCTAGAGTTTAATCAATATCTCGCTAAATAGAAATATATAATACTCCTTATAATTCAATGAAATTAAGTTAATATTTTTAAATTAACTCTGATGTCTTTGGTTTTTGCATTTATTCGCTATTTATATATATTTGAATATATACAAAATCTTATGAATCTCCTTATCTTTAGATCTTAAGAATAATTGACTAAACTCTTAACTGTAATACAGATTAGGCAATAATTTCATTTTATTACAGAATTGTTTTAAGAATCTTAATCTTTCCGATGCAGTTTTGGTATCATTTCCCTGGAACATCTTTTTGCCTGGAATACCTGGAATGAAACATCCTGGCCATCTTATTAACAATATATCCCTTAGAGATATGAAATCCTTATATCTTCTATAGACTTCAAAGAATCCAATTTTATCCTTTCCCTTGATAATATAATATGTATATGTATCTAATAAGGACTCATGTTGATCAAAGGTGATTATATCTATTTGTATGTCTTGCGATTCTTTTTAATCTTAATGCTGATTTTATTCAGTCTCATCTAGATTGACAATTGACATTTTAATAATATTTATTAAATGAAGGAATCAGATAAAAATCCTATTATAAATTTACCTGTCCTACTGATATTGATAACTGATCTCCGTTAAGGAAATTGATTAATTTTGATCAACTTCTGATATATACTTTGATTAAAGAATTAACAATGCAAATTCCTATTTATATCTATTTATATAAAGAAGATTATTTTGGATATTTGAAAGTAGATAAATAAGAATAGAAAATCTATTAGAATTATATAGATAATAGTGTTTTCTATTGAATAAAAGATTTATATAAAGTCAAGAAATACGTTGAAGATCATTGTACAAAATATAATATTAGAATCTAAATCAACTAAATTATTTATAATATTTTCAAATTGAGTCCTGCAGGTTTAAAGTGGCATTTAAGAAGTGAAAATAGTGTTAAAATTGATCATATTTTTAGAGATGCATTTAAATATTGGATTAAAGGAAGACAAAAATGATTTAGAGAAATGGGAAAATAAATTGATGATTTTCCTTGATCGAATTATTACATTTTGTTTATGAATAATTCTTATTATTATCTAATATTATTATAAATTATATTGATAAATTGCCATAAATAATTATAATTAATGATATAAAACTGGATAGGGAAATTATTATTTAATATTTGCGGAGATCTGGTTGAGGTATTTATATTATTCTACATATATTAAGGATTTCCCTAATAATGAAATTGAAATAAATAAATGGTAAGGGGTTGGAGAAAAAAGAAACATTAAGTTTAAATAGAACAAAGTAAGAGAATGGATGATGGAATATTTTGGATTAAATGTTGATGTGAAAAGGGCTGAAATAGAATTATTATAATTTAAAATCCCTTGGAATAGAATTTGGAAAGAACCTACTAAAATACTTGTGAAAGATGCATTTATTTGTGTGTAAACCAGAGAAGAATTCTCACTAGAATTGATGCGCCTATAGTATTAGAGTGACTTAAAAGATTTCATTGAGCATTGCTATAAAAAACTCTTCAATAATTTTACAAATACTAAAAAGTAAAGCAAACTTAAAAGAGCACTTAAAAATTTCTTTTCCGAAATGATTATTTTAGAAGTCTAAAACTTCCATTTGAGATTAGAAGATGAAAATAATGCTGTAAAACACAATCGTGTAGCATTAGGAGTGTTATTTAAAACATTGACTTTACAACCCTCTTATAATAATAAAAATGAATAAGAAATTAAAAGAAAATTAGATTTCTCAGTTGAAGCACTAAGTATGTATTTAAAAATTGAACCATCTTCTAAGCAATCTAATAGTCTATAACCTGACTATGTAGAATAGCAAGTAACAAGTTATTATCATTATAGAATGTTATCATAGATCCATTATCATTTCGAATACTCATACATACCAATTTAACTTAATAAGAAGAAATACCTTTAAAATATATAGAAATTTAATTTGGCGATGATGTAAATTTATTATCACTAATTCCAGATTAAAATAAACATTGATAATTAATAATTTTAAACAATTCTTAAATTGTTAAAATTAAGAGATTGGTATTGCCAATAAGGAGATCATCTACAATATAGACCGTAATATAAATCTAGTCCGAAAGATAGTCCTCTTGAATGGCTTATCTATTGGAAATAAATTGTCACAGTAATTAGGAGTAGAATCAATAAATAAAAAATTAATCTTAAATCTAAAATGAGAAATGATTTGGTTAAATGTATCGTTGTTGACTTTCTTCACTAACAATATTAACAAAATGATGATAATCGATATTGTATTGATGATTAAATGATATTATATACAGATATGCTATAAAATAAGCAGTAAATAGAAGACAAGCTACTCCAAGAAGAAATTGAATTAGTATTCTACAAGGTAAATAAAATATTAAACTCACCTGAATAATTAAAAGATATACTAGTAAAAATGAATTTGGAATAACCCTAATAATAAGAGAAAAAACAAACGATTTGGTCCTATTTTTGGAAATAAAAGCAATAACCTGAAGAAGGGACAGAATTTCAATCTAAATATGAGAAATTGTACACTTCAATAAGTTAAAATGAAAATAGATGTTTGAAAAGATTAGAGATATAAATTTCAAATATATTGGTATTATTTTATTAAACTTAGATTCACTTAAAAATTGCTTAAGAAAGGTCCACTGTTTTTATGAAAATCGAATTAAAAGAATCCCTATTGCAGTATGAGTCATTTTTAAAGATCCGAAAATTTATATTGAAGCTAAAAAGAATTACCGCATATGATTGCTTAAACCCTAATAAAGATTTTTAAACGATATTTTGTTATCATTCATATATTGAGAGATCTTAGAGGAATTAATATTTAAGTTAAGACTAATCACAAATAGAAATTTCATTTGAATATAATAAAGAAGCTCATAAATCTCTTTTTAAAGTGAAATCATTACCTCATTTAATGTCCTTGAATGATACAGTTTTAGCACGCCTACAACCATTTCTAAAATAACTAAGAAAAAATGATTATTTCTACGACATTGTCTTCATAAGTTAGGGTAATTTCAAGAAAAGTGAATTCATAAATGTGATATCAAATCTTTGCAAATCAAATCGTTTAATACTAGATATTAATATATCTCATGTTACAATTCGAATTCCTGAGAGTGCAATCAAAACTAATTGTCCAGTCCTTGAGATTACCCTTGAAAACTACCTATTGTAATTTCTTAACACAGTTACACAGTAAATAAATAAGTTTGCTATTAACTTTTAATATGTTGAAAAAAATTGCAAATAATCCATTCACATCTTGCAGCCGGTTTCAATCACCACTAAAGTTGTTTAATTATAAAACTAAGATGAACAGAATAAATTGAATGAACTTACAGATTTAGTGTTAGAAAATAAAATTAGTGATATCCTCATTACAATTCCAATATTAAAAACTGACTTTTTTAAGAATTTTATTTACAACGTTTTAGGAACATTAGATAATTTAAAGAAGATTTCTATTTTTTTATAAAAAGAAGATTCTGTTAATTAATCATCATCAGTTAACTCTGTAAATAGAAGGAAAAGATCTAGATCTTGGTCTTAGTAAAGAGATTAGTCATCAAGAAGGGAAGATTGCTCATCTCAAACTAGTGAAATATATTATGATGCTGAAGAATTCATAAATATTCCCTTCATTTAATCTATTACATAGAGTAGATAACAAATATCACCTTAAGAAAAGAGAGAAGAAATGCTAAAAAAGTGGAACAAAATTAGGATTAATCTGAATTATTTGGTTAACAAAATATTTAAAGAAGCTGATCCAAAAATTAGCCACTTTCTAGAGTCCTTAAGATTAAAAGCAGTATTTGAATTACAGAAATTCTAAATTAAAGTTGCAATATAAAAAAATAATGAAAGAAACTCATATTTTTATATCGATAATATTAATGTGACTATTGAAAAGGCATTTAAAGTGAAACATTTCGGATTTCAGCTAGAAATAAACACAATCACATTATCAATTTATAAATTACATTAATTGAAATAACTAAAAAAATATTCAGGTCCATAATCAGATGACATAATGGCCCATATAAATGAAGATATGCTCAATTTACTTCCGTTTTTATTAAGAATAAAAGAGTTGCAAATTTATTATTTAATATCTGTTAAAGAGATTAAATTAGAATTACAAAATATTAAAGAAGCTAATTAAAATTATCTAACAACATGTTTAAGTAATTTCAACCTTTAAAGTTAACTGCCTTTTAAAATAATGTATAAGGAAAAACTATCTGATAAACCTTTCTTTTTAGAAATAAATAATTCTGTATCATCATGGGATACTACATGTGATTGCAAATTTATTATGAATATATTATATTACAATGGAAAACTAAAATAATATGAACCTATTTTAGATACTTGCGAGGCAATAATTACTTTTTAGAAAAGTTCTGAGGAGCTTTGTTTTGAAACAAAATTTACCTAATTGTTATTTAATATTACTCCATAACTCATATTTACTCTTTATTCATTGAATCAGCATTCATTATAAATTAAATAGTTCTTATTGTAAGATTTAAATAATTCATAAGATTAAATAGTTGTAAAGTAAAATTTGACTTAGAAATTTGAAATAGAAATTGAACATGATAATGCAAAATTGTTAGTCGATTAAATTGAAATTTAGCATTCTTATCACTATAAAACTAAATATAGAATTCAATTATAGACTGCTAATTCTGACGATGAAGTTTCTAATGAAAAGATAACCTAACATTCAAGGCATGTCACATTTCATGATCAAGATCCATCACCATAAACGAAATAATAATAAACACCAAGTTTTAAAAAGCAAACTTCATTATTAGAAGAGGAAATCCTTTAAGATTAATCAAATGAGAAAGATACAATTAAAAGAATTGCTAGTGAAATTGATGTATCTGAAAAGCAGCGTTTTGTGACAGAGATTTTAGGAGATTACTTACCTATTGAACAGAGCACAAAGTACATTTTTGTTAATCTAACAGTTCAAAAGTTATTATTCAACTTAAATGGAATTGAATAATACATAAATGAAAAAGAAAGCAAGTTTGTTAGATGTACTGAAGTTATGGCATTTAAGTTTACTTCATAAAGGAATTTTTTTCGATATAGTTCTTTAATAAGAACAAAAGAAGAAAGAACTTACTTTTTGAAAACAGATAATAGGGATCATAAATTGAAGACCATTTATTATTTATTATCAATAATAAATAGAAACTAAAATCAAATAATAATTTATCAAATTGAATAATTACCTAAAGCGCCATATTTGATCAAAAACAAGTGTTCATAACTTATAATATTCTATTAACAAAATTTTGAAAAACAATAATGTGTTTTAGAACCTGGAAAGTCTTCTGGTTTTTGTTGGGAGGATCCATTTTAAGCTTCATAATTACAGTTAGAAATTCATTATGAGGGCCAAACAAAACGATTTTTAATTGATATTGATAGGTTCAATAATAAAGAATTGTAAATTGATAAGTAATTGGATTCAACTATTGATAAAGAATACAGTTTAGAAATCTTCAACGATGGATTATAAAAAGTTATTGTTTTAGCTGAGGCTCAGTCTTTGAAAAAGAAAAAGAAATCTTATAAGATATCATGTGAATTGATAGGATTTTCATTCATTGATGAATGGGAAATTTTATATGCAGAAATTAATAATACTAAATATTTTTAGCAATAATAATAGACTGATATAGTTACTTATTAGATTTCTGCTGAAAATATCTAGCTTGACGCATGTGGATTACCGATACCAAAAAGATAATTATATATTGTAAATAATTAGATAAACAATCTAAACAAATCTTTTGGTTAAAAAAAGTCTATAACTTAATCTTAATTAACATAGGATACTTAATATGCTCTTCAAGAATAATTAAAATTAAAGATTAAATAAAAAACAATATCTGAAATATTGGTTCATTTAAAGTATGTGAAAATTAGAATCCCAAATTATAAAATAATAATTGATAGTAATCTATTATTACAAGTCTTTTCGTTCATTAAACACACAAAATTACTCTTAGATGCTTTTGATACTCCAAAATAAAAGTCTAAAGCTATTCTATTATAACAATCCTTTGAAAAGCTGAACAATTCAAATATTAGTGACAAATAAATTTAAATCTAACCTAAAAAAATTCATATTGATAAAGTTATAATAAGACCATTTTCGGTAAAGATGAGATTTAAGAATTTATTGAATATGGAATAAGAACTTAAAACTTTACATCATCAAGCAGGGTAATCAATTTTCTTATTATAATTAGTTTGATCACTTTTGTGCTAAATCAATTTCAGCAATTGAACCTTGAATTTTAGCAATATGTTAAAACTGATTATTAATAATTTATGGATGCTAATTATGAACTTCATATTAAAGCTTTATTTAATGTTTTTGGCGAGTCCATAAATTAATAAGTATGAAATTTTATATTTTTAGATAAGATGTCAAGTAAACCCAACAAATTTTTTAAAAAATTAAGGAAATTTAGCAAAATAATTCATCACAGAATTAAAAAATTTATAAAATGAAATGGATAAAAATGATATATTTTAAGGTGGCTTGCCAGTTAAATTTTAACTGCTTTAAACATTTTGTGCTATTAGTAAATCTCTTTATGATGCAGCTCAAGAGACTTTTGTATCTGTGTTATTGGGAATTGGAAAGTATTGTGAAACTTCATAGCCTGACCAAACAATTTAGAGAACATCCTTTTCAAATAAATTATCAAAATTGTTTAGAAGGGTGTCAGATTTTTAATTTAAAAGTTAGACTACATTAGAAATTTCTTTCCAAATATTAATTTCTAAATTAAAAACGAGGAGATATCCTAAATATATCCATAAAAACAGATAAATTACTTCATATAATGAAGATTTATCAAAGTTTTAACTGTATAGATTATGGAAATTAGGACTTGATTAATAATTTGATAATTTTTAATTGTCATTGAATTGCTACTTATTTTTATCAAACTAATTGTTCATATTATTGGATACTTAATACAACTAAATTTTGTTAGAGATGAATTAACGAATGTTTCAATCAATAACAAACTCAAATTCTACATGTGTCATTAAATATTAGAAATCTAATTTAAACAAGTAGGAAGGAGATGATGATATTGGAATGAAGCAATTAAAAGTAGAAAAACTCATGTTAAATTTTACGATAGACGAAAAAATATTATCATCTATTACTAATATAATCAAGTCTAATGTTGAAATTCTTAACGTAAAGGAAAATAAAATATTTAGTATTATGATGCTAATTTGAAAATTTTATTGTTATTTATTATTTTTAATAATTATTTAACAACTATTAACATTATTAATAATTTCATTTTTATTATTATTCTCGCTGCTACTTAATATTCTTTTTTATTTTTGCCAAAGACTTTAAACTTCTAAATCGCATTTCTTAAACTTATTATTTATAAGACTTTCTTTCTTCAATTTATTTTATTACATTATTTTCTACATCACCATTATTTTCCCCTAAGTCTTGATTTTTCAAATTATTTTTAAGATCAATTTGTTGTACATAAGAGTTTAATTGTTCAAGGGCCTTTTTCCTTTAGCATTCTTCATCTTATATTCTATTGAGCTTCTTTTATTCAATTAAATATTCAATCATTTAGGATAATTCAGTAAAAAAGGAATCCGTATCTAATTTTTTTGGATCTTCAAAAAATGCTTGGCATATATCATTAAATTAAGCGTTAACCTTTGAGTAAAATTCAGACAAACTTGATAAAACGTTTATTTCACAATTTTCAACTTTTATTTTATCAGAATATTTTAAGATTAATTTTTCATCTTAATCTTTTTTTTCTATCTACTTTTTTATGTTTATAAGAGATATCTTAGACAATTTCTTTAATTATTATAAATTAAAATCTTCCTCTCTTATTAGGTCTCCTTCGTTTTTTTCTGCCATTCTTAGTATCAAACTAAGAAAATTAATTTTAGAAGAATTGCTAGACTTTAATGGAGCAATTTTACTGAATTCTGAAAGTTTAAACCCATAAGAATCTTTATTTTAAGAACTATTCAAATAATTAATTCCAGCTAGAATGTAACATAATAGCTTTTTAAATTTAACATTTGATGAAATAGATTAAATTTATTCCTCTATTAATTCTAATTCTTTCTAAATTTCTTGTTGATTTTAATTTAACAAAATTTAAAATAATTAAATTTTTTCAGAATAATTCTCTATCTAAATTAAGTTATATAGAAAGTTTTCAGGCCTGTTCAAAACATTAGTATTCTCAATTTTCTAAAATTCTTAGATTTCTTAAAAAGTTGGAAGTATTTGAATCAAACTTTCAATGTCATCTGAAGTAAATTGTTAATAGTTCATATCTTTTATATAATTGATCATATCATCCATTTTAATCTTTATTTTAACTAAAATTAATTCAATATTTCTAGATCTGTCTAATGATAATACTTATTAGGGTTTAGGTTTAATTTAAGAAGAACTAGGTAATGAACTTGCAATCTTAGTTTAATTCTTTTAGAAATGTTTGTCTAATTCCTCAAATTATAGTTCAATTTTAGAATCATCAAGAGTTTAGAAAATGTTACTTTTCATTTACTTAATCTCTGTTATTCCAATTGAAATTAGTTATTAATTGGGTTTTCTTCTTTGTCTAATATTACTAATATTTTATGCTTAAACTGCCTTTTAAGGTAGAGGAGGTGGAGGTGGAGGTGGTGGAGGTGGAATTGGTGGTAAAGATACAGGCGCTAATAGAACACTTTTTTGTTCAGGTAGTGAAGAGGTCATTAATACTGGTGTTTCGTTGGGATAACCCTGCAAGGAACCTTCAATTTTATATTCGTTTTATTTTTCATCTAAATTTTATAACTGGGTGGCTGAAATAGATTATAACTAATTATTTTGAGTCTTCTGATACATAAGTAATGCCTATTTCAACTAATATAAGACATTTTAGGTTTGTTTCACTGATAATTAGAATTATTTATACATTATGCTTGGTTTAGGACTTTTTGGGTTTAAAATTCATTTAACTGTGTTTTTAGGTCAGCTATCTCTATTTCTTTGACATTATATCCTTCTACAAAGGTTTAAGCTACATTTTATAAAATTTTTGTTATAATATTTTTACCATAAACTTCTGATTATGATAGGAACTTTTAAAGTTTTTTGATGCACTCATGAATACTACACTATTAAGTAAAATCAGATGCAAAGTGCTACAAACTTAACAAAAATTACTCTGGAAATATAACTTATGCTAATTATACATTGCCAATTGAAACTCTATTCATAGGTTAAGTTTTTGGATTGTAGGAAATTCTAAACTAATTTATGGATTCCCTAATATCTTATTCTCCTGCTTCTAATAAAGTCTCAAAGGCAGAGATATGTTTCATTATGATTTTCTCAAAGTCATTTGAATTTTCCTTTATTCCTACTAATATTGAATAATCCTCTTAAAACACTAATATATTATCTTCTAACTTTTTCTTGATATCTTAAAATATCAATTCTACTCCATGAACTAACAGCAACTATTTTAACTGAATTTTCTCATTAGATAATTCAACAAAATTATTGATAAAGGATAAAATGCTTGCAATCTAATAAAATCTAAATAACTCTTACAAGTTTTTTATCTGAAGATGTTTCTAATAACTATATTGTTGAAAGTAAACAAAATTCTTAGTTTTACAAATTCATTAGAGATTCCACTAATTAATATCCATTTATCTATCTCCAAGAGATTTTTTCATATTATTGGAATATTTGAGCTTAGATCTAGCTGTTTGATATTTTTTATAACTTAGATAAATTATTGGTTAAGATTATCAATTGCTATTCATCAAGTGTGAACCCTAAAAATAGCAAATTGCCCTAAAGCATCACGTACAACTTATCATAAAAATTCAAGGTACTTCTATTTAAATTTAGATATTCGATTTATTGTTATATAATTGGAAATGCATAAACTATTAATTAATTGGTTAATAGCTCGTCATTTAAACCTATCAGTGTTTTCATTTCTTGGTAGAAAGAAATATAGATTAATAAATCTGAATACTAATTTAAATTGCATAGTTGCGGATTCTCATTAATTAAAGCTTAGTAATGCAGCACCAATAACAATTGTTTTTATTTGAGATTTAGATTTGAGAATTTCTTTTTTTCTAAATTTGTATCAGAAAGAATTTAATCAAATATAGCTTCAAAATTATCTGCATTTATTTAATACTTTGGAGGTTAACTCATGTTTTTGATGTTTAATTACCTCCCTCTAAACATATATGAATATTATGTCTAGTTTGGAGATGACTTTATTTCATTTCCCATTTATATTAATTTTATATTTATGTAAATTATTAAAATCTCCTTTCATTATAAAGTTGATTAATATTGAAAGCCTTTAATCGAATTTTATTTACAAGATTGATTTATTATTTTTCTATAAGTAAATAATATATATATAAAGGATGAAGATGCTAAATTTTGATTTCAAAATGCATTGTTATAAATTTATGTAATGTGTTTAAAAAAATTAATATTTATATAGAACAAAAAGTAACTCTAAAAATTTAAGCTATTGTAGAGTCAATGTTTAGTTTTACTAAAAATAATAATGAATTCTAATAAAGCCAAATAAATAAGATTAATATCTCTATTAAATGAAATATTGTTATCTTTTCAATTTAAAAAGATACAAAATTCGATATTACATACATTGTATATTGGAGTTTTATTGTTTAAGAATCCATATATTTATTCGCTAAGATGAAAATTAGGAAGATTATTTTCAAAAAAGGCATAAAATAATAGTTGAATAAATTTATGATGATTTGCTTTTTTTTCCTTTATTTGGAAGCATTTTGGATTACTTGATTAATGTGTGAAAAAGAGCTTAACTAATTGTAAGATCTAAAAGTTATTCTTTAATAAATTAAAATATAACACATAATTATCCATCTCATTTTCTTTAATGTTTATAAAATAATTTAATTTCATCATCTTGTTTCCGAAATATAGTAAACTTTTTTAAAATTAAAGCTTTTATTCTTCAATAAAGGATTTGAAATACTTTGTGAATTCTGAAATTCATTAGGCAAAGGTTGTTCAAATCCTCATAATTTCATGATACCCTATGATAATTGTTTTTTAATATATAAACCTTTTAATGAAATATCACATATAACACTAATTCATTTCGCTAAAACCATTTTATTGTTTTATGCTTCGACTGTTAATTAATTGATTATTTCTTAAATTTGTTAACTTTCTGATTAAATTTATCCGTTCTCTTGCGAATTATAAATATAGCACCACCTAATTAAAATAAAATTTTCTTTTATTATATACTAATGACTTAGTCTTATGTTTAGTGTTTAAATAATAAGTACAAGATAATTTTATATCTAATCTAAATTGTAAGAGGTAGTAATGTTATTTTTCCGAAATTAAAACAATATCATTAAATAATTGTCGCTTCTATGAATTAATCTTTAAGGAAACCCGTAGATGTAATAGTTTGAGAAAAACATCGCTATCAATAATATATATGGAAAGATATTGGTGATTTTTGGGGGATGCCATTTTATAATAAATTTTTGATTTAATAAAGAATACGCACATAATTAATAATCTGTCTCTGTTAAGCCCTCGTATTTTCATTATGTCAAAAAGGAAAAGCATATTCGGAATTAGTATTACAAGAGGCCAAAATAATTTTTTATTAGGAATTTCTTGATATTTTATTAGAGGAATTATCTACAATAAATTAATGTCTTATACAATCATATTAAATAGCTTTATCGGAAGAAATTATTTTTGTTAGATTATCTAATTCTTATTTACTCAATTTATATTAGTGAGGTTATGGGCATAGGCTAATATAAGACTGAATTAGATTAGCAATCTAATTTAAGCAAAAATTCTGAATTAAAGTTGTCTGCTAACTCCAATTTAAATCTGTTTAAACTAAGTTTTCTAAAATTTATCTGACTTTTTTAAGTTAAAATTTATTGTGTTTTTAAATCTAGATCTTGTTTATATAATAAAAATTCTAGAATTCATCTAGCTTTATTCCATTCGACATAATAATTTTTTTTAAACAATCCATCTACACGTATTGTAGATCCATTTTAATGGAGTCATAACAAATTAATTTAATGTTTTACATATTGAGTGATTAATAAATGATATGTTTTCATTACTCTAGATGAGATCCTTTAATTAAAGTGAAGGGATATAAATAATAAGGGCTAAAATCCACTCAAAGTAAGAGTTTTTGCTATATAGTAATGAAGACTAAATCAACAAATTTGACCTTATTATTAAATATCAACTAAAGCATTTATTGTTGAAGTGTTAAAATTTCTGAAATGTTTAAAGCACGTTAAATAAGAGTAAAATGAACTATATGGTCTTTAGTATGTTGCTAATACGCCTTTTGGAAATATTAAATGATGAATTACCTTGATATAATCTCCAATGCGAGCCCCAATAAAATTTTATGAAAAGTCTAAAAGTTATAGGAAAAAATGAAATATGTAAAAACCTACAACAGCAAATATATTTGTACGAATTAATGATTATAATAATTCAAATAAAACACTCTGGGATGTGTTAATTCTCGAAGTATTGAAATTTATCAAAGAAAATTCAAATTAGTTATTGTTAGTGGAAAAACAGCAGTATTTGAGTACATCAGTTAAGGAGAATTCGTTCAGACCAAGCCAACTGTTGGTAAGGATTATAATTCTAAAAAGGTGTAGATGCGGATTTAGCCACCAAAAATTCATGATTTTTGATGTCAAAGGAAAAATACCCAGTTTATGGAGCAATTATTCTGAAAATATAAAAATTTAGAATACATGAATGAAATAGGTAGTAATTCTCATCATGTTTAAAAAACAAGATAAATTACATCTAGATAATTAAATCTTGATCTAAGAATGCGGAGTTTTTAGATATCTAGAGTAAGAAACTGTCTTCTAAATGTGTAGTGCCAAAACTAGCGAGGGAGTTCAAGAAGGAATTTAAAAATTAATAAACTTTATAAAAAAATAATAAAAACCAAACATCCCATTACACTCAAAAAAATAGCAACAAAGAAAAATAGTAGTATGATAGTTAATTCACAAATACAAATCTAAATCTAACTTTACCCAATTTTTCACAGGGTAAAGGTTGTATTACAATAACTGTTATTTTTTTTGGATTTGCTTTTAGTTATTGCTTTAGCCTCCATTTGTATTAATTATACTACCTTTCATTAGTGTTTTTCACACATGTAATTGCTTAAGCTTTCAATATAAGGAGGATCTAATCGGATTATTTGATAATAATTTTAGAAAGGGTTATAATTTGTTAACAATTAACAACAAATTGGGTACTACATGGAGTCTGGACTATTGAAAAGCATAAGTGCAATATAACACTGATATATTTTTGAATAAGAACTGAACACTCAAAAAATTTAATCTAAATTATTTTATCCTTTAATGGTAATCTTTAACATTATCTTTGGCTTTATAGTTACCCAATCCCAATTAACCTTTTCCATAACAATACAATCCTCCATTTTCACTTAGCAGTATTGTAAATGCACTTCACACAAACCAATGAAATTATTTCACTCCAATTTAAAGATATTTTAATTGATCATAAACTTTTCCTTTTGATACATACATGATTGTATTTCTGTATGCTTTGATAAATTCAACATCTTTATGTAACAATTAAGGTTTTTAAATATATTTGTGGCGAACACAACCCAAATTGAACAACTTATTATCATATAGTTATATCAGGCAATAATTAAATAGTCTTTATTTTTCCCATAAAATTCAATTAAGTTGGATTGTGTTTCTCTCCATCTTAAAAACCTAATTAGCTCGTATCATTTAAACCCCATCCATCTAATTTATTACAACTTGCCAATTGTTGTATTTTCTCAAACCTAAATAAATTACAAAAGATTTACTTTCTCAAACCTTTAGATAAATTAATTATAATAGTTGGATGCAAATGATCCATTATATCTGTCAGAAGTATCTGAGATCATCTCTAAATAAATAATGAAAGCAAATATATAGGTTTTAGATCCAATCCAAAAATTAATGCTGGATCATTTCAACCCAAATAAATCAGTCTCTTCTTGCAATTATTGCTCTAGGGGTAAAATATATTGATTATGTTATTATTTTAACTCCCTCCTTGTCATTATATTGTATTTAATTGATTTGCTTTTTATATAACTTTCTAATTTTTTCTAATCTAATATTTTCAAATGGAAAACTCAATACTTTTCGGTTTTACTTTTTTTAGAATTCAATATAATTTATTTCATTATGACTATATGATTAGTAACAAAATTAGTTTGTAAGTGAACTGAAATATATTGATAAAATCCACTACAAACTAATAATGAAAATTTAAGGAGATATTTAGTTGGTGTACATAAAGAAATCTTTGCTGCCTTCATTTTCTATCTAAACTATATTTTCTTAATTTATCTCTTGATCGTTTAGCGACCATTTTGATCATTTTCATAACTGTGTAAATTTATCTCTCAATTGATGTCTTTTAAACGCTGATGAAATTTATTAAGCCTTCTAATTTTGTTCTTTCATTAAAGGTGTAAATCTTAGCAATGAATGTCATTCCTATATCTTATAAAAAAATTTATGAATTTCCAAATAAATATAAATCTTAAGGGCACTTCATTAAATTGTTCTTCAAAAATTTTTAATCCAAAGATTTATAATCTTTATTTAAAGGATCTTTAGGTTTGATACAACGAATAGAATTAACACCATATGATATCAATTCTGTCATTAAGCTTTTCATCTTATTTTTTATTTTATTACTAAAGTTTTAGATTTGGCTATAATTAAAAATGCATTTTGCCTCTCGTAAAAGTTATGGGAATTTCATCTTAATAAAATTTAGCATGTATATTCTACATCTTTAGCTATATGTTTGATAGTGGGTATTGTGGAATTTAAAGCTTGAGTTCTTTTCAAAAAGTTTGTAATACTTATTAATCAGTTTAATTTAATCTATATGCTTAATCAATATGGTTAAATAAACAAACAAGAGGGTTTATCAAACAAAGATATTAATTAGGTGTTATCTTCAAATTTAATAATTCAGCTTTTAGAAATTTATTCTTTATGTTTCTGATTTAGATAAAAACTTTTTGATATTAAAATATTTCTAAACTTTCTTTACGAATATTTTTCCTCCTTTGAAAATATATTCTATATGTAATTAATGAAGTTTTTGCCCTCTCCATCTATGACAATGACTTTAAGCTTTCTCATTTAATTTTGTAAATGCATGGGTTGCAATTTAATATGTACTAGATGCAATAGATTTAGAGTTACGATGTTTTCTAATGATATAATCCATATATTTTTGGAGATCTACATTGAGTACTTAAATAGATTGATAACTATCAAAGTTGTTCCAATATATGTAAATATTTAATCTTTTTATATCTCTAACTTAATTTATCTAAAAGTTATGGATCATTAATAATTGCTAGATTGACCATGTTTGCCTAAACATCCTCACATCTTTCCCACACTGGTCCATTCAATTTTCGGCCATTTTCTTCACTTATATAATTGTTTCCATCTACAATTATACCTTTTATAAAATTATCACTCTCTAAAACACAAACTTTAATACTAAACATTCTAGAATAATAGTGATGTGTTAATTATTTTAATGAACAAAGTTATCTGTCTTCTTTCACTATTGTTGGCTACTTCTTATGCACTTTACGATTCACGATCGAAAGTGTAGCTCCTTACACCTTAAACATTCAGAGAGAAGGTGTTAAATTCAAAATCTCTTTGGATAGTTGAATTCTTTGCTCCATGGTGTGGTCATTGCAAAGCACTAGCCCCAGAATATGAAAAGGCAGCAAAGGCTCTAGAAGGAATAGTGAATATTGCTGCAGTTGATGCAGATGCTCACAAGGACCTGGGAGGACAGTATGGTATTTAAGGATTCCCTACAATCAAATTTTTTGGAGAAAACAAAAATTCACCTTCTGATTACCAAGGAGAAAGATCAGCCCAAGGAATAATCAACTTTGCATTAGAATAAGTCAAATCGGTATTATTCTATTTTATTTTTAAAGACTGTAAATAGTAGATAAAAAGGATCGTCATCAAATAGAAATTAATAAAAACAATCATCTGGTTCAGCATCTGGATCTGGATCAGCTGATGATGTTATTGTTCTTACTGATTCAACATTTGATGAAAATGTTCTTAAATCTAAGGATTCTTGGTTTGTTGAATTCTATGCACCTTGGTGTGGTCACTGTAAGAAACTAGAACCTGAATGGAATAAAGTAGGATCAGATCTTAAGGGAAAAGTCAAAGTGGCTAAGGTAGATGCCACAGCTAACACTTAATTAGCCACTCGTTTTGGAGTCTCAGGATATCCAACTTTGAAATTCTTCCCTGCAGGTTTCTCCAATGATTCAGAGGTAATCCCTTATGATGGTGCCAGAGATTCCTCTGCAATGATAGAATTTGCTTTAGAATAATCTAATAAGTCAAAGAAGGTTGAAGTAGTGGAATTACTATCAAAGGATATCTTAAAAGAAAATTGCCTTGATTACAATGGTATTTCTCAATATTATCTAGGTGTCTGCATAATTGCTTTTCTTCCTCACATTTATGATAGTAATAAATAAGAAAGAAATTAATACATCAATTAATTATTAGAGGTTGCTAAATCACTGAAAAACAAGCCAGTGAATTTTTTGTGGACTTAAGGAGGAGATAACTACGAATTTGAAGAAGCATTCTAAAGCGCTGCTGCACATCCTTCAGTGATGGCTTTAAGCGGCAGAAAGTCTGTTTATGCTAAACTTAAAGGAGCATTCAGTAAATAAAATATTGAATAGTAATTATAAATATATTTATTTAGATTTGTGAATAATGTATTAAACGGAAGAGAGCACTTCAATCAGTATTCTCAACTTCCTAATTTTAAAAAAGTTGAAAAATGGGATGGATAGGACCATAAACCAGTTTATAATGATGAATTTTGAATATTGTTTAATTGAAGATGTTAAAGTTATCGTTATTTGTCTCTATTCCTTATATTTCATATTCTAAATAAGTTCTTCAAATAGAGATCATTAATTTCAAATATCATCTCATTTTAAAAATTAAAATAATAATTATATTATTTCTGATGTAGCAAGAAGAAGAACAATATTCATGTCTTGAAGAATTCTTTATTGACAGTTGCAGATTTGGGTAAGATGATATTCATTTTTAGAGATTATGAAGATGCGATTGGATGCTTTGAAGACAATGTTGATTTGTTTTGGATCGACATTAATTAAAATAATTGCATTCGTATTTTTGTTGAAATTACATTTTAGATATGGTATCAGCAAATGGTCATTTGTCAATTCTTGAATAAATTATCTCTTATTCTCAAAAAAAAAATATTGATTTGCAAAAATTAATTAACCATCAAAATTAATATGGATGTACTCCTCTACGTAATATATATATTTATATTAAATCAGATTGGGCTGTGTTAAATAACTAATTAGCTATTATAACAGTACTATTATAAAATGGAGCAGATGTTACCATAAAAAACCTAAATGGATTAACATGCATAGACGAAGCTTTTTAGCTTGATAAAGCAGAAGTTATAGTAATATATTATTTGTTATTCTAAAGGAGTTATTATCAAAAAATATCTCTTTAACAGAAGATCAGCAGTAGAGTTTCTAGGAAGCACCAGATGTTACAGAAAAGGATGAAGAAGATTAAGTTGAATGAGTTGTTTATATTTTACCTATAACAGTAATCAAATTACCTTTCTACATTTGAAAAATATCAATTTCCTAGTAGAATTTAATTTACATTATGTGATAGCTTTTAAATATTCATAACTCTGAATTTATAAATGAGTCTTCACCATTTCATTCAATATTAGAATGTTCTATTGAATTTCCAAGAGTAGAATGATATTAAATGAATATTTTGTGTGACATTTTTAAATTAAGGAATAAATAACTATAATTTTAATAATTAAATAATCGAAATTATTAACAATGAGCGTTAAAAAACAATCATATGCAGGAAGTACAACAGATTACTCAGAAGCAATGTTTTAACCAAATTTCACATAGAGAAACCAAGGTCTAAACCAAAATTATCAATTACCACCATAAAATCAATAATTTCTTCCATAGTAACCATTTCAAAACTAAAGGATTTCATTTGGATAAGGAGAAATTTGCCAACCATAACAAACAATGCCAAAACAAAGATCTGATTACAACTTTCAACCTTAATATCCAGTAACCGATTTAAATAGTACATTTACAATGCTGCCAAAAGTATTTGAAATGGATTAAGACTTTTTACCTCAGGAAATACTATTCTTGTTATCAGAGGAAAATAATCACATAGATAGATTTAAAAAGAGAGTTGATAGAGAAAAGGATAAGATCAAAAGAGATATAAGTTCTATTAAGAGCGAAATTTCAAATATGATTGAAGATCTTGGAGTTTAGATGTAACAATTTGTGGATGAACATTATAAACGATATTTAAATGTTTACGCTGCTTTTAAGGATGAGGTAATTCAGTTTAAGAAAACCAAGTTAGAAGCACCTTTGAATTTAGTACCTCCTCCACCCTCAAATAATTTTGGGGACTGTTCTAATGCTAATTTGATAAGAGAATTAGAAGAAATGAAATATTAAAATTATGTTAGTAAAGTAAATGCATACATAAGCAATTTGGCTAGACAAAGAGTTGAATAAATACAAATAATATCAAAGGAATTATTATAATTGACAAGTCAAAATAGTGAATTCTATCACTCAGAAGCAACTTTGAGACAATTAAATAATATCAAATAAGAAGTAGAGGAAAGATTAATTACAAAATTTGGTGATATGACTGATTATATTTTGCCTTTAGATTTTATGGAGCAAAGTTAATAGAAATAAATGAATCAAGAAATAAAAAGTAAACTCAATTTAGAAACTTAATCACTTCCCTAATCAGCCATCAAAACAAATCCTTATTTAAATATTTAAGAACCAAAATTAACTTTAAATTTTGAAAATCAAATGAATCAATTTAACCAATCTTCACAAACAATTTAGTAGTCTCCCATCCTTTAGTTACAAAACCATTCTATAAATTCTCATACAATTTAGGGAAAGGTAACTGAATTACAAGAAATCCAATCTCAAGACATCAGACATAATGGAATGATACTGTGTTTTACAAATATCAAAGAAAATTTGATTGCTACTGGATCTAAAGATACATACATCAATATTTGGGATAATTATTCTTTGATATCCTAATTGAAGGGTCATACTGATGGAGTTTGTACTTTAACAGTAGTTAAAGCAAATAATGTGCCTTTCTTCTTAGCATCTGGAAGTGACAATGGTGACAAATCAATTAAAATATGGAATTTATCAACTTTGAAAGAACACAATACTTTAGTGGAACATCAAGCAGCTGTAGTTGCTTTGTTATCATTGGATGATGGGTAAACTCTTGTTAGTGGATCATATGATAAATCATTGCTGATTTGGAATATTGATAATTAGAAACCAATTTAAAGATTGGATGTTCATACAAATGCTGTAACTTGTCTCACTTTAGCAAAAGGTAGATTCATTTCTGGAGGATTGGATCAAACTATTAATGTATGGAAAATAAGTAAAAATGCTTAAGGATAGTTTTAAACAGCATAACTAGAAAGGACCATTAGAAATCAAACACTGGTTTGCGCCTTGAATATTGTTTAAATCTAAAATAATGTAATATTTTTAACATTATAATTTGTAGACTAAAATTATTAGTGGAGGAAAAGATGGAAAGATTAGAGAATTCGATATCAATACTGGCGAACTCTTGTCATAATAATAAGTTACTAATGGGCCTATTGTGGAAATGATTGTCACTTAAGATTATGTGAATTATTCTGTCATCTCTATGTCAAATAAAGTAACATCTTATAATTATCCTATAGGATCGAAATTTAGTGATGACAAATCAAGGAGTAAACAAAGTCTTGGATACAAATGACTAAGTATTTATAGAATTTGGCTGTGGAGTTTATCCAAAAATGGAAGTTGTTGAGAAAGCTGGGCAATTGTAGTTAAATATCATCTCATAAAAACAGGATGTTTAGAAAATTTTTAAGTATGCCATCTGATTGAATATATAGATAATTATTTTTATTTATATGGTATTCAATTAATTAATTGAAATTTATATCTATGCTTTTTGATTATTATTTTTCATTTAAATTATAATTCATATTGATAGAAGAACATAATGAATGTGATTTAAGGAATATCAAAAATAAGAATTTGAATTGAAAGTAGAGAACATTTTAAGATTGGGTTATGATATTTCATTATTGTATTCTAAGAATTCGAAAAGGTTTATTAATCGAATTTGGAATTGTGAGTTAATATGGAATAAAATTATATTAAACTTGTTATAGTTGGTGAAAGCGGAGTTGGAAAAACACAAATTCTGAATTCTTATTGCTTTGGGTTGGCACCATAAGCAGGAGCTGATTTCACAATAGGTTGCGATTATGTGCTAAAGAGGGTTCTTTTGAATGGAAAATTCTTAAAATTGTAAATCTGGGATGTTTCTGGAGCTGAAAGAGAATCACCTTTAATGAAAATATATTTGAAAGGAGCTTTGGGAATAATCTTCGTATTTGATGCAACTAATGAAATGAGCAGATAATAATTGGTAAAATGGTAGAATATAGTGTATTAATACGTTGACGAATATAATGGAAGACACATTCCATTCTTGATAGTTTAGAATAAAATGGATTTGGTATAACAATATGATGAATAAAATTCTCAGTAATTTCTTTAGTAATTTTGTTAAACTTTTGGATTCTTTGATGGATTGTAATGTTCAGCATATGATAATTAAGGTTTAAAAAATGTGTTCGAAACAATAGTTGATGAAATAATTAGAAGAGATCTAGTGGAATTGTAATTGAAAAAAAATGAAAGTAAAATAAGCAAACTGTAAATAGAAGACAAAGGAATGAAACTGAAATAGAAATCAAAATGCTCATGAAGAATGTATGGATATGTATTCAAATTAATAATTGTTATTAAATCATTTACTTTCAAAAACACAGAATGCATTTGATCTAACTGTTTCTACTTTGACTTCTGGTCCCACCATTGTTCTAATATCACGTATATCATAATAAATCATAGTTGGTCTTTCCAATCCCAAACCCCATGCAATCACATTCACATCTTCTGGAATGCCAAGAGGTGCTAACATTTCAGGTCTGAAAACACCAGAATTACCAATCTCAACTTTCTTGTTTAAAACAGGATGATATCCTTGAATAAGGATAAACAATTACCATAAATCTCCATACTTGGTTCGGTATATGGATTATAAGTTGGTTTAAACCACAATTTGTTGATACCAATTTCTCTAAAGAATTCTCTGATGATTCCCATCAGTTATCCTAATGAGGCATTCTTATCAATCACAACTCCTTCAATCTAATGAAATTCAGCCAAATGAGTTGCATCTAAAGTTTCATTTCTGAAGACTTTATCTATACTAAAGTATTTCTTTGGAAAGTAACCCTTCTCTTTATATTGCTAAGCAATTCTATAAAGCATTTTAGATGAGACCGCTGTTGTATGTGTTCTTAATATATTTTTTCTGGCTTCTTCATGCGACCATTCGTATTGATATCCAATACTACCAACACCTCCTGTCTGATGCATAGTTTTTACTTTATCTCTTAATGTATTATCTACTTCTTCACTGAGTTCTGGATCACTACAGAAGAATGTATCATGTGCATCTCTTGCTGGATGTTTTTATGGTTAAAATAAAGCATCGAAATTCCAAAATGATGATTCAACAAATTAATTTGTTGGCATTTCTTCAAATCCCAATCCAATTAGAATTTATGAGAACTACTTCCTTACTTTTAAAAGAGGATGTAAATTACCCATTGAAACTAATAATGTAAAATTGATTATTACTCTTTTCTCCTTCTGCATTGAGATTAATACTTTTATAATCGCAATCCTTCCATTCTCCACTCAATAATTATTCTGTGGTCAATGCTGCAAACTATTCTCTAAATTTTGGACTATATTTAACTCCCTTCTTTATCTCAAAATATTTTATAGTTGATATGCTAGCTAATTTTCTTTCAATCAATAGTTTTGCTTATGGTGATCCTAACTTGATTTCATTAAATGATTATAATTCTTGTTTTATTTTATCAGGCAAATCATTTGCTACTTTACTTATCATACCTTTGTCCATTTTAATATATCCCATTTTCTTTGCATTTCCAAAACCTTAATCAAATAATTTCTTTTTAGGATCCTCTGCTTATTTTTCCTTCTTTTCTCCCTATTCTTATTTTTATTTTGGAGCCTGATCAATACCAAATTATTTTTGTAAATCTGTCATGGATATTCCACCTTCAGGAACTTTTTAATAAATCTCATATTCTCCGGATTATGAATTTAATATAGTATTTCCTTCTTCAGTCAGAAATAATTAATCTTTTTTTAAACCCTATTATTATTGTCATTATCCTACTTCTGTAATGATGTAATTTGATGCTTCTAATTATAATAGATATCCAACCAATTCTTGATGATTGATGCCTATTGTCTGTGCAACTTTTAAGGAATTAATAGATTCGTTATTCTCTAATAAACTAAGAATTTGATTTGCGTGATCGTGTTTTTAATTCATAATTATTTAATAATAAATATATTAAATTTCTAATCAATCTCCCATTCTCATTCTATTTCATTCGTTTTTCAAAATAAAATAATAATAACATGTATTATTCCTTATATCAAATATTAAATGAGATATCAATTCAATTAAGTTTGAATTAAGCATATGTTTAATCATAATCATCTATTAATAATAATTTAATATTGGCAATTAAATAATTATTTAATTTAATAAGGTTAGCATATAAATGGAAGAATAATTGTCTTAGTAATTTGATTGTGTCAAATTTATTGAATCTCATCTACAAGGGACTCAAGATATAGATATGCAATTAACTGATTTATCATTTTAACTACAATTGTTGAAATCAGACTCAGAGGAATAAATCATTCAAGAAACAAAAGCAATTTACTAAAACCAAGACTAAATCATTCAAGATACTTAATAATTATTTAAAGAGTTGATTGATTATAAAGATCTACAAGATTAGTACATTAGTCAAACTTTGCCATTTTTAGCATAGGACAACAAACTATATTAAAAAATGGATGAATGTCTAAGATACAAAAAAAATATTAGAGACAGTTTAGACATGTTTGAAATTGTAATGCAATTAGATTAGATATATGATTAATATTAAAAGATAATAGAGGATAATGATATTTAATAATTGTTGGACAATATCAAGAATAATATTAGAATATTTAAAATCTTATTACAACTTCCAAAAATGAGTCCTAGATATGGACAAATAGAGAAGATTGTCAATTTGGTTGAATAATATTGCCATTAAGAATTATTTACATCTAAGCAATCATAATAAAAATTAGAAATTTTAGATTTGCTTGATATTTCATCAAGGGCAGCCAGCATTTATTTGCAGCAGAGACTAAAAGTCATCGACCTTTCTTAATTAACTTTAAATGATTTATTGAGTACTTAAGATGCTTAAGAATTGGTTCATCTCATGATTTCAATCACAGATAATGAATTACAATATTTGAGAAATATGAATAATTTTTAATCGTTTTTCTTTGAATTTTTGAAGTACTTGATTTCTTATTTTAATAAAAACCTATTTAAGCAGTATTTCAACTTTGAAAACTAATACAATAGAAATTTAGAAGTATTCCACTCATTATTATTTAATAGTTTCTATATGGTTATTTAACATACTACAACATTTTGTAATCGTATTCTGATAAAGGATATTTACAACCCAAACATTTTGATTAGATATTAAAGCTTGCCTTTGAACCTTATAGTGCTATAATAAAGATAATCGTAAAAAATGAATGCCAATTTCTTTAAGGAAATATCAATTTCTAAATAGATTCTACAAAGTCAGTTAATGAGAAATTGGCAAGCTTTGATTTCAACAAATAAGATATATTGGAATAATCATTTAAAAGGTGTTATGATTTGAGTTTTTAAATAGCATTTGAAGATTGGGTATTTGAATGTATAAAAATTTTGGATAATTTATTGATCATTTTGAATCAAATTATTGATGAAATACCTTTAGATTAATTTGGATAATACATTTAATCAATTATCAATTAATCTGAGAATTAGCAATTCGTCAAAGGAACCAATTCAAAATTTTAGATGAAACATAATATTTCTTTATTTGAGTTACTCATAACTAAGCATTATGAATTACATAATTTTAGAATGAATCAGCTAGTAGAATTAGATACTTTTATTAGAAAAACTATTGAAAAAAACATGGAAGAGGAATTATTGAGATAAATATCTTAAATTATAAGAGAAAGTATACTTTATTGATATATAAATAGAATTATAAATGAATAGAAATAAAGCAATTTTAAATCAATATATGGAAACATTATCTTTAACATCTGCACTTAGATAATTAATTGAGGAATGTGAAAATAAACTCTCCATTCATATACTTAGATTGTTATTGCAAGATAGTTTGAATTAAGATTAGGATTATATTCATTCATTTACCACTAATTTAGAGTTAATTGAAAACATTTTTAAATCTATCAAGGCAAATAAAATCAATTTTAAGGCTTGTGTAAATTTGAATTAGAATGTTTCTTATGAGGAATTAGAGGAAAAATCAAAAAATAATTATTTTAGTCAACCAACTTGTTTTTGGGCAACAATGCACATTTTAGTAGAAACTAAGTTCATTTAAATCAAAGAATTAAAACCTTTTTATGAAAAATTTGTTATATATGATAATTTATATAAATGATTCTTAAACAATGCAGTTCCAAAGAAGGTTTCGATTCATCTAGTGAAGATGAATACCTTGATTAATTCAAAACTAAATTCAGAACCATAGATTATTATGAAGGACTTAATAAAGAAGGTGAAAAAAAACAATACAATTCCTAAGCTGTCTAATAATAATATCGAAACCTCACTTTAAATGTTCCTGAGTTGAAATATAACAATTCAACTATATTCTTAGGATAACCATTCTATAATACACAATAAATACACAGATTAATTGAAAACAAAGAATATTCAAATGATTTTGAATTTTAGCCTTAAATATTGAGACCTTTTCTTGGTATGTTGAAATAAGGATTATAATTCAATTCCAGTTTTGAATCTGGTAATTTAGATCGAGTTGACTATGTAATGTTTCTTATTTTTAAAATAGATTTCAAATGAAGAATATAATTTATTCATGAGAATTGACACAAATTCTATCGGTCATAGTAACTGGTTTTATTTCAAAACTACAAATAACCAATTGAACAAAATTAAATTCAATATCTGCAATTTTACTAAACCATAAAGTCTATATACAAAAGGAATGAAACCATATATATTATCGAAAAAAGGTTCTTAAAAATATTTTACACAATAAGGAGAATTTGTTAGATATCAATAAGTTGGAGAACTTTATGTGTTATCCTTCATTTATTAATATGAGTATGTGGATGATGAAGTTGAATTTGCAACTCTTCCACCATATACATACACAGAATTAAGAAGGAAAATTAAAAAATGGCATAAGAAATCTAAATAATATCTAACTAAACTTAAATTAACAACTACATTATCTGGCCTTGTTTTGCCTCTACTTGTTATTACTGAAAAAAACTCAAATAAAAATAAGAAAATCATCATCATAACTGCACGAATTCATCCTTCTGAAACTTGCAGTTCTTTTATGATGCAAGGAGTGATATAATTCTTGTTAAGTGAATGCTTCATGGCATCATATTTAAGAAAAAAGTAAACTTTTTAATTATACTCAAGCATCGTTTTTAAAATTATTCCTATGTTAAATCCAGATGGTGTGATTGTTGGAAATTTTAGAAATGGATTAAGTGGAGTTGATCTCAATAGGTAATTTTTAGAAACTGATTTAACTTTATTACCAGAAGTTAAAGCTTTAAAGAATTTAATTGAAGACAATTCTCCCTAATTAATAGGCTATTTAGACTTTCATGGACATTAAGTAAGAAAAAATATATTTCTCTATGGGCCATCATCAAATAATGTAAACTATGATTCGAAAATATTTCCCCTGATTCTTCAACAAAGGTTAGAATCTTTTCGATATAAATCTTGTGAATTTGGAATTCCAAAATTTAAGATGGGAACAGCAAGAGCATTTGCAAATTGCTTTATAGATGCTTTATGTTATACCATAGAGGCATCATTTTGTGGATATTAAAAGGGAAAATCCTTCAAATTTATATCAAAAGATTGGATTTAAGCTGGTTAATGTATTGGAGAGACCTTATTTTTATATTTTAATTTTAAATAAATAAATTCAAAATAATTAAGTAAAATATAATCCATGATTATTAGAATAAAACTAACTTATGAAAACAATTAATGAAATGTCAAGCAAAGTTGAGTAAACTGAAGCAAAACATGAATCAGACGATGAAAATGACAGTCAATCCGATGCAGAAATATTTGAGGATTATGATAACGATAAGTTAGCAAGCCTACAAAGTTAAATGAAAGCAGAATTAAGCCAATAAAATTTGGTTGTAATAAATAAAGGAGATTCTCAAAGAAAACGTATGAAAGCTTAAACGGTATCAAGAAAAATTAAGATATAACCAATTTTTATAATGAATAAAAGTAATCAAATTAATTAGTTAGAGATCAAAGAAAACCTATAGTATACCCAGAGTTGAATATTTAAAATTGGGAATTTTCAAATAAAACAAATCATTCTATAGACACTAAAACTAGCTTCTAACAGAAAGGAATTAAAAACAAAATTTCTTCGACTTTTAGATTTGTATCAAGCAAAAGAGCCACGTCTCTTCATGGAACTTCGCCAGTCAATTAGTTTCCACAGGAAATAAATATAACTTAATAAATTTAGCCAACTCCTCCCATATAAATTCCATCGAAACTGAATTCCAATAATTTTCCTATTCTTGAAAATACTAGTTAAANAAATAAAAATAAGAAAATCATCATCATAACTGCACGAATTCATCCTTCTGAAACTTGCAGTTCTTTTATGATGCAAGGAGTGATATAATTCTTGTTAAGTGAATGCTTCATGGCATCATATTTAAGAAAAAAGTAAACTTTTTAATTATACTCAAGCATCGTTTTTAAAATTATTCCTATGTTAAATCCAGATGGTGTGATTGTTGGAAATTTTAGAAATGGATTAAGTGGAGTTGATCTCAATAGGTAATTTTTAGAAACTGATTTAACTTTATTACCAGAAGTTAAAGCTTTAAAGAATTTAATTGAAGACAATTCTCCCTAATTAATAGGCTATTTAGACTTTCATGGACATTAAGTAAGAAAAAATATATTTCTCTATGGGCCATCATCAAATAATGTAAACTATGATTCGAAAATATTTCCCCTGATTCTTCAACAAAGGTTAGAATCTTTTCGATATAAATCTTGTGAATTTGGAATTCCAAAATTTAAGATGGGAACAGCAAGAGCATTTGCAAATTGCTTTATAGATGCTTTATGTTATACCATAGAGGCATCATTTTGTGGATATTAAAAGGGAAAATCCTTCAAATTTATATCAAAAGATTGGATTTAAGCTGGTTAATGTATTGGAGAGACCTTATTTTTATATTTTAATTTTAAATAAATAAATTCAAAATAATTAAGTAAAATATAATCCATGATTATTAGAATAAAACTAACTTATGAAAACAATTAATGAAATGTCAAGCAAAGTTGAGTAAACTGAAGCAAAACATGAATCAGACGATGAAAATGACAGTCAATCCGATGCAGAAATATTTGAGGATTATGATAACGATAAGTTAGCAAGCCTACAAAGTTAAATGAAAGCAGAATTAAGCCAATAAAATTTGGTTGTAATAAATAAAGGAGATTCTCAAAGAAAACGTATGAAAGCTTAAACGGTATCAAGAAAAATTAAGATATAACCAATTTTTATAATGAATAAAAGTAATCAAATTAATTAGTTAGAGATCAAAGAAAACCTATAGTATACCCAGAGTTGAATATTTAAAATTGGGAATTTTCAAATAAAACAAATCATTCTATAGACACTAAAACTAGCTTCTAACAGAAAGGAATTAAAAACAAAATTTCTTCGACTTTTAGATTTGTATCAAGCAAAAGAGCCACGTCTCTTCATGGAACTTCGCCAGTCAATTAGTTTCCACAGGAAATAAATATAACTTAATAAATTTAGCCAACTCCTCCCATATAAATTCCATCGAAACTGAATTCCAATAATTTTCCTATTCTTGAAAATACTAGTTAAATATCAACACCTTAATATTTGCCTTTCATTACAAAACTATTGAAGAACAAAAGAATAGTCACATAGAGTTGACCAAAGCTAAATGACTTTTATAAATCTTAAAATTATATAATTAATGAAGATTAGATTTTAGAATTAATTAGGAAATATAAAAAATTCGTATTAAATTTTATTTTTATGGTTTACAAAATCAAAAACAAATATTATTTAAATAAAACTTGATGAAATTTGGATTTAAATCAATTCCAATCATCTGAGTGTGTTCTTTTTGAACTTCTAACATAAATAATGAGAAATGTAAATTAAGAATTCTTTGTTATTAACTGTATGTGTCCTAAATTTTGAATTGACTTCTGATAGGTGCCCTTCTAGTTCCTCAAAGTAATATTGGATTATGACAAATTGTTAATATTTCATCATTGTTCACTTTATATACAGTTATTTTGTTTTTAGAATAAAATATATCCTTAAATCCGAAATTATAGAGAATTAATATAATTTTTATTTTGTTGATTACGAGAATTTTAGAATGTTAATTAAATAATTTGACAAGCGTTGATTTAAACACTTGTTGTTATAGAGAACAAAACTAAATTACTGTCAATAAGGTTATTGATAATAGATAATACATTTAAGATTAACTATGATAGGTAAAGAATCGTTGAATATATTCATTAAGTAATTAAATATATATATATTTATTAATATCATATAATATGATTAATGATTTGGATATCAACTTGTGCCCACTTTCTCCTTTGGAATTTCATACAAATTAACAGCAGATAATTTCTGAATAATTCTTGGAATATGAGAATCGTTCTAAAAAATGTAGAGTTAGTTCCTAATGTTTACTAATAAAAAAGTACTATTTTTAGAATCATTATAGAAAAATTAGACAAAAGAAATCTAGGCCATCTGTCCTTCGAATAGAAGAAGTAGTTAGAAATGTGAAGTTGTACAATACTTGTTCGAGCCAACAGAATCTAGAGAATCTGGAAATTATTTAAAATAAACCTCTTGTGAAATCTAGTTGAAAAGATTTAGCTGACTTGATTTATATTAATACATACTTGTAAAAGGTTGAACTATATAAAGTTTTCATCTTTATCAAATTTTCCATGTCAAGAAATATAAAAAATGGTGGATCAGATTTTTAACATACCTTAATTAAGGCATGTTTAACCTCCAACCACTTTCTGATGGTTTCTCTTCTCGGTAAACATTCAATCGAATGAGTATAAACAAATTAATATTAAATTCATACTCGATAAAACTATTAAGTGACTCTTGTCGATACAATAAAGATGATCAAGAACTCCTATTAAATGAAGATTTTTCTTCATTTTTAAGGAAACTTTGAGAATATATACATTATCAACCCAATTAATTAAACCATTATACTATAGAGATGCATCAAATACTAACCAATAGAAGAAATGATAATTTAGTTTCTGTAATTAATTATATCTTGGACGTAATTTATATTATGTGAATTATATGAGATGAATATGTTATTTAATTGTGAAACAAATAAGAAGAATAAAATCACAAAGAAATGGCTAAATTGTCTAATTTTAGTGTATGTAAAAGAAGAATTACTGAATTTAGTGAAAGTTTAACTTTTAAAAGCAATTTTTATTATATAACATATTTATATATTTCAAAGAAAATAATCAGGTACTCTTCTGGTTGTATGAGGCTCATTTTCTCTTGGAGCTGGCTCAAATTATGTCCTATAATAAATGCTAATTGATGTTACTAATTCATTTTCAGTTATTCGTCAACTTCAACGATGCATGCTTAATTTCCACATCTGTAACAATAATTAGGAGCTGAGAATATAGTAATCGTCTTTTGATTATGAACCTTTTATATTCCTTCCATAACCAATTGATGGGCTCTGGCAATTTATTTCAATTTATTTGAGTGCAAGAATTTTTCTGTTATATCACAACCCCAAGTCCAACCTGCACCTCTTGGAGAGATTCCCCATCCTTAATTGTTTAGTTATATATTAAATACCATTTTTTGTTTCTTCTGGATCACTCCATAGCAAATCACACATTAATCCTTCGTGTGGGATATCTTAAACTCTATTAAGTTATTTAATTTGGTCTACAGATTCCATTGCAGGGGATAAACCTCCATGTGCACAAAAAATCTTTGGATTTAATTAAATTTGCTGTTACTTATTATTCAACAATTGCAGAGAGTGGGAGATAACCAAAAACCTCTGTAAATTATTTCCATACGATTTCATTTCCATATTTACGAAAGCATTCATCATAAAAACCATAGATTTTATTGATTTCTCGATTTTCATGATTACCTTTAAGAATATTATGCAATTATACCTCTCAATAATACTATGCGATCCTTATATCTGACCTTGAGGGACAACATCAATGAAAATGTTTCGACTGATTGTGATCCTCGATCAACATAATCTCCAAGAAATAAGTAATTAGTGTCCTAAAGTGATTTGCAAATTAATATACTGGTAGGTTTCCTCCAATTTAAAAGAGTTCAATGAGATCATGAAATTGACCATGTATATCTCCGCAAATAGTAAGGGGAGCTCTGACTTAAATGATGTTTGGTTCATCCTATAATATCTCCTTTGCCTATGAAATTGCTAAATATTAAAACTTTGATGCATAAACTCTTGACCTCTTGTTCAGTCAATATTTACCCTTGCCTTAATTTAGCAATTTATCTATCAATATTACCAATTTCATTGCTACTTAATTTATTAAGTGATGCCATTTTAATATAATTATTTGAAGAGATTGTTAAAACAAGATATATATATATCCATAAATAATAATAAAATTCATAACAATGGGTGGAGCGAAAGTTGATTCCAAAGATCCAGTAAGAGGTATCATCTCAGGTAACTCCCTATGTCATTCATTTAAATTTTAGGTGGTATAACAGGTGGAATCGAAATTTGTATCACATATCCCACTGAGTATATTAAGACTATGATGCAACTCTATAAGGAATACTCATAGAAAGGAGTCAAATATTGCATTGGTGAAACCTATAAGAATTTTGGAATTACAGGATTTTACAGAGGTTTAACACCTTTGGTCACATTTTCTATTCCCAAAGTGGCTTGCAGATTTGGTGCCAATGAATGGTTAAAGAATAATGTATTCACAGACAGAAAAAGCAGACTCTAAACTTTCTTTGCAGGATTAGGAGCTGGTGTGTTTGAAGCAGTTGTTGTTGTGACACCCACTGAGACTTTGAAGGTCAGAAAAATCATTTAGAAATTAGGTTAAATTGATCCATGATAAATTATCAACCACTCCAAAATATAGAGGAATGATTCATGGAATTGGATCAATTGTTAATGAAATGGGTTTGTCAGGTATTTATAAGGGATTGGTTCCAACTATTTTAAAACAAGGTAGTAATTAAGGTATCAGATTCGTTGTGTTTGAGGATACTAAGAAATTGATCTAAGTATTTTGCAAATATAGGTTTTATAGAAAACTTTTACATTTTTACCTGAACCAGTTATTTTATTACTTTCCGGAGGTGTTGCTGGTGCTGCATCTGTGATGTGTAATACTCCAGTTGATGTCATAAAAACATAAATGCAAGGTCTTAAGGCTCATGAATATAATGGTGTTTTGGATTGCTGTAAATAAACTTATTAGCATGAAGGAGTTAGAGGATTCTACAAAGGTAAATCATAAATTTATAGGTTTTAGGAACTGTACCCAGATTGGGTAGAGTTGTTTTGGATGTAGCTATTACATTTACACTATATGATTATATTGGAAGAGTTCTTAATTTGGTTTGGCCACCAAAACATTGATAGTTCATATAATTTTATTCAAGATAGTAATATAAATCTATAATAAATAAATAAAAATACTAATACAATACAAAAATGACATAAAAAACAATTGATCACTATGTGTTTAATACAAAGGATGTGTTAGGATAAGGATCATTTGGAGTAGTTTTCAAAGCGACCAACAATAAAACGGGCAGATAAGTGGCATTGAAAATGATATCAAAGGATAAAATGTTGAAGGATCAAAATGCTATTAATGGAGTAAAGAGTGAAATTTGGATTATGCAAAAATTGAACAATAAAAATATTGTATAGTTAATTGATGTCTTAGAAACATCAAATAACATATACATTATTTAAGAGATTTGCGAATCTGGAGATTTAGCTAAGTCTTTATTATTATAAAATCACATAGATACTTAAAATAACATTAATTTGTGAATGAGGAATAGGCATTGAAAATAATGACTGAAATTTTACAAGGTTTCATAGAGTTGATAAAATTTGGAATCATCCATAGAGATTTAAAACCAGCCAACATATTAATTCATTAAAACACTTATAAAATTGCTGGTCTGATATTTAATATATTTTCGTAGATTTTGGATTTGCTAAAATTGTAGATAATTTTGCATAACAATTATTTTATTCATAAGTAGGTACGCCATTGTACATGAGTCCTCAAATTTTAAAGAACGAAAAATACTCCACAAAATGTGATGTTTGGTCATTTGGTTTCCTATTTTATGAAATCATTTACGGAAGAAGTACTTATCCTATAAAATTGTTTATAGCCCCTTGGGTTGCCTCATCCATACCCTAATTAGTAAAGAATATAAATACACAACCATTACAATTTTATGATTCGATTAATTAAGTTTCTGATAATGTCAAGGACTTGATATCTAAATGCTTAGCCATCTAAGAGAGTAAATAAGTATTTTTACTATAATAGAAGATCGATATAGTTGGTATGATATATTTGCTCATCCTCTCTTTAGTGCTTAATTTTCATAAACCCCAAATTTATAATAAATCTGTGAAGTACTATCTCATTTCTATTAAATAATAGTAAAAGGAACTTTACATTGCAAATCGTTTACGAGAGATTTTGGGGGCAAAATAAATTAGCAATAATTAGATTCTTGAAGAATTATAATAGAATTATGATGGCATTATTAGACAAGACAAATTGAAAGAATTATTAATTGACATAGATGCTGACTTGGAAGACTATGCAATTTAATACATATTTAATAGCATTGATGAGGATTAAAATGGCTAGATTACATGTCAGGAATTTTGTAACTGGATGATAAAACATAAAGTTATCCATAAATTGAATTATATTAGATTATTTATGATTTTTAAGTCAGAAGTACATCAAATACTATTAGCGGTCCATATCAGATCCAATAATAACAACTGTAAGATAAGAAAGACACTAAAACTATTATTTATAATTTGATTTCTGCGATATAATAATAGAATGAAAATCTGGTAGAATTGTTTTACAAATTTGTAAAGGGGACAGAAAATATGAGCTAAGATGATTTTGCGGATCTTTTACTGTAATTATCTAATATTATAAAACACTTAGGTACTATGATGACAGTTTATCTGATGATGAAATATTCTCGACCTTTTAAGTGTTTGATCTTGATGAAAAAAATGAAATCACACTATAGTAATTCAAATACATTCTTGAATAAGATATAGATGATTATTGATTAATATTAATAATCTAAACTTATTATTATTTAAAAATTTTAGATGTGATCAATAAATAAATTCATATTAAACTAAAATAAGGACTTAAAATACAAATGATCAGAATAATTTAAGGATATTTCTATCCTTTATCGCTCATTTGGATTTATATTTTAACGATAATATTCATAAAACATTGAACATATTTATTAAATAATCAGAGTTACAATATTTTTATCAATTTATTTTGTCTAATGAAAATGAACTATTTACAGTAATATGATAACTTATTAGGTTTATTGATATTATGCCATATTCCAACCTAACAATTCATCTATTTATAATTTTATTAACAACAATAGGTAAAATTATAAATGAGTAAAATAAGAAACTTGACTGTTGAGCTTAATTATTGAATATTGGAATATTAAAATTAATAAAATAATATATGAAAAATTAATGTTGTTTAATCATTTATTATTACTTGAAAGTGGTGATAGTAAATTGATACCCTTTTATGGTACTTTTTACGGTGTTTTACCAAATGGATTAGCCGATAGAGGCTATTAATTTTATATGATCGCCTATTATTATTATTATTACTATTATTATTATTGTTGTTGTATGGAGTGTTATTGTTAAAATGAAGCATCTTATGGTTTAGAATAGTAAGCAGACTCAGATTTTGGTAAGGTATTACTAAAGTTTTCTTAGTTATTGAAACAAGGTTGAACAAAGTGTTGAATGGTCTATGAAAATTATTATTAAGGATTGGCCTACTTCTAATTGGCTTTATCTTAATAGAATGCTTATTAATATGGGGGCAAAAACCCAGTGTGGTGTTAGGGAGTTACAAGCTTTAAAGCAGGTTTATGAATTGAAGTCATTTGAAATGATGTTTTTCTGGATTAGTTTTATATTGGGCTTCTGCTTATGACCATAAAATTTCTTGAATTTTCAGTGACAGTATTAAGCTTTCTCCCTCTTTCATCTTTGATAGGTGTTTTTTAACTCTAAATCAATATTGTTTGTTTGGTCGGAGTTTTATTAAACACACTTAAGGCTGCGGTGGTATTTCTACTTTAAGCTGGACTTAGATATTTTCCAGATCTATCCAATACGGGAGATACACTTCTTTATAAAGGAGTTCTAAAGTATGATTGAATAGATAGGTCTCTTAAAACTGGAGATTTACTACTTAATCCCAAATCAGGGGGAGGTGAATTATTTCTTTCAGGCTATCTAGGAGGAGATGTATATCTTCTTATTTTCGATTATGGCAGAAAAGTACTACCTTATTATTACAAATTAGTATCAAAAAGAATATCAGAAAGGGTTGGTCTGGATTATTCATCAAAAGTAATTAGCCTTTAGACCAAATTGATCAATTGTTAAGAGTATCTCTTTCTTGCAGATGACAACAGATCCATAATTGATTTAAAATATATAGTTTTTCTTTGATAGTCTATACATTCCTCCAAAACTCATTATAAATGATAACTGAATACTTGATGTCATAGTCATTAATTCCAATAAGGTGAGTCCGAGTTGAAAAGAATCTGTTTTGAAAGGATCATCTTTTGGAGTGACTGATTAATTTACTAAGGCATCTAATTATTATGGTGATATGTAAACACTAGCATCAGAATAGGCTAATAATTTGGCATAAGATGTAATTATTTCTGGGTATGCATTATGATACTATTATATTATGAAATTAAAGTACCAATATTTTAACTTATTTGGAGTTATCTATAAAAATTGTTTAGGGATTCAAATCTCCATGAAATAAATCTAACTTTTGTAAAAATGAACATGCAGAAACTATTTGTAAAATGATCTAAATGATTTCAGATATAAAATACTTTCCAAATTTCAGCTTCTTCCAAATAACTACAATTCTTTTTATGAAAACCGATTACATTATCTAANTGTTATTGTTAAAATGAAGCATCTTATGGTTTAGAATAGTAAGCAGACTCAGATTTTGGTAAGGTATTACTAAAGTTTTCTTAGTTATTGAAACAAGGTTGAACAAAGTGTTGAATGGTCTATGAAAATTATTATTAAGGATTGGCCTACTTCTAATTGGCTTTATCTTAATAGAATGCTTATTAATATGGGGGCAAAAACCCAGTGTGGTGTTAGGGAGTTACAAGCTTTAAAGCAGGTTTATGAATTGAAGTCATTTGAAATGATGTTTTTCTGGATTAGTTTTATATTGGGCTTCTGCTTATGACCATAAAATTTCTTGAATTTTCAGTGACAGTATTAAGCTTTCTCCCTCTTTCATCTTTGATAGGTGTTTTTTAACTCTAAATCAATATTGTTTGTTTGGTCGGAGTTTTATTAAACACACTTAAGGCTGCGGTGGTATTTCTACTTTAAGCTGGACTTAGATATTTTCCAGATCTATCCAATACGGGAGATACACTTCTTTATAAAGGAGTTCTAAAGTATGATTGAATAGATAGGTCTCTTAAAACTGGAGATTTACTACTTAATCCCAAATCAGGGGGAGGTGAATTATTTCTTTCAGGCTATCTAGGAGGAGATGTATATCTTCTTATTTTCGATTATGGCAGAAAAGTACTACCTTATTATTACAAATTAGTATCAAAAAGAATATCAGAAAGGGTTGGTCTGGATTATTCATCAAAAGTAATTAGCCTTTAGACCAAATTGATCAATTGTTAAGAGTATCTCTTTCTTGCAGATGACAACAGATCCATAATTGATTTAAAATATATAGTTTTTCTTTGATAGTCTATACATTCCTCCAAAACTCATTATAAATGATAACTGAATACTTGATGTCATAGTCATTAATTCCAATAAGGTGAGTCCGAGTTGAAAAGAATCTGTTTTGAAAGGATCATCTTTTGGAGTGACTGATTAATTTACTAAGGCATCTAATTATTATGGTGATATGTAAACACTAGCATCAGAATAGGCTAATAATTTGGCATAAGATGTAATTATTTCTGGGTATGCATTATGATACTATTATATTATGAAATTAAAGTACCAATATTTTAACTTATTTGGAGTTATCTATAAAAATTGTTTAGGGATTCAAATCTCCATGAAATAAATCTAACTTTTGTAAAAATGAACATGCAGAAACTATTTGTAAAATGATCTAAATGATTTCAGATATAAAATACTTTCCAAATTTCAGCTTCTTCCAAATAACTACAATTCTTTTTATGAAAACCGATTACATTATCTAAAGTATTTGGAATATATTCAAAAAAGAATTTTGTTTATAGAATATTCCCTTTAAATGTTAAATAATTCGATTAGCATCCGTAATATTATAATATATTTGGATGATTTGCCTTTTTTCTATCGTTGTGCTCATTCACATTTAAGTCATGTCTTTAACCGGTATGAGATAACTTATTGATCTAACAATACAGATACTTTCGAAAAGATTGACGGTTTACTTTTAGAATCCCTTCTCCATAATTAAATCATCCCTAAATATTTGTGCTGCTTTGATCCAATGCATTCTAAATGATCTTCTAATTTGCCATCCATTGAAATCACTTATTCATTGACATATGAGGTTTAATTACCCATTTTTTTATTAACAAATTTTGCTGTTATATATAAATATTAAAAAATTAATATAGAACCAGTGATATCAATTATATAATTGCTTAAAATATATCAATTTAGGTCTACCAAATATTATAATTCTTGAAAAGAAATTGCTGAATAAGAATTATCTTATTCTGAATAACAATAGAAATCTCAAATCTAGGAGTCAATTTTTATATATTTTATACCAATAATTAAATTTCTAAATATCAATTGTAGTTCTTTAAATATGGAAAGGCTAATAAAATTTAAATGAAGGCCTAACATAGGTGGTATTAAATAAATTATATACTTGATTAGAACACAGTAAATGTATGAGGAATTCATAATAAATCTCGGAATCAATAATTTGGGTATAATCGATTTATAATTCTGCCAACTATTTGAATTGCATTCTAAAAAGAAATTAAATCTTGAAATATTAGTCGAACTTTTAAGAATTTATAAAATTCTCAAATATCAATAGTAGTTATATGGTGTTTTTTAATTCAGTTAGTATAAACTAGCTACTTTAAGTGATCTGATACAAGAGTAATCCAATGAGAATGAATGTGATGATTCAAAAACTCAAATTTGAGTATTTCATTAACTTCTTTTTTTGAAAATGATTGGCTGAGAACTGAGTATGCTAAAATGATAAGATTTCTCCGATTCAATTAAACCAAATTGCCTATAAAATCAAATAGGAAGTGATGAAAAAATAATGATTGAGTAGTTAAAATATCAAGACCTTTATGAGGGGAATAAAAAGAATAAGAATTATAAGATTAGAATTATTTATAATTTAATCAATTGATTTTTATAGATATTATTTTAAGGATGAAATCTTATGTTGTTATTACTAAAATAATGGTTACTTAAATCGTTTAATAATGAGTTAGGTCAGAACATCAATAATTTAAAATCTGACACATTAAATTAGTTTAAAAGCAAAATTATTATTAATTCCGTAAACAATAATTTTAAATTATATTTTAAAAAATTTATTCTTATTAGAATGTAAAAACAAAGATAAATACCACTAACCTACTTGTAGAGTGATGGGGATACATATCCAGTACCAGAATCTATCGAAGCAGATATTGGAAGTTTATTAACATCACCCTAAACAACTATATAATCGGAGAGAAAGAAATCGTTTTAAAGTCCTTTTAGATTAAAAAGATCTCACTAAATTTTAGAATATACGGAATAACTTTATGTCTGGAATTCGTATCTTTCCAGAAAATTCGTTTCATCCTGAATGAATATTTTTAATGATTTGTGTTCACTTTATTATAGTATGACTTTTATTTTCATTATATAATATTTCGAGCAATAAAACACCTCAAATGATTTGACATTCTCAACATCATCCAATAGAAGACACTAGTTAGGATATATTATGTCAATACAACTTGTTAAATTTTGTCAGGTTAATTGTACTTCGTTTTTGACATTTGATACTATGTTATATATAAATATAATACTATCCCATAAGTCACTAAATTATTCATATGCTCAACTACAATCATATCATTACAGTATACTTAGAAGCATTTCACTAATTATTTTTGATATTATATAACAAAAAGATATAAGAGCATAGAAATGCTGCTATAATGTTCTCAATCTTAACGAATGTTATCCGACTCAATTAAAAATAATTGTTCTGTTTTGATAGAAAACTTCACTATAACTTATAAAGCATTAGAATTAGATATGAACTTTGCTTTAAGCACGAATGTTAGAACTAAACTGTGTTAGAGAGTGAATACTAATAAATGAAATTAAATTTAGAATATTATATCCACACATTATAAATATTCTTTAATTTTATTCATGTTCCTAATTTTGATTTTCAGAACTCTAAAAACATTACTGGACCTAGGATTCTCAAGGACATAAAGTATATTAGATATATTAATTTATATAGACTATCTTAGGTGAGTATGATTTATATGTTAAATAAATAAACAAGTGATTCATTAATATTTTATAGTAAATCAATAATAAATTAAAAATTATATCTGTTTGTAATTACAAATAAAATTATTGTTTTTATAATTAAATAATAAAGTTGAATAAAATGTAAAGCTTCAGGTTTAGTAATAATAAATTGGTTAAATTCTAATGGTTTTGACATCTAATTTTAATGGTTAAGTTTTTTATGGTGATTCTTTGGAGACAATGGTTTCAACAGGAATAGTATCTGTTTGAGTCTGTTAGTTTTAATATACAATTTCAACTTATTGAGATTAATTTATTAAGATGAGTTCATTTTATTGTTCTTCAGTTTAAATAACAACTTCTTAATACTCAGGCAATTTAATTGGCTAATCATTTATTTATTAATCTCTTAGAATGGCTTTTAATTTATTAATTTCATCAATCAACTCTAAATTTTAGGTTTCTTTCTATTTTTCTTATTATTGTAATTTATTCAAAAGGGATTAAATTTATAGTTCTTATTTTCCTATTGTTTAATTATAAGATGAATTTTGTAGTTCAAGTTGATTAATAATTTATTATTGTTTGGCGATAGTCTGTTACAATATATCAATTTGAGAATTATCCTCTTGAGTTTTTTATATTAACTTTTATTATTCCTGTTTGATTTAACCTTCATGATAAAAGTAATTGTGATCTCCCTCACATTGATTCTTGGTTATATAAGCTTTATGTATATAAACAGACATTTAATTAATGTTTTATTTATTATTGATATTACCTATATTTGGGCTTGATGATGTATAATTAAGGAGAAGTATAATATGTGGATGCAAATACTTGAGTCCATAAGAGTGCATTGAAGTAGAATGGTGTGAATTAGCTTCTCAATTTGACAAGTGTCCTATTAATTCTGATTGCTTAACTTATGAAACTGAATAGGAATGTGAAGAAGCAGATGCTAGTTTATGTGTTTGGAAAGATGCTTAATGTTTAAATAAATGTTAAATTTTGGAGTATAATACTTGTTAAAACAAAGAAATAGATTCAAATTGTTCATAATTTAATACTACTTCAAGTTGTGAAGCCTTATCTTGGTGTTAATTTAACATTAATACATCAATTTGTGAATAAAAACTATAAGTTCCTTGTAGTGATATTTTTAATTCCATTGAGTGTGAAGATTATGGTTGTGAATGGGTTGATGATTTGATTGGTTGTTAAAATAATGATGGAAATTGTAGTAAAATTGTGAGTAAAGATGATTGTGTGGTATCATTTGAAGGTAATAGGTAATGCATTTGGATTGAAAAGGAATCAGGTTGTTTTTAATCAAAAGAATGTGGTGAATACAAATATGATAAGGATGAACTTGATCTTTGTGAATCAATATCAAATTGTCATTCAGACGAAAACCAATGTCAGAGTTGTGTTTAAGATATGTTTACATTTGAATCAATTTTAGAATTAATAAGTATATTTTATTTGTTTTGATTTTCATTATTGTTCCTCACCATCAAAATTTTGATCAAATGAGATTATACTATTTCTATGCAAATTAGGGGCATTTTTATCCAAATAATCTGATTATTCTGTCACAAGAATCTGAATACCATCATATTCCTTTTATAATCTATCAATATCTTCTTTTAGAGCATTCTTCCTCTAATCCCCGTCCTGTCTATATTATTGATATATTTACCTTTAAGGATGCCATTTATTCCATTTTCTATTTGATCTCTCTTATTAGATGATCAGCCTTTTAATTCAATTCCGGCACTGTAATGATATCCTCACTTTATTTTTTCATTCTCATAAAGTCCGTATCTTTGAGCATCTGAAAGTCTAATTTTTGATGCTAATTGAATTATAATGAATTTATTATATCTCTGAATTAAATAAAGATATTCTGAATTGTAGAATCTTGTGTAATAGACAACAGTTTATCAGATATTCCTTTTAAAAATTGATCTATTATTTCTTTGATATTATCATGTTGGCTGATCAATTGAAATTCTTGTTCTGAATTCTTCTTGCTGATAATTGATCTAGAAACAGAAGAATAATTATCAACTCTAATATTTATTACATTAATTATTACTATAATAAGAGTAATTTTAGCTGATTATTTTCTTCCCTTAAATCATCGTTTTATTGAGTTAATTGCTCGTATATCCTTTAGAATTTCTTCATTTGTTAATCTTAGATCTCTTATAATTTGGATTACGAAATATGCGATTACTAAAGGGTTTTCACTTCTTGACTTTTTTCGCTTAATTGAGTTTTTAATTGTTTATTTTATTTTTCAAGTTCTGCTATTTTTGAGTCCTGTTTATTTATCTTTATCTTAAACTCATCTATTTGCATTTTTAGTTTCATTTATTCATCAAGCAAAATTTACTTTATTTTTTCATTATCACTCTTACTACCAGAAGCCTTTTCTTCGAACTTAATAGAAATAAATAAAAACTTTAACGAGCCTTAGATTTCTATCAGTAACCTAATGGTTATTATCATAGAAGGGTTATGATGAATCTCGTTTATTTTTTTCTCTTTCTCTTTCTATTCTATGTAATTGAATATTTGGACTGATATTATTTATTTTCTATTAAAACCAACTAGAATCTTGAGTGATAGAATTATCTTATCTTTTAATGAGTTAATCCATCTATTTACTAGTATTGTTGAAATCCTATTGAATAGAAATTTAACTAGATTAATATGTAGGAGGATATTGACTTTATTATTATCTACGAAATACTTCAGAAATCTCATTATACTAAATTTAAATGATGGAAATTACACTTTAATTGGGATTTCGAAAAGGCTGCTTCATAGCTCTATCTGGGGTGTGATATATTGGACTTTAATTGAAATATTGTTGAGTGTATGATTGATTTTGATTCACAAACATTCTCTTGGGCGTAGTTTCTTGATTGTTGATCATTCGTGGTTTTAAATAATGTTCTGACATTGAATAGAAATAATTATATTGTCAGTTAATATTTAATATAAAATAATGGAGATAGGTTAATATAATGATTTAATGCAATATGCATCTTAATTGGCAGATTTGGCTTTGAATGTTGGTAATTGACCCCATTTTGATAAATAAATAGGATTTGTATTGGGTCCTCTAATTGGATACGTGGCTCAATATTAATTGATTAAGCAATAAAAGAGTGTGGGGTCATTCTCAACTGATGTCTGTGCGATATTATTATTTGCCAACTTGTTAAGAATTGTATTTTGGTATGAAAAAAGGTTTGAAAGTGCATTATTGTATCAATCAGTTCTGATGATCATGATGTAAGTAATAAATCATGCTAAATTCTTAAGGTGGAATTATTAAGGTTATGTTTGACAATAAAGAACAAGTCAGTTTATAAGAACAAACCAGTCTCATTCTTTGATAGCCCATTGAATAAGTTCTGGAGATGGAGCTAATTAAATTCTTACATTACATGTTTGATCGCCTTCTTAACATTTGTATTGATCGCTAGTTATTTGAATCTTGGCAACCCTCAATATTGGGAAATTATTGGATTCCTAAGTTGTGCAATAGAGGTTGAATTATGCTGATAATGATTAGGCAACCTTGGGATTACCTTAAGCCATAAAGAATCACACATCAAAAAGTGTGAAAGGATTGTCTTACACTATGATAGGATCATGGTTTTTGGGGGATGCGTTTAAGACATTCTACTTTATAGTGAAAAGCCAACCTGCTTAATTTGTGATGTGCGGAGTAATCCAATTAAGTGTGGATATTTGGATCATGCTATAAATAGCAGTATTTAGTTCTAAGAAGAGTGAGTTAGCAGAATTATGATTTATAATGGAATTGATATTTGTGATAATGTTATATATCATTTTGGAACAACTGAGTTATCCCAAACACTGCAAGTGTTTCTTCCGCTTTAAAGGTAGATGTATCCATCGACTCCCCAACTTGTAGACCATGAGTTCTTGACAATGAGAGCTTCAGAAGTGAAACCAATAGCCAAAACAGCGTGGTTGATATCTCCAGTGCATTCAGAATCTGGGAAGATGATATCATCCTTTTTGGGTTTATAGTTCTTCCAATCTGAGGCCTTGACAGCGACTGAAACTGGTCCGTTTTAGAGGGCGTTTTAGTGAGCAGCTTCATTGGCAGCAATTGCAGTTGATCCACTGACTTTGTAGGGACCTCCCTTGAGTTTGCATGATCCTGATTCCTTAGCGGTCTATAAAAGAATTAATTTAAAATAATACGTATGGATAAGCATCTTAGACGGAAAGACCATTTCTCTTGACATAGTTCAAGGCTCTTGATGGCATACCTCCGTTACATCCTTAGTTGAAATCAATCAAAGTTGAGCAATCAACCAATTATTATTCTGAGAGATCTGGTAATTCACCAGTGTTAACCTTGTAGAATCCTTCCAAGACACCAGTTGTACTGAAAGCCCAGCATGATCCACATTGTCCTTGGTCTTTGACCTTTTAGACTGCACCTTTTTCTCTCCAATCGATTGGTGTAGCATTGACATTTTCGAATTAAGATTTTGGTACTTCCAAATCATCAGGGTTGATTTTGAGGGTCAAATAAGTGGCAGCGAATTCTTCATCGGTAAGATCTGTGAATTATGTTTCACCAAAGATTTCTCTTCCGATTCTTGCGTTTCTGGCCTTAATGTCAGCAATGTTAGCCTCATAAACTTATAATCTGTAGAGGAGTTCAGATCCAGAGTATTATTTGTTGAATTTGGATTAGTAATTGGTGAATTATGCAGCCAATTAAACCTCTGGAGTGCTTTGAACGTTGTAAAGTGTTCCCACTAACATCAATAAACCAATGGCAAGGATTGTCTTTTCCATTATGTAATAATATTATTTTTCGATGTCATAATCATCGATTTTTATAATACTAATGATGATGTCATCATTCACTTTTATTGACCTAGTCATTTTATTTGTTAATTCCACTCCAGGACGGTATTTATTATACCAATTCCCCAAACCATAACCCACCTTGATATTCAACAACAAACCACTTAAGTTTCAGCACATATTTTAGATATCCGAAGATACATATAAATATTTTTAGTCTACGTTATTTGGATTGAAAATAAGGTAAGCTCCACCTGATTGGATGGGTTATTATTAAACTCACAACAATCTAGAATCATATCTTGTTCACACCAAAAATATGGAATAAACCAATGTGGATGCTCAAAATTAGAACTTGAAGTTTATCCAATTCAAATACTGCTGCTCCTCTCATCAACTGTATTATCATTATTCAAAAACAATATACTCCTCCCAAGCAGAGATTACAAATTTATTATAATAAATTGTTTATAAAATTACCACAATCTAGCATAAGAGAATTGTTCTATTATAACAAGACCAAAAATCAAATCATTAAGCAATAAAACCAATATTATAAATAGGTTTCTAAACTTTAAGATATCGCAAGGATGTTTCATATCAATGCAACAAATGCGGTTACATAATTTATAAACAATCAACAGACACTTGAAGTATTTCTAAGATTGAAATTGTCCAAGAAGAAGTGTTACAATTAAATTATAATTGTCTCGCTCCAACTTTGCCATTTATTGTCACTACTAAAATATATCCAATCAAAGTTACTATTATAAAATCACTATATTAAATGAAAATTATATTATAGTTTTATATTTCACTCCTTATTTTAAGGAATTGTCTATGATTAATGAATGAGAACGAAAATATATTTCATTATTGGTTTATGCAAGAAATCTATTTTATTCTTAAATTTATGAACTAAAGTTCCTTTAATGCAAATACTATACATAATTACTAAATATCAATATTAATCTGTTTTAGAGCATTAATTTTGCATTTATTCCAATTATTTCTATATTTATTTATAAAGTTATATCATAACTCATAATCTTAAAATATATTTTTCTCCTATTATTGAGGATATATGATTTTTAGCATTAACATTCCAATTCATAGATCTAAAACTCTTTGAATCCCCCTTCAAATATGATTATTATTATTAATTATTAATTTTCTTTATATTTATAAAATATAAGTAAAGCAATTAATTTCAAAGTTTCTCTCATTTCAGTTGCTCGCTACATCAAATATTATCAAGCTGGAAGATCAACCTATATATTCACATATGCTTTGAAATAATATTGTGGTAGAATTTTCAACACTTAGACGAAAAATAATTGAATTGGAAAATAAAATTAACTTTATTGTTAGAATTTATATAAAATTAATTCTTGATAATCTAAATTCAAAAATCAAATGATGTAACCTTTATTTGGGTATAGCTCAAGTAATTTTTCAGAAGGATATAAGGACAATAGCGCAGAAAAATGACTTTCACCATCGGCTTTTTATTTTATTGATATGTATTAAAACTTTAAAGGAAAGTGTTAAAAAAATTTAATAATAGTATATATCTCAGTCATTCTTTATCTAAGAATTTTCATTTTCATATTATTTACTTATCCAATAAGCGAAGGACTATAGTAATTTAAGTCTCTTGGTTAAATGGCTAGAAAATTTACCATTGAAGGATCTATAATTCTTTTTATTGAGACTCATAGTATGATTGTCGTAAATATTAATACTTCCTAGAATTACCAATTCAAATAATCTTAATTAATTAAATCTTAGCATTATGTTATTAGATTTTTCTCTGCCATATCTTTCAAAGATCACCACAAGTATATGATTAGTCAGAATATACATTAATTCTCACTCATTCCCTTTGGATAATAATGTTAATAATGAATCACATATATGTTCATTATTTTAGTTAATAACTAATTTCTGTTTCTATGCTTATCCATTCTTTAAAGATGTGAGAATTTAATCCTAAGAATCAAGTCAAACTGAATGAATTGAATTTCCTTTGATCCCCTCTAGCTCATCTTAATATTCACTGTTTGTTAATATTAATTTATTAATAAATTAATTTAATATAAAATGGCTGATGAAAATCCAGATGACAATAATTTTGAATTTATCAAATTCCTTCCTGAAGGAGATTAGAAGACCAAGTCTTCTAGAGATTATACTGGTAGAGGATAAGCCAAATATGCCAATAATGAAATCTATGAAGGTGAATATGTCGATGGAGTAACTGTTTCAAATCTAATCTTTAGAAAAGAAATGGTAAAGGCAAATATAATTATGCCAACGGTGACCTCTACTTCGGAGATTTCATAAACAATGCCAAGCATGGAATTGGTAAACTAACATACAAAGAAAAGGGAGAATATTTCGGTTTCACTCACATTTATCATTTTAGGCTAATGGGAAAATGGTAAGCGACATGGAGAAGGCATCTTTACATTTCCAAACAAGGATTAATATAGTGGATGGTGGGCATTTGGTAAAAAAGAGGGCAATGGTACATATATTTATAATGATACTGGGATGAGAGTATTTTCTAATGTCTATTTCAATAGTTAGTAGGTTAGTGGAAAGAAAACAAGTTTGTATCTGGAAGATGGGTTTTACCAAATGGTACATATTATGAAGGAGAATTCGATAATAATAAGCCTAATAAGGTTGGAATCTGGTACTTTAAGAATGGCAATAAAGTATAAGGAACATATAATCAAAAAATAATTCCAAATGACGATCCTGATGATAAGAAACTTAATATAGAAATGAAATGGGCATCTAATGGATATTTATATTAAAATGCAGATTTAGTAAATGCACATGAAAAATTCTGAATTATCATATTAATATAGGAGATTCTTATAATCATTCATTATATAATTTTAATTATTCCTAAATTATATGAAAGGAATTACATTTTTTCTATTAATTCTAATATTATCAGTATCTATAACATGCTTTTCTATGTTTTCATCTTTTTCAAATCCAAAGTTCAATACAAAATTGTTTGATTTTGAAGGACTCTCCCTCCCTTTTAGTGTAGGTGATGCTATGGTTTCAGGTACTCTTCTATCAAATAAACATAATTGTAATATCTCCAATAACATGGCAGCAAATGTCAACACTAATTCAGGTATGCAGAGGGGCATCAATTATTCATCAATGATATCCCTCATAAATACAAGATTCAGTATATTTGACCAATCAGTGCATTTCTAAAAATAATCATAAGAAATGATTACATTTTCAATATAAGTATGCATGGTATTTCTAAAATGAGCCAGAAATCCTAATTTAGTACCAACAATAGATAAATGTGCCATATGAAGCAGAATGAGGAATGTTGTAGGACAATAGAATTTCCAAGTAACCTTATAAATTTTATGTTTAAATATGCCCTTTCTAGTTAAATTTTGTATAATTGCAGAATGAAATATTGCTCCGAAACCCATCAAAAAGCCTAGATCAATTTGATTAATAATTACCTGCCATAATGAGAGCAATCAAAAATACAAGTTGAATGTAATTGTCTCTGAAATTGGAGACATCAATCTATTTAATGGTACAATTATATTCAGTAAACTTCTAACCAAAAAGACCGAACTTAGGTGTTTCAGGGAAATACTCTAATCCTGGAAAACTCTCATAAGGGTATTCATTTTCTTCAAATAATAAATACTAATCAAACTCATCAATGAATGCATATTCTGATGATTATATCACACATTTATAAGCTGATTCTAATAATGGATATTGATTAATTGACTCTCCATCTTCATAGCAAACATCGATTCCATAACTTAAAGTGAAATTAAAATATGATTGAGTAAGATTTTCTTTAGAAAGTAAGTCTGCATAGTTTCCACAAGCGTTTTATTCATTTTTAGTTAAGCAGACTCCGTTACAAATAGACGTGCAATTATGTTCATAAAATAATTCTCTGTATGTGTATTCAGATCTTCTTCCACAAATAGAATATCCCTTCCAGATTACAAAATCTTATGAGTTGATAGGTGCTATTTCATCACATCCCTCATCTATATCGGAAGCCTAACAATGTTCACTTTTCAATTTATCATAATCAATTTGACCATTCTCATCCTCTTCTCCAAACCCACAATCACATCCTTATTATTGGCTTAGTATAAATACCACTTGAGCTTTCTGGATAACTGTATGCAAAGAAGGTTTCCAAATTAGATGGACATTTTGAATCGTTTACTTTTTGAATTTCAACAATTGGTTTGAATTCCCAATTATCATATAGATTTCTATCCATTTGGTAGTGATTTATGTATAGAATCAAGGCCAATGGGAAGATAACACACTCTATAAGGAAATTGAGATATTGAACAGAAGCAGCAAAGTGAGTAGATTTCCAATAACTAGGTTTTTGCTTCATTAAATAAAATATTATAATTATATATCATGTACTTACATTTACTAATTTTTCCATTGCGAATAATATTTTCTTGGAAGATTTATAATGTTTTTAGGGATCAATTAACAATTCACATATTCGTTGCAATGTAAAAGGTGGCCTAGTATAATAGATGAAGAATTATATACTTTTATTCAAAAACACAAAGGAATTGGAGTACTATATCTAATTCATCCTCGAAGCCTTCATTCTGAGCAGTCTTTTCATAAGGGAAAAGCTTTTGCATGTTTAATAACATATCTCTGGTTGTGATGACAATAAGTGATCTCAAATAGAGCCAGTTATATTTTTGAATTTCACCGTTCTGAGAGATAGATTCTAAGATTGGCTTTAGTTGGCTCATTAAATTATTGATTTGAATGGGTATGTCCTTTAATTATAAAATGAGGTCTTTTACTTTCTTGATCCGAATTCCTTATTGGATTTAACTGACAATCTCTTGGGTTTGCTCATAGAAATCTTTGAGTTGGTTCTAATAGTCATGTTGAATCATTTCTTTATTTTCATTCATTATATTTAATTAATTAATATATAAGACATAGTTGAAGTATAAAGTATGAGTGTTGATTCTAATGAGAATGAATGAATGCAATTCTTATTGAGTCAATCCCTTAAAATCAATATGATCAGAATAATCTAACAATATTAATTAAAAATAAAGATGAATCCAATTTAATAAGCATGGTTAAAAATCCTGAACCCAGTATCTGTGGTCATCAACGAGAAGCTAGCCAAACGATCAGGATTATTGGGTAAGATTGGAAGATTCTTCCTCATTGGACCAAGAGAATTTGGATTTCATCCTACAAACTAAATGTTCATCTATTTCAACAGAAGAGTGCTCTTTGCAACAGCCTTCATGGGTCACAAATACTCAGTCTTAAAGTAATTAACACAAATATGTTTACAATAGAGGACTCACACATTAAGGCTATCATATGTTGAGACCAATGAGAGCAGCTGTATTCTTGGGACCAATTGCAGTTTTGGCAGGTCTATTTAGATTAGTCTACTATTCCTCTGAAAACAGATCATACTAGTATGCAATATTATTTGGATAGTTAGTCCTGATAATTTGGATTACGTGATGAAGAAAGCAACAAATGCATTACATTTTCCATTGAACACATTGAATCAAAGATTATCAGCACATTACACAGAAATAAGTTCTATCTATACAGCTGAAATGATGAAGAGAGTAATAATCCATTATTATTCAAATCTTAGTATCATAAATAACATGCCAAAATAATCAAGGAGAGATCAATCCAATCAGAACATGTTAAGAAAACTAAATATGCTGATCCATCATATAAATATGTCCCAATGACTCCAGTCCACATTGAAGATGTAAAACTCGCTTGAGATAAATAATAAAAATATAATGTTAACAATCTTTGATGAGTTTTATAATAATAAAAATATCCCAGACTTCCTTGATGATGATGGCATACTCTTAAATAAGGAGAATAACATCCAATTGAAAGAATTGTAAGGACATTTATAAATACTTCCAAATTAGTTTAGTCAATAATGAAGACTTAGTGACACAGATGATCTCCTTTTTCGAGTATGATGAATTAGAAACTGATCACAAACGCGTAATCAAATATCCTTTTGTCGTCAGCGAATTGTTAGGATCACTTTATGTTTTAAATGCAAGACATCTGAATTTCATAATCCAATTGTTGAATTCCTCAAATAGTCTGCCTTCTATTACGATTGGATACATTAGTAAAGTCATTATGAATGTTCTCAAAAACAATCCATGTTTTGTAATCATCTATCTTAACATTAGTTTTGGTAAAATGTCTAATTGCCATAATTGGGTATTTTACTGCAAGATATCAATAATTATGCTATAGGTGAATTAATCTATTCTATGATTATATATTAAACATAGGACAATCAATTGGACTATTTGGAAAAAAGAATTGAATTGGTCAATTGCTTATTGAATGAGATCAATACTGACAGAAGTGAAGGCATTTCAAATGTCATCTGTATGTTATTACAACAAATTACTGAAACCCTCCAAGAATAGAAATCCCTCATTATTAAACATCTATTTACTAAATTAGACATTTTTTTATCTGCTTTGCCTTATAGACCATAACCAATTTTAAGTATCCTCATTAATCTTATTAAACATCAATAATATTATGAATCTGAAGTCAATTAAATTTACAATCATTTTCTTGAAAGATCCAAAGAATTATTTGATGATTTGCTTAAAAATGGTGCATCCTTTGGTCAGAATAATCTCTCATATATTCAATTTTATGATGTATTGACCAATTAAACTTATATTTTACAGAATATCAATGCCTAACATTTAGCTATTGCATTGTTTGTATAATATTATTATAATATAAAATAGCAACTAATTCAAAAGTATCAATATCATAATCAATTACACAAATATGCAACAAATAGCATCCTGAAATTAATTCCTTAAATTGACTCTCAACAATTACTTTAAATTGCCCTTTCTGAGTTTAAGTATTAAATTTGATAATATAGGATTAAACCAATAAAGGAAAATAGAGGATATGTGGTTTAGATAATTAACAAAATAATTGAAGTGAATTTTAATCTACAAATTTAAGAAGAAGAGTTACAAAATATAAATTCAATTCAAAATAATTATTTTTTTGGATAGATTCCTGATTAGAAACCTACATTCAATTTACAAGAAGAATTTGAAGCAGCAATGAATAAATTATAGATATGAAATCATTAAATTTGGTCTTCATCTTCATCAGAACTACTCGGCATATCATAATTCCTCTGTCCTGTATTCTCCTTCTTTACAGCCATTTCCAAATACTTTTATTCAGCTATTCTCAATTCTTTATCATTCTGACATTCAGCATAGAGATCAAAGGCCTCTTTGTTTAATTTGAAGAAGTTCTCTCCCCAAGTAAATTTACTAAGAATATAATCTGCTTATTCTCTGCGACCACATAGGGCTAATGTAGCTGCAATAGCTTCAACACAAGACAATTTAAATTACTTTCCATAATTCACTGGATTCACCGCAACCATATGAGGTAATAATCTTTCATTGGGAGACACATAAGTAATTTCTTCTATCTTTGCCCATGAACAATCAATGACACAAATCCCTTTTTGTAATAATTCCTCATCCTCTTTTGATACATACTTTTTCCCATTTGCACTTACTATGATTCCTTAGAATTTCACTTTTGGTTTAATTGCTGTCAATAATTTAAATCTTTCCATTTTTCTGCCTGTGCATTTCTTGACATCACATTAACCATAATCAATCATAAACAATTTAACATCATTCAATCTTTCCTCTGTCTTAGTTATTTATTATTAATCTTCATCTTCACTTTCATCTTGACTATTGCTCTATTATTTATCTATTTATTGCAATTGATGCAATGTTATTTGTTATTGATGACCCTATTATTGTTTCTAATCTCTTTTGTCTGATCTTGCTTTTTTCCAATTTTAGTATCTCTATTTATTGTTCATTAATTATTTTTAATAAAATAAAGTCTAATATATACATGAAGGCAAATCGATTTATTATCCATAATCCTACCATCGAGTCTTACTAATTGGAGGAGTATTACAATCATTTCAAAAGGATGGAAGAAATCGATAAAGAAAAAATGAATATTTATAAAAATATAGAGTCCAATAAGTCGGCATCTAATTACAGATTTCTTATGTTACAACAAACATCCAAATTTAATAAACAACAATAATAGAATGCTCAGGATCGTCTTCAAAAAGTACTGTTCACAATATTTTACATAAGTTACTTGACACTAAAATTGAAAGGATCAAAGTGAGAGACAATCCATATGTCAATTAAACTAGATTAAGAGGTATATCTTAAGTTGATCTAAAAAGTCCAAACATTAGTTTCAATAGTTCTTTAGAGAATCTCAACTTAATGAAAAAGCTCTAAACTCTTAAACCCAACATCTCAAAAAAAGATCTGGATTGCCATTATGAGAAATAAAAGGAATATGGGAGTAGACTAAGAAAACTACCCAAACTTCCAGATTTAGACAAAAAGAATCACTATTTTTTTTGATTTGTATAATTTAAATCAGTCAAACTAATTCTAAAACTCTTCCAACGAATCTTACTCTGAGTTATTGTCATTCTATTATAACGATTTAATTTGGATATTGAATTTCTCATTCAATGCCAAAATCCTATTATATAATTCCTCATTTTCTTATTACACATTAGTTAAAAACTATTAACTTAATGTTGGATTTTCTTTATTAAAAGCAATCCAAAATTTCTCCAAGTTTTAATCACAAACATAATTCTGAGTTACAGCAACACAATCTTCAATATTCAACACAGCATGCCACCATCCATTTGGAACATAAACAGTTTCATGCTCACTCTAAATGAAATCATAATATTTAATATTTTATGAATCGCAGTGCTTCTTTACCAAAGGAACTATGATACTAAAATAATCAATTGGATTATTAATATTCTCTAAGACATCCTTGCTAATTAATGATTTTCCTATTATTGTAATTTCAATCAAACATACCTTTTATAATATTCTTATCTACAGATGGTGGAAACATAACCCATCTTTTTTTCCCTAAAACAACACAATTCCAAGCAGAGGTTTCATAGGGATCTATATGAATCATTGATCCAGATTGCTTAGGACTAATATATCAATTGATTTACCCACATAGAATCCACCTATATTGTGGTCTTCTTTACTTCAAGTAAGCTAGGTAGTCTTATGGAAATAAGTATGGTATCTTGTATTAATTTAACATATTTTGAGGAATGTCTCCGTCAAATATATAAAAGGGATTGTAATCAGTATTGTTCTAAAAATAATGAATGTATTGATCAAATCTCAATTTCAAATAGTTGCCATCATCATCTATTGCACATCTGAAATAACACTCCTTATAATTTTAAATCAGATAATCCCAATCCCAATTTTCCCAATCCTTGTCCAACCCTTTGATAATTACTGGAACCTTTGAATCGTATAAGGTTTAAAAGTCTGCAAGAGACAAATCAGAATCGAGTTTGATTGGGGATTCTTCAACCTTTTCTAGCAACAAATCATTAAATCTTAATTTATATTGATTTGCTGATCTCTGCTAATATTTAAGGAAGGCCTTCAATTCATCAACATTCTTGAATTCAAATTATTTTTATGATTGGTTCATAAATAAAAAAATAATGAATGTACCTTTATTGGATCTGGTGAATATATTTATATTTATTAAAACTACAATTAAGTTCCGTTAAATGAATTAAGCCTCAAGTTCTCACTCCAGAAACCTTTATAATTATAATGGAACTGCCTACTCAACAGACAACATGAGAGTGTATAGTAAATCTCCTAAAAATGCATAATAATACAATAATAGATATTAACCCTGTATTTATTCCACAATGAACAATATCCAAAACTTGCAATCTCTCAAAAACTAAATATCCTAATTATAATCTGTTTTAACTCAATAACACCGAAAAAGTAGTTTCACAAGATCCAAAGCAGACTCCTCGGCAAACATTTCAAATGATAGATCCTTCTACACTATGATTAAGGAATAGTTGAAATAGGTTAACAATTTACACACCGTTGAAAAAGATTAGAGCAATCAAAATATCAATCAAACTACTCAATAACCCTAAAAGGATTAAGTAAACAACAAGAAGTTAGAACAAGATACAGAAAAACAATCTAAAAACATCACTCCTTAAGGTAGTGCTGTGAAGAATCCAAGCATCTTAAAAGATACTACAAATAATATGATTAAGAGTGAAAAATAATAAGCATTGCGACAATTGCTATATCCAGCGAGCGAGACTAAAGGAGAAAGGAATACAAAGCCAAATAATAAATTAGAAGATTAGCTTCGAGTGAGACTTCAAGAAAAGTTGACGTATTTGGAATAGAATAAATAAGAAAAATTGACTAAATTAGTTTAAGGTACAATCTATTAATCAATTTTATAGAGTTTAAGAATTCAAAGAAAATATTAGAGGAGGACTATTAAAATTAGGTTTAAAATGAGATTCAAATATTTGAAAGGAAACTCAGAAAATTGATGATGTCATAAAATAAGGATAAGAAACTAAAAAGACTTAAAAAGAGTAGTTTGTTATTGAATTCTAAATTAAATCAAGAGTCACCTTGTATGGTATTGTTTGCAATAATTTGAATAGCTTAGAGTTCATCATAATCATCAGAAAATGAAATTAAAAGTTCCTACAATTTATTGAACACTTTCAAAAGATCAGATAGAACCCAATTAATCAGTAGTTTTAAAAAAGATTGTAAAATTTTGAATTTCAATATTTATAGCTTCCATAAATAAGGATAAAAAGCAGAAGGTCCGATTTGAAAATGAATAAGGCACACGCTTTAAGACTGAAACAGAAAATAATTGATTTGAAGTTAGAAAAATATATATTTATATTTTTTATAATTTATTTAAAAACCTAATGGGATAGTTATACAGCTTTGTTCAAGATAATAAAAAAATTGTTGGCATAACTGCAGTTGCAGCTTTAGGGTATGAATTGATTCATTATAAGAGCAACAGCGACAGTGGTTTATAATAAGAGGAAACAATATTTAAGTTAGAGTGATATCTTTAAAACACCAAAACAACTTGATGATGAATATTTTCCTGCAAAAAGACCAGCATATTATTACGAAGACAGAGAAGATACTTTGAATACAAAAATAACGAGATCAGGAAAAATAGATCAAATTATTGATTCTATTAATGTTAACTATATCCCAAATTCTGAATGCTTAGAACCCTAAACAATTGTTGACATACTCTAAAATACCATAGAACTAGCAGGAGATGAATTTATTCGAATGACTCAAAGAAATAGAGCTTAAAGAAGATAATTTAAGGAAAATTTTAAATTAAATTAGTACAGATACCAAATTATCAAATATAATGAAGACTTAGAAGAGTTGTTAGAAAAAGCATAAGCAGAGTTATTAACTAGATTAGATATTAATAAAAATATTTTTGAAGAAAGTATGCTTGTGTTAATGGAAAGAGGATTCTTTTAATAATTATACATGTTATAGGCAAGTGTCAAATAAAAAATAAAAGAAAAGATACCTTCGAAAAAAGATTTATCTCTAAAATAAATTAAAGAAATCATAAAGTTCAACATTAGGATATTGAAAGAGCAACCAGATCCTTTTAAAAGTATTATTTCTTTTATGATTGTAATTAATATATATTACGTAATAGAATAAGCAAGATTAAAAAGATTATATCCCTAATGTAATAAGTTTGTTGGTTCAGGATTTTATCTATTAAAAATATAAGATTGAGGAAGAAGATCAAATAAGAAACATTTCTAAACCAGGTATAAGTCATGAATTTACATAAATTTAGAATGCATGGGCGATCCTGAAATTCTGCACCTGTTGGGCGAGATAGAAAATACCATGTAAGAATTGATGCAAGATTTGGGATTAGGAGGCTTAGAATATATTCCAGATAATTTTGAAAATTTTTAGTGAATATTTTTATTTATTTTATTTAAAGGAAACAAGAAACAAATATTATTATAAATTGTAACAGTTCAAATAAAAAGATGTTCTTTTAAAATTCATTTACTTTTTGAAAGTTCTTCAAGTATATACCTACATTATTATGAGTAAACGATAGCATTATATAATTAAACTCTTTCATATATTATTCGTTAAAGAATGAAAAATAAGGAAACTAACTAAATCTCAGATCAATTTAAATTAATTGGACTCGCTCATAATATCAAAACATTGTGCAAAAAGGGCAACAGTTTTCTTTCTCTTCCTCTTTTATATCATTTGAATTATATTCTTTCCAACTTTCTACATAATATATTTGACATAATTCATTGCTAAATGTAATTTGATGTGCTTTGGATTTTTTAAGTATTGGTTAACCTGTCGAATCAAGCCGAACTTTCTTTTATGAATTGGATTTTTGATCAGAAGAGAGTAATCCTTTAGATTTGAATTAGGATGATAATTAATCTTTTTAGGTTGTTTCAATGCTCTCTGATTAGTATTTATTTAATTGAGTTTGCTCCTTAATATTGAAAGGGATTTCTATCAATTTTCGATCCGTTTCATCCTAAGGTTGTGGATAAATTTACATAACAAATGTGATGATTATTAATAATAAATATATATTATACTAAAAATAAAACATTATTAATCATCATAAAGAATAATAATAATGATAATTTCCAGTTCCTATTGCTATGACAATTCAAACAATAATTGATAAGGAGATTGTAGGATTGGATATAAAGATGGGAGAGAGAGTTAAAATGGTTTATTTTTAAATTCTATATTTTTGAATATAAATCCAAATCTTTAGTTGATTCAATATTATTTAAATGTTAAAATAATATATAAAATCGTATTAAATAACATGAACGACTTGATTAGCTTATAAATCTAAAAATTCACCATAAATTGAAAAGTGTAAATGAAGTAGGATTTGTAAATTAATACTTATATCAGGGTTATTGATTAAATGAAATTGGCATTAAGACATAATTTCTGATATTGTTATAGTTATAAAAAAGAGGTCGGAAAAATTAAAGTAAATTAAAAAATAATATCAAATAATGCGAAGAATAATTACGTTTAAATGGTTGATATTGGAGTATTGTTAAATACATCAACATTCGACATTGAGTTGAAGCTATATTTATTCAATTCGATATTTTTTTAATAATAAATATGATATTTAGCAAAGGTCTAGTGCAAAATTAAGAGTTTTGGAATAAAACTGACATTCCAATAATTGATAAGGAAGACTTTCAAAGTGTTTAAGTGTTAATGGGGAATTTCACAAAAGTTGGGAGGACCTTCAAGTAGAGATGCCTCAGAACTTACTTTTTGGTCAAATAATTTTTATTTTACTCAGATGTGGGAAGTGGAAACAATATTAAAGGATTTGTATAATTGGATACTGTATATTGTTAATTTAATTATTTGGAAACAGGATTTTAAATAGCATTAATAAATAATGGTTACTAAATTCACCTGAATACAGAGGACAAGTAGCAATTCAAAACCTGGGTAGATGCTTTGTCCAATTGCTGTATCTTGAGTGATTTCGATAAAGTATACAAACTGGGAATACAAATAGGTTAAGGAAGTTTTTCAACAGTAAACCAAAATATTTATTTTAAGGTTCATTAATGTTTCAATGGGGATGGTGAGATATTTGCTGTAAAAATAATAAAAAAACAAACAATAAAATAATTTAATAAAAATAAGAGTTACGAGGAATAATTATTAAATGAAATCTAAACTCTTAGAATGTTTAATCATGCTAATATTTTAAAATTATACAGAGTTTATGAGAATCAATAAAAAATATGTTTATTGACTGAATACATCGATGGTCCAGAGTTGGTTTCGTAACAATCTTCAAAAAAGATTTATTCCTCGGATGATTTGAGAATAATGATAATTAGTCTTTTCAGTGCAGTTGAATAGATTCATTAATAGAAAGTTATGCATAGAGATATTAAACCATAGAACATCATATTGAATAATAATAATATACAGAATCCTGTTTTAATTGATTTTGGATTGGCAGCATTCACATGTTAGAACAATGTGCCTTTTCCATAATGTGGAAGTCCTGGGTATCAAATTAGACTATTTTTAATTTTAGCTATTCAGCCCCTGAAGTATTGAAATATGATGAATCTAAAAAGATATACAATCAATAATGCGACATCTTTAGTTTGGGAATAACTTTATTTGTTGTTCTTTATGGGTATAATCCATTTAAACAAAATGATTTAAAATAAACCATTAAAAAAAATACTGATGGATATTTCGAAATACCTTCATCCAAATATCCAAAATCATGTAATCCATCTTTATTAATATTTTCTAGTGGAGAATCTTATCTGTCAAATGACAAAAAAGTACCCTAAGGATAGGATTACAATAAGAGATGCTTTAAACCATTCCTTTTTCAAGACTCCATTTTTTTGTTAAATTCAGTTGCCAAAATAAATTGTATCGAAATAATATCGTGACATCATTGCCAAAGGGGAGAATAACACACATATTCATGCCAGCATGGAAATGGATTAGAATATCAATTATGTTAGTCAAGCTAATACTTAAACTACTCCTCAAAATAATGGATATAAAAATAGAACTATTTCAATATTGAGTGTGCCTATTAGCAGAAAGAGCTAAGACTATTAAAAATAACAAGAGATTAGTTCATAATCTAGAACTTCCAACGATAAGGATTACAATCCACAGGATAAAATTCGTATACCGTCTAAGACATTATCTTATCAAAAAAACATTTAATTAGATTTTGAGGACGAATATCAACTCAATAGTTTGGAACATGATAATAATTTTGTAGATCAAGAACATTTATATAAACTTAACTTCTCTATTAACTAAAAGTTATTTTAAACCTCTAGACTTAGTGTAAATAAACACGATAATTGACTATTTTGTATTTTATATTTATTATTTCCTAAATATACTTTATTTGTTTATTTTTCATTTATATTTTTGAAGAATTCCACCGGATGAAGCAACTAAACAACCTGCCTCCTAAATCCAAAGAAGTGGTTCAGGGAAATTCTTCTTAGGTCCATTGATCACTTTGATTTCTCCATCAACAACAGAAATAAATTTGTGAGTACCATCCCAAGAAGATGTAACAAATAATCTAAAACACATTAAATGATCTAATTACTTTTAGTCTATTCTACTAAGAAATCTAACTATAGAGTCATGAGCCTTGATGACTTGCTATATTTCGATTGATTAAACAAAAGTGTAAATTCTTACTTCTCCAGCACTATTTCCAGTAACAAATCTAACTCCATCCAAAGCAATCACTGACTTAATTTCACTATCCTAAGGAACAATTCCAACTAGATCTCCAGTTAAAAATTTGGAAGCCACAAGAGTACCATCATCAGACACTGAGGCTATAATTTCCGGAGTTATCAACGCTATATCGTTAACACTTGCTTAATGAACAGCGATCTTCTACAATTGTTATTAGGTTTAAGTATTAAAGATTTTAATAGTCTTAAATAACAATAGATATTTACTCCATCTTCTGAACATGATGCTATTAGATTTTTAGGTAAATTGATGATCTACCAAATATATTTGTCATGAGCATTGATGACTTTCCATTTGTCAAAGGTTTCCCAATCCCAAAATTACAACTAAAACGATTCTTCATTCTCTTCAACACTTAATATTATTCCTTATTATACCTTGCAATTATATATGTTTTTTTATCTAATGTCACTGAACACAAAGCTGAAATATCATTCTCGCAATCTACTTATGAAATAAATGAAAAGTTTTTAGTTTTGTCAAATATAAAAATTCTAGTCCCAGAACTATAGGCAAGTAATTTTTAATCAATTGAAACGATCGACTTCACTTAAGGATTTTCTTGCCTCTCCATTTGGTTTGGCTCTATTACTAAGTCTTTCACTCCATAAATCTTTTTATTTAACTAACATTTATTACAGATTTAATTTATTCAACCAAATATTCTTATTCTTGTTTATTTTTCTCAATTAAAAACTAAAATGTTGGCTCCTATAAATCTACCTTTGGAGCCTCAGCTACACTCTAAAATCATTAAGATTTATTATCGTACCTATTTACTCATCTATTCAATCTTCTTAGAAATTTCATTTTTGTATTGAGTAAACTCATTTAGAATCTTTTCCAATTTCTTTTTAACTCCTTGAGCATCTTTTATAGCATCTATAAATTGTTTTGCTTCCTGGTCATGAAATAGTACTTTAGTCAATAGACTTGCGGTTAAATCATCTCCTTTTTAAAATGGAATCTGCTGATCAATAATAGAACTAAATTGATTAATAGTATTTGGAGTGACTAACTAGATTAGGATTATCAAATTTAATTACATCGAATATGTCTTCAACAGTGAAAAGATTATTGGGTAATTTCTTAAATATGCAATTAACAAATAATTAATGGATGCCATTCAATAAGATTTCATGAATAGAATCAGCTGTTTATATTAATTTGATTCTCAATTATTCAGTCTCATTAAATAATGGAGTCATTTTTAATTTGTATTCCCCAACTAAATCATTTGATGTTTAAGTTTAGAGTTTATTTTACATTTCTTTAAAAGTTATAAACTATTCCTTTGTTCTAGACTGTTTACACAAAGCACATGCTTTAAATGTTTGACTTCTGTCTGTATAATTTAAACTTACACAGTCATAATTGTTATTGTGAATTTTACACTTATCCTCTAAGGAAATAGCTCCTTATTAATTAGCCTTTTTGCTTTTGCCACCACAAGCAAACATAGTTATTTTGAATTTTAATTAATCTAATTAATTACAGTATTATTATCAATTTTGTGATTCTATAAATTTAATATTTTATATTATATAAATATTGATCAAAATAAAAGAGAACGAATTGTCTTTTAAGAATGAATTTAATATTCTAAAATTTTATTGGTTAATTATTGGTTCAGGATATTTAAAAGGAATTGGTTCCTTATAATGTTACAAATTAGCTATACTTCTATCCATAAAAATAATTAGAAAATGCCAATTTATTAGTAGATCAATAAGAAATTTATGGCAAAGACAGAATTATTGATATTTAATCAAAAAAGTAGGGGTTACCTTTTCATCAATATTTCAGAGTGATAATATAGTATCTGAATGGAATAGCTTTGTTTAACTGAAGTTATTTTATTGGAAATATAGCAATCATTTATATAATTGTAATATTACTAAATTAATCATTGATTTATGACAACTAGTTCATGTATTGGGAGATGGTAAAGTTGATGTATTTTCAGGAGCTAAATAAAATAATTATTATACATAAAATTAGTATTTATTTCAAGGCGGCTGATGAAAGCTCAAAAATATGATCTATTCTAATTTTCGTTTGTTTTCGTTTCTTAAAATAGAGAAATATATATCCAATGGTTGTCATTAGCCAAATACCCAACCAAATCCACAATACTCTCAAGCAATAACTTATATCTGCACAAGTATATTTTTATTCAACTTTAACACAACACTAACAATTAGATGAACAATTTCCTTTTATCATTTGAACGCATGAAATGAACAATAAAATTTGTAAGTACATATTTTTTGTAAAGTATTGTTTTATCAAAATGTGGGCAATATATATTATAATGATTTGATATTGAATTAGATCATAATTTTATTATGGAATGAACATTTCAACTAAACTAAGATTATCATTTCGATATAGAATTTTAAACATAAAACAAAATATATACTCCTCAAATACCAAATATATATTATTTGCTTGAATATTACTATTAATCTTGTAAATAACTTAAATAATTTTATATATGTTATCAATTTGTAAAAAAACTAATGAATTCCTATTCTTCTATCGAACCACTATTGTTTTGATCCATAATTCTATAGACCCTATTGATTGCTGCCTTATTCCAATCTAATTCAAGCTAAGAAATACAATTATTAAATTTACCTTTTTGAGTAAAAAGATGAATTCACTAATTGATAGATCTTTAGATTTATTAGTGTCAAACTCTTTAAAAACATTGACTATAAAAGTTTTACCACCTGCCCTTGCTATTACTCGTTCCTTAATCTATTGTAAACTATTCTACAAATATTCCTAGAATGCAGTGTCTTCTTGTTTTTCATCAATATTCCAAGCCTTAGATAAAATAGTTGTAAATGTTTCATCAGATGCAATATTTAATGATAGTTCTTCATGAAATTCCAAAAATTATTCATAGCTTAAATCATCACCTACACGAATATTATCTATAAATGTCTTCATCCCATCTGTTAAATTGTCAATCTTATAAATTTATCCTAAATTTATTGGGTTGATCTTACTTAAATAATCTGATGTTATCTTAGTATTATGTTAACTCTCATACACTTTGAGTACCATTGCTTTTCTTCTTTCATTCATCTCTTCTCTAATGAAAGTTAAAAATTCCCGAAAACTCAAAAATCCATCTCCGTCTTTATCAAAATATTTAATTAGTGCTTGCAATTCAACAATTTTTAAGAACATTCCAACACTCTTCAATAAGTTATCTAATTCTTCTAGGTTTAGTTTTCCGTTACCATTTTTGTCATATTATTAGAATATTGCTCTAATTTTAATGACTTTCTGTATACTTTAATCTTGATAATGTACAATAGGGATTGGCTTTACACACATGATTTCTGAATCTAAAAACTAATTCCTATATAGAAGTTGGTAATCCCACTCCATAATATGCCATAGTTTTTATTTATATTATTTAATTAATTTAACAATAAATAGAAATTTTTTATACTTATTAATTAATCTTTATGAATTTAATTAATCACAACTTTTTTCAGCAAATAAGAGTTTTATAAATAAGTAAAATTCATTTCATTGAATGAATTGAGAAGAGACTGAATAAGAATTATATTATGGAAATTCAAACTTAGGTTTATTTTGAGATTTTTCACAAGTTTTCTCTAACTCTAGGTAACCCTCTAGATTTTGTACTTACAATTTAAGTTATTCATTTTGGACTTATGTGCCACTTCTTAATAGTTTATGAGTTCGATTTTTAATTTATAAATCCTAAAATAAAACAAGTGTATTTACAGATCTCCCTGGAAACTATCGAGCAATCAAAGACCATTTAGATCCTAGTTAATTATGCAACTACAATAGTTTTTGATCTTCCATATTAGACCATGGCTATTACTTTACATCAACAATATCTGACCTTAACTTGTTTATATATCTCTCCCTTATTTGTTTCCCCGTTTTATTTTTTAAAACTTTCAATATATGATAAATTATCTACTTGCTGCTATTGCTGCCCAATTGTTTTCTTCCATATTAACATTATCCCTTATTATTTAATCCTCTTCAGGAGTCCATTTACTTTTCTAAGATTATTCAGGTTTGTGTTTTCTCTACCAATACTATTTACATTATGTCAAGGTTCTTCCTGGCATCCTTTCAACAATCCTCTGCCAATCGCCATTAAATTATAAATACAAATTTGCTAGTATATCATTTTCTTCTTGAGTCCATTTTTTCATTTTTCCACTCTAAATTCTATTCTAACTAATAGATTACATTTCTTTCAATCTCCCTACTTCTACTTCTTGATTCAAAGGTGCAATCCTCCACTTTATATTAATTATTGAAACACTAATTTTTGCTCAACAATCTAGAGTCGTTTTCTATTACAAAATTATGTGTAGACGATAATTTCTATAATGCATCCAAATTCTCAGAAAATTGGTTAATTTCTTCCTAGCAACTAAAATGGATTTCCTCTGATTACTTTATATCTCCAAGTAAGTCACATTCAAACTATAATTAATTGTTTTAATCTATTATGTCATTCTAAAACTAATCTTCCTAAACAAAGCAAAACTAATCATCATTCAAAGGATCAAAGTTGAAGTCTTCATCATAGCTCATTTTAAATAAATATAAGTAATTATCGAAAAAAAACACATCAAAAATCATATTCTATCATGTTCCTATCATCAATATCATATAATTCTTAGTTTTTGACTAAACCAATTAATGAATTGTTAAAAATATACATTTTAATTTACAATTGCTAATCTATCTGGTTAGAATATTATATAAATAATTATATAAATTGCGTTTTTCAACATAATTAATATTAAATTTCTTGATAATTCTTGCCATAACATTTAAGGCATTATTATCATTTGATGATAAATATTACAAAATAAATCAGTCTAAATGAGTGTCAAGAATAAGGTTTCAAAATAATGATACCTCTCATGCAATTTAATTAAGAAAATAACAACTAACATTTTTAATTAAGTTTTATATAATCAAAATTTTAAGGCTCAATTATTTAAAAATTTTTTTTGTTTCCAAAGATCAATGAGTGATTTTATATTTTTATTTTACATATTTTATACAATCTCTTATTCTTAATTTAAATTATCTCGACAAACCATGAGAAACATACCCATGTGAATTGATGTCAAAGTATTGTGTAGAGTTTCTCCATTGCTGTCTGATTATTTGAAAATTGGATCCAGAATACCATTCAAAAGGATTTCAAATATGCATTTTGATATCATAAATAAGTTCGTTATAACCTTATCTTTGTCATTATTTGTTAACAACAATAAGTCATCTTTAAATAAAGTTATGCAAGATAACATATAAATTAATTAAAAGACTGTTGTTTATTTAGCTTAAATTTCCTGAGACTTTTTCTTAGTTAACTTCTCTAATTAATACATTTAATAGAGGATTGAGTATAGAAGATTACAATGATTGATGTCATTCTCATCATAAGGCTTCTTTCCTTCATTTATGATGATTTGCTTTTAAATTTAATAGAATGATTATTTAGTTGTTATTGTAAAACAACAGCATTTTGCCAATGTTTTTCTTTTTAAATATGGCTGATTCAACTCTTATATATGATATTTAACTAAAATTTCACTTAAAGCCTACATCTAACTAAAACTCAAATATATTGTACCAATTGACATAAAGATTTTCTCCTTTGCTCTTTTTTTATATTGGAATAGGGGATTCTAAATCTTCATTATTAAACACATTGTTTTATTCCTCTTACCTATCTTCAATTGAATATTAAGGTTGATTTTATTGTTTTATTTATATTTATTTTTGTCTTGATTAAAAATTCTGTTGTTAAACTATGAATTATTATTCGTTATGCTACATTTAATCTAAATTATCACACTAATCTTTAGATTCATTCGCAGGTTCTTGCCGAGAGTATCGAGTATTCTACTTTTGATTTAAATCATTTTTAATATTTTTGGAAAATAGATTTACTTAAATGAAATCCACTCGTTTTTAGTATTATTGTTAGAATTGAGATTATTAGAATGTTTAATCCATTGTACTGGCTGTACCTAGTCTTTCTATCAATTTCTTATCCTCATTATTAATCATTTAAGAAAAAGTATTTATTAATATTTATAAACATTAATGAAAATTATCATCAAAATTTTTGACCATACATATTAATTTAAATCACCTGACCATCCCAAATACTCATTCTGATTTCTTTTTATCGAGATAACAGAAAAATATTTTGTTAATTAAATTTCAGTTATTTTATTAATCATTATATAACTCCTCTCAGATTTAATATATAAGTTAAAAAAAATAGAAATTCTTTTCACTTTTGATATTTTGAAAAATTACTCATTTAGAAACAATATCTAGTTCTATTCCATGAATGTTCTTTTCAGTATAAATCATAATACTGCTTTTCCCTATGACTGATACTTCAAATATGTAATGAATTCTCAATAATCTCTATTTATTATTATCTTCTGAAAATGAATTTTCATTTGTGATCTTGAGAAAGGTGTTTTCTTCATTTATTATTTTCAATTTAATTGAATTTTCATCAATTCATCTTATTGATAAATCAATTCTCTTAATTATTTTTTGATCAAATAAACAGATTATTCGAACAGTATTTTTCAAAACTAATTATACTTCTATCTAAATTATTAAATTTAGTATTACAGTAAATTGCTTATTACATTATGGATTCGTTAATAATGTTATTTAGTTTGATATTTAAACTATTTAAAATGTTTTCTATAGGTAATGATTTTGGAACAATAAGCTACATTTATTCAGGATTTATTTATTTTTATTCAATTTGAATTATTAATTTTATAAATTGTATAATTGATCCAATCAATTAGATTAAGCAATTTATTTAGACATAGTTATGGTAGGACTAAAGATTGCATCAATTATTCTTTTAATAGTTTTCCTAATTAATTTTAGATCACTATTACATAGATTTATCAAGTTAAAAAATTATATTTATTGCATATTCTAATCTATGAATTGGAAAGCTTAAAATTTTAATCCTAATGGATTAAAAGAATTAGAATTATATAAACAACGAACTATGAAAAATCGTTTCAATTTATGTTATTTTAGTAATTAAATTGTGCTTATGATATAGGAGCCTTTTAGATAATACTTTATAATTCTTATGATTATAAAAAGTCATTATTTCTTATGTGTTCATGATATGCCAAAAAGGGATTTTACAAATTACATAAAACAGCAATCTCTTGATTTTCTTCTCCTCTGTTGCATTATTAATATTATTATAAAAAATATATATGTTAAATTCCAAGAAGCTAATTAAATAAAATCAGTTAACTGAATTAAATAATTTTCTTCTTTAAGTAAAGCAAGCATTTATTACAGATGTACATCATAAATAGTTTAAATAAAGGATTTTGAATTTGCAAATGAACCTGAAAAAATAATTGATAATAAATTTCCGCTATAAGAAATTATTGAAAATACTATTCCTTAGATTAAGTAGGATTAAATAAAGCAAGCTACATTGTAACCTTAGGATGATATCTAGAATTTGCTTTAAGGTTTGACTACTCTATTGGAAAAAAATTTATAAGAATCTCATAATCTATATCAAATATTTCAATCTAATAAGTAGTTTAATAGTAAAGGTTAAGATTCTAATACCTCCTTTTAATATTAAAAAGAAGAAAATATTGAAGCATTGCAAGAAGATATTAAATTAAATGAAATAAAATTATTGTAAATGCAGAATTCTCGATTACTGAATAAAATTGAGTCACTTAACGAATAGATTGCTCAATTCGAATCGGATCTACATGAAAACTCGAAAGATTATCGATAATTGGTTAGTCTCATTAATTCTACCTACTGTATTTAAAGAATTCAATATATGGTGTAACAAAATACAATAGCTATTCTAGGGAAAGGAAACGATGAAGAAATAGAGTAAGGAGTTTTTGTTATTGTTGATGATTAGATAATTTTATCTCCTAGTTATTTAGATGAAAATAAAATGATTTTAGATATTTCTCAAATAGTAGATGTCACTTATAAGAGTGATTTCTAGATTATCATTCATTATAATGAAGGTAAGTTAATTTTAATAATGGAAAATCAATAAGATTTCACTAAAATTGATTTATCTCTATGGTCAATAATGCGAAGGAATGTTTGTTTAAATTCAGAGTAAATAATATATTTTATTACATAAGTAAATTATTTGAGAATAGTCTATTTGAAAGACCCTTCAGATAAGAAATTAATGTAGACTTTAAAAAACTAAAAGAACAATTATATAATATTATTCCATAGATGGAATAGGATACTAAATAATAACAATAATAATAATAATAACAACAACAACAACAATAACAACAACAATTCACTTTGAATATCAAAGGCTCTGATCATTTTACAGAAGTTCACTAGAGTAGTAATATATAAGTGCAATCTCAATAATCACCTGAATTAAAAGGAACATAACCTAAATAACTAATTCAAATAAATTAATAAACTAAATTATAACATGCTCTACTTTAACTAAAATAAGGATTTTGTATGATTAAGTATTCAGAGGGATAAAGAAAGCCAAACATCAAAATTATTTATTTAACTGAAAATGAACAATATATTAAGTGGAAGGATGAATTATAACCATTTGATTAAAAAAATACGTCCGAATAAAAATCAATCTAAATTTCGTAAATCAAAGAAGTCAAAGATAAAGCTTAAGGATCCGGTTTTGAGAAATTTAAGAAATATCGATAGGGGAAAGAATCCTTAGGAATCACAATTATTGCGAAGAGAAATTTAGAGTTAGATGCACCTAAATAAGAAATTAAAGATTTATTTTTGGATTGTTTGAAGATATTGTTAGACAATAAACAAAATAGCAAATTCGAATTAAAAAACAAAAAATGAAATCATAAATAATAAATACCTTTAATTATTAATTTATAATGTTCTGTTAGGTTGTGAATTCTCATGTTCTCATAATAATTAATTCTCATATTTCCTAATACGCGAAATAAATATTAGAGATAGAGCTACTTTAGTATGCGAGACTATTATAAGTAATATATATCTATTTTTTATTACTTTAAGAATTTCTATTGTTTTCAACATAGTAAATGTTCTTATTGCATTATCTACATTCTAATTATTCAAAGAGTGAATTTTTAATTATATTTTCAACAACTGGTTTTTTAATTCTAATACATTTAAAGAAGCTAAAAGAAGTTTCAATTAATCAATCCATTAAACAAAGTATTTTTGGATTAGATTTAACTGCAGAAAAATGATTTACATTGGGTGTTGTTTTCCATATTTAAATAAAGAGAAATATTGTTTTATAATTTGTTTGGTGTTTTGGAATATATTAAAATCTTTAATTTTCATTTTTCAAATTATGGCAGAATAAACATAAGACAAACAATTCAAGGGAGTTAAGAAGTTCACTTACAGAGGTCTCTAACTTGAAGAGTTGGTTAAACTACCTATGGATAAATTAGTGGAATAATTCAGAGCTAGATAAAGAAGAAGAATCTCAAATCAAGGAGAAAAAGTACATGCTTTCTAAAATTTAATGAAAAAGGTAGAGATGTGATTGTAAAATTAGATTAGAAAAAGCAAAAAGGAAACATTACCTGGTGAAAAACCAAAACCAGTCAAGACTCATTAAAGAAACACAATTGTTGTTCCAGAAATGGTTGGTTCAATTGTTGGAGTTTATAATGGAAGATAATTTAGCAATGTTGAAATAAAGTTTGATATGATTGGCAGGTACGAGTGGTTTAATATATATTTTAGATATTTGGGTGAATTTTCTTTAACCTATAAACCAACTAGACATGGAAAGCCAGGTGTTGGTGCAACTAAAGGATCTTAACACACAGATTGATATTATGGATTTAAAAGTACATTAAATTAATTTATATATATTTTTATTTTCTTCTTATCATGCTTGAAGTTTACTATCGCTATGTTTTGATGTAGTGTCTTAAGACAAAGTCAAAGGTTTATGCTTTTCCAAGAATCGTTTATGTCGTAACTACTCAATTATCTGTTCTCTTTATTTCAAGAGACTCATATTTTATTTAAATTTCTTTTATTCTCTATCCATTTGCTTATCGCATTTATTGTTATATTCTTATTTGATATGTATGAATCTTCCCAAATTTTCAGCACTCAATTCTCTAATTTTATCAAATTTCTCATCCAATTCTTCTTTTTTTTTTTATTTATGCTCAACTAAGTATTGATTCTTTTTGGCAAATTTGTCTTCTATTTTCTATCTTTTCTCCCTTATTAATAATTATAATAAAATACTCAAATAATTTTAGTTTATCTGAATATCGTTTTTTAAATTGTTCTTCTTTTTATTTAACCTCTTCAATGTGTTCTTTTTCTAATTCTTAAGATTTATGATATTTAATTTTCTTTTTCTCTTCATTATGAAATTTTTCTATAACTGAAGCTAAATTTGAGTTATATACATTCTAAAATTAAGCTTCGCTTCTACTAATTAATAAAGGTAATTTTGACGACCATTCATCAGATTTTCTTATTTTTTTGGTTGATTTACGAGTTCTTTCAGTTTATATTTCCTTTAATCTGCTTTGCATCAATTATTAGTCCTATTCATCTTTTTTTCTCAAGACTTACTATAACTTTTCTTCATATATCCTTTGTTTTTCTTCTAATACATCTACATATGATTACTTAATTTGGTCAACCCTTTTTTATCTAATAAGTATATTGATATATTAATTACGCTTTTTCTATATTTTATTCTGTCTATAGTTTCTTGACCTAAGCATTTTTATATTTCTCTTCTTGGATAACTGTTTTCATCTTTGTGGAAACTTCTAAGCTTTTAGACACATCTTTTCTTGCGATTTCAGATTTTTAATTTAAATTTTTTAATCTATTCTTTTTCTTCTTCTCCAATATTACCTCAAGTTTCTCTTTATACTTCTCTTATTATTCTTAAGTCTAATCTTCTAATTCTTTCCTTTTCTTTTTACTTATAACTAAGATAATTACTTATTATAGTTTGTTGAATTTTAATAATTGGCGATCACTCGATTATACTTGAGTATCTATCCAACTTTCAATCATTTCAGTTGGACTTTTATAAGGAGCATATTCACTTATATTAATACTGCTATTCATGCTTTGATCTAAAGTTTGGATTGATTTGGGACGTTACTATTTCTCAATCCATTCTTCTCTTTTGTATTTATTTCTTTATAATATCACAGACTTTTTAATTTGGGCAACTTAGAAGTAGTGCAGCCAATATCTCTTCTCAGTTAACTCTTCGGATTCTCCGTTTTTCTTAAATTCTGATTTATCACTAAGGTTAAAAAGGATTAATTTTACAGCAATTCCAATTAATTGGAATAGATGTTTAAATCCTGTAAAGCCTTGCTAGTTTTGGGAGATTAGGGATCCAATTTAGTGTTATTCAAATTCACAAGTGTCTCGTTGGTTTTGATTTTGAAGTCTTTAAGGTATTTCTTATCTAAAGTCCTGTCATAGATGTCTTAAACTCTCTTACTTGGGATTGCATGTTTTCATCAATTTAGTGGTCAGTTTATATACAGGTTCTTCTATTCTTATTGATTAAGCCTATTCATTTTATTATTATTCCATAGTTTAAATAATTAATGGATAAAATAGAAAAAATCTATGACTACATCAGAGAAAAAGGAAGCAAACAATTATTCATCCTAATCTCGATACAAATGTCATTCCTAATAATATCATGCATCACCTTCATAATACTTGAAAACAATTAAAGTGATGCAGAATACCGAAGAGAAAATTTATACAAATGGTTGATTTTATTATTGTTTAGTTTATCCTAATTTTATTATGCCTGGCATTCAGTAATTATTGATGATATTAAATAAGATTATCAAAAAAAATATGTTAGAATTGCTTGCTTATCTAATAATATCTATATGCACAACCACAGCTAGTACATTACGATATTTCTACATCAGTATGAATGAAGAGTTAGACCACAAAATAGTAAATAATTATTATAGACTTAGTTGGTTTAAACTGTTTGTTACGTATATATTGGTTTTTCAATATTTGTGCAAGTAGTGGGATTAATTTCATATAAATACTTTATAGAGGCCTTCAGAGGAGAAATATTTACGAAAATAGGAGCCTCTGTAAATGAGTAGAATAAGTTTAAATGGTTTACTTCATTTGAATGCCTTCTAGAAGTTTATGCTTAACTAACACTTTTGATCTTTGTCACATTTTTTTTTTTCTTTGATACTTCAATAGATGACCAGAAATAGGTTCACCTTATTGCAGATATCTGTGCTATAGTAATAATTATAATAGGATTTGTCATTGGAGATATAGGAGTAAATTATAATATTATTAAAAGGTGAAAAAAAGACAACTCAAATTAGTCTATATATATTTTGGAGTTGCTTTCCTGATTTGCATTGCTGAGAATGTTAAACTGTTTTTGTTTTTATAGTATTATGATTATTAATTCGAAAAAATACATTTAGATTGGGCAACATTTTCAATAATCACAATCATTTTCTCAAGCAGCATTATTGTATTGGTAAAAATATCTAATAAACATTAAAGGGATTTAATTTCTATTATGGATATAAATGTGTCTAGTTGAAATTGATGGATATCAAAACATTTGATGTGGATAAAAATTCGAAAGATCATTTTTTATCATAATATGACTACTGAATTTAACATAATTGTCATTTTAATAAATATTCCTAATCAGTTGTGTATCTACTTTCTCAACTTCCTGTGAGTTTTAGCTTATAAAAAATGTTATAAATTCCATGATGCCAAACCAAATTCTTTTTGTTTTAGTCTAAATTTATTTAATTTATAATAAACAAAATCTAGACAATATATAATGATTGTAAACTATGCATACATATTAAAATGAAATGGTCATTCCATAATAATAAAAAGAGAGAAAATCAAAATTTTGACAATTTCTTGTATAAAGCAATATTCAAACTAGTTCAAACGGCTTAAATGTTTCTCAAAGATTCCATTTGAGAGGCTTAAGGTTGTTGTTGTAGTGTCTCATTTATTAGTGGTCCCAGGTGGTTTCTTATCTCGTCTGTCCTACTGCTCCATTAAAGCATGTCAGAATCTTTCTTAATGCAATTCTAGTATTTAAGCATGGATTCTTAGTCGAACAAACTTCTGCAATTAGGGCAGCTCTGGTGATAGGTGGTATCACATTACTTTATGTACATTCATCCATTTATCGAAGCAAGTTGTATGGAAGATATGATTGCAATAAGTGACTCTTACAAGTGAATCATCATAAAAGGGATCAAGACAAATCAGGCATTGATTATGTGCTCCAAATCTATCGCATCTATTTCTAAGCACTCCATATTATTGAGATGGGAAGC